ACTTAATACAAAATCCCTCATCTTTTTAATAGATTCTTTTTTTTTTTTTTAAAATTAAAAAATTTTTTTTTTTTTTTTTTTTTTTTTTTTTTTTTGCAAATGCAACCATTTTGTAAAATAAGCCATTAGCCACATTAAATGAAATTCATTTGCATATTTTTGCCTTTATTTCATATTTTCATCGTTATTAGTCGAATGGCATTGCACGTCTTTTGTGATATGCCATCAGTGGACACTGAACTTCTGTGTAAACGCACGGCTTTTATTCTGCTGTTCTTTCTGGTGCTGCTTTGCTATAATGCCGGTCCTATCGGTGGCTATTGTTGCATTTAGTACTTTATCGAATGCCGCGTCATCATCGCCATCTGATCCTTCCCCGTCATCATCGCTAACCGACACGGCTGTTTTCTTGTCAAAAGCGGCAGGGCTTTTGAGTGGTATTAAAGGTATTGGAGGGTTTGTCTCTTTGGGGTCTTGGAAGGGTTTTGAGTTTAAGACTTTACGACGAAGCTCTGCCATCTCTTCCTCATCATCAGAATCCTCTGGAAGTGCATAGGGGTCACGTTCCTCGAGTGCTTCTTCTTCTACCTTTTCCTCAGAGTCATTATCATTGGCGTCCCCGTCATCCTCAGAATCAGCAAACCCCACGCGGTTTGTGTTCCCTGTTCTCCAAATATCATCCTCTGCACGTTCTGCACGGCTTTCTGAGTACTCTCTCTCTATTTTATCAAGCCATTTTTCTTCGGCTAATTTGATGTCTTCTTCCGTTTCGCATGCTGCATATCTCTTTAACAGTTGAGAATTAATGTCCAAGAATGGCTCGCCATATCTAAAGTGTTTTAAAATTTGGGTCGCCCAATCTTCATGACCGCAGATATAAAAGCAAGCGGCAAGGGCTTCGACACAGTTTAGTCTCCAAGGTCGGCCATAGTTGACGGGATTCGCGGCTACGAGGTAGGGAACTGTAGTAGTCAGTTATGCACGGAAAGCCAGCGGGACTTTACTTAGACTCACGTAGGCGTTCGCATTTTCCCCCGATCCTCGACCAAGGAACTTCTTTTACTCTCACCCAAGAACATTCAACAACAGCAGCTCCATACTGTTCAAGTAAAGGCTTATCCGCGGGGGAGAGAGTATGCTTCGCATTTGGACTAGTTTTGCAGATTTTAGTTAATATATCGATACGGGTCGCAATAATACATTGCTCACGATATTACAACGCCAGGGAACTTGTGCCCGATTGGCAACTCTCGCATTAGCCCAAAATGCATCAATTTCTTGCCTGAGCATTTTTTGGGGTCGCAATGGCCGAGGTCCCAGCAGGCAGCGTTGAAAGGAACACGCGGGGTATCGTCATTTTCGTTGTCGAAGTCGCGGGGAGGAAGGCGACGATGGCTGTCTCCGAAAGCCTTTTTGCTTCGTTTGGCTAACCCATCCTTTTTGTGTCGGACCATTGCAAAGAAAGTATACGTTTAATAGTCGTTATATTAACAATTAGAAATAACTGAGCTTCATCGGAGGAAATGTGGTGACATCAGAAATGATAGTAAAGTTAATTCATTAACCTTTGGAATTTTGCGAACCGGACCGACAAACATCCGCTTACAAGGATTGGCTGGATTTCAGTCGCATGTCCTCCATGTCAAATTGTATGGAGAATGGTATGGAGGAGTACGCCTGTGGGCATCTTGGGGATGCAGTCAGTTCACACACATGTTAGAGTAGTGACGTTTCAATATCTTTGGGTATTTGGCCTCATACCAATCTCGAGCCCATTACTGTTAAGAAATATTATTTTAGGATTAGAACTCTTGTATTTTCATCAACGAATGTTACGAGATGAGCTTCAGTTAGTTAGACGGTTTAGAGGCTGATATCTTCATTATAGGTGCTATAGTTTTGAGCTCCTCATGATTGGGTGGTGGATTCATTTGTTCTCCGTACTCCATACAAATGACTGCATCCCGTAATAGCCCTGTTTCCCTTAAAATATCATACATTCTAGCAGGAGACCAGCCACTGCTTCTACACCAAGCATTTGATGTTTTGCTTTGTCTCTACTCCATAGTAGGCACATGTGTTGTCTGAGTAACATAACAAAGCCGAGAAAGCTGTTCGATATGCGACGAATGGAAGCACCAGCGTTTAGTGCAACCATAATACAGTCGTGGGTGTTCCAGTTGTTATGTACATAGTTATGAGATCAGCTGGTGTGTTCAGTAGACTTCTGCACACCAAGAGCCGTTAGAGCCGTTATAACTACGCAGGGAGTACGAGGGACCGATATTTAGAGCGAGCTGGGTATAAGGCAAGTATTTGGTAGCCTCAAGGCACCAAAAAAAAAGTCAGGTCATCCTTGTAGCTTTCGCAGTTGGTGTTGTTGAGTTTCTTCGCCCCTTCAGTAACTAACTAACTACATAAGTTAAGCGGGGGAGGCACTCATTGATTGGCTGCCCATTTCGCCGAACATTGAGCGGACGTCAGCGCGGAGCTTCAACATCTGAACACAGCCTGTATTCTGTCGCCAGCCCTCCTGGACCTCCGCGATTTCAACGATACGTCGCATAGACGCTATTTTCTTCCCTTTTTTTCGGTTGCGGGTCAATCCATTTTAATCTTAATCGTGGAGGCCACGTCCGCACGCATGGCGGCAAGGGACCGCTTCGGGACCTATGCTGAGCCGGCAAGGTCAACGTTACAGCGATATATCTGTACGTCTTCTCCTTCTCTCGAGGCTTTTTTCACTAATTCTAAGCTTGTACTACCCCTTAGACAATGCATGCGATCCTCAGAACTACGAACCTAACCTTGCTCTGAATCTTGAGGTTGTGGACCTCGTCAACTCAAAGAAGGGCAATGCGTGAGTATTCTCAGATAGGTAGGGGTTTTGAAGTGTATATTAATGGATTTAAAGACCTCGTGAGGCTGCAATCAGTATTGTGCAGCTTATCAATTCTCGGAACGCCAACGTTGCCCTCTTGGCTTTGTCGGTATGTTGATTCATTCTTTTTTATAACATATCACTGGATGATGAATACTGACGATACATCTGGCTAGCTACTTGACATTTGCGTGAAAAACTGCGGATACCCTTTTCATCTTCAAATTAGCACAAAAGAATTTCTTAATGAGTTGGTACGGAGATTTCCAGAGCGACCCCCCATACGTTCTTCTAGAGTACAGCAACGCATCCTCGAGTGCATTGAGGAATGGCGGCAAACTATTTGTCAGACTTCGCGATACAAGGAGGATTTGGGGTATATAAGGGACATGCATCGATTACTGCTTTACAAAGGATATATGTTCCCGGAAGTGCGTCGCGAAGATGCGGCAGTTTTGAACCCAAGCGATGTAGGTGGAATGTTCTCACCTGATACAAATACCACGATCTAATGAAGCAATAGAATCTTCAATCTGCAGAAGAAATGGAAGAAGAAGAAAAGGAGGCACAATCTGCAAAACTTCAAGAATTAATACGGCGAGGAGGCCCGGAAGATTTGCGGGAAGCTAACCGGCTCATGAAGATAATGGCAGGGTACGATACAAGACATAAGACGGATTATAGGGCGAAAGCCGCAGAGGAGGTAGGGAAGGTACAGCAGAAAGCAAAGATTCTAGAAGAGATGCTTCAAAACCACAAGCCTGGGGACAGTATCGCTGAAGGAGATGTATTTGAAGTAGGTATTGGCACGTCAACGGTTGTGTTCGTCTTTTTTAATGTTGCCTCTAGGATCTCGCAAATGCACTTCGAAGTGCACACCCAAAAATTCAAAAGATGTGCGAAGAAGAGTCCGAAGATGCCGAAGCAGTTTCTAAATTACTGGAAATCAATGACAGCATATATCGTACAATTGAACGATATAAACTAATTAAGGCTGGTGATGTTCAAGGCGCTACCAAAATTCCCAAGGGAACCTTGGGAACAAGTACAGGGGTGAAAAAGAACGCCGAGAATGAACTGTCGCTCATTGATTTTGATGACCCTACTCCGACAAACGGGAATTCCAGTTCTTCTCAAGCGAGTGGAGGGACTTCATCCCTTGAAAATGATTTGCTTGGTCTGTCCTTCCAAGACTCATCTCAGCCTAGTGGTTCTATATCCCTACCCCTGAGACCTGGAGCGGGTAAGCTTCTCTAATTATCGAGGATGTGCTGTTCTAGATCTAATGAGCCTGGTGCTGTCTAGGTAGTCCAAACCAAACCACTCTGCCGTCTTTGGGCACATCTTCGCCCACCCCTCAACCATTAAACTCCGCTTCGATGAGTGCAGCTGCTCACCCCTCAGGTTCCACTCTACAAGGAGACCCTTTTGCATCCCTCGTGTCATCTGGCTCCCGGACCTCATCTCCCTTTCGTCAGCTTCAAAGCCCTAAGGCACCGTCCCCTTCATCGTCAGCCCTGCTGGACGTGGGCCAGCCCTTCTCGCCCCCCAATTTACAAACGACAGCCAACGCGCCCGCCGATGATGAATGGACCTTCACATCCTCATTACCAGAGGACGCACTTCCAACGTCAAATCAAACACAGGTCTTGAATTCTTCCATCAACATAGTCTTTTTCTCTCGCAGAATCCCAAGAGAAAACCGAATCCAAGTCATTGTTCAGTTTTCAAACAACTCCACTCAAGCCATTTCCCAGGTTCATTTTCAAGTGGCTATTGAGAAGGTAAGAAATCCTTTGGGTTGCTCTTTATGATTATACCTCTCTAATAGACCGGGGTAGGCATACAAACTGCAAGTATCCCCACAATCTGGACGACAAATTGCCCCGTTGCAACGTAACGGAATTCGTCAGGAACTGCAATTGAATGGGGTGGAGCCCGGGAATGGCAACTCAGTACGGCTTCGCTTTAAAGTCTCATACAAACTGGGACAAGAAAGCAAGGAGGAAGACGGCCATGTCCCCCCGCTGGGGGTCATTTAAAGCGGTGTCCGTATTTTATAAAGGGAAATCTTTGAATATGAGAGCAATTCTAGCCTTTGTCTCAGCTTCCAAGGGCACGTAAAGCGGCCTCTAAACCACAGTGGCGGCCGTTAAGGAGGGTGTAGTGAGACATGCTATTACCAAGACCTAGTCCCCTTTGGCCCTCTACGCCGTGCCGTGCGCGTAGGTTATGCGGGCTGGCCGATCATTTGCTCCATTTTGCCCCGAGCGTAGTATCCGTATAGGGCTCAACATCAGCCCATTTTTGGTAGTACGGAGTAGCAGAACCATCAAACACCTCAAACAGCAGCAGTCAGCCAACCAGGGCTCATAGTGGACCCCGAGATTGACTCAAGGCCTCTCTCTCTCCCTTTTGGCATTCTTGACCTAAACAACATATCGCTATTGGTTCTATGGGAGAGCGGCGCTGCTCGGCAGTTTCGCCACTCTCACGAGACCTGCGCAGCGCCACACTCTAGGTTCGCTGATGTAAACATTGGTCCGAGCGTCTTCCGCTTAGGGCCTAGCACGGTTCTGCGCCTTTCCGCGCCGAAATCCGGAGCCCTCGCCATCATAATAATAATAATAGGCGAAACCACCAGCAACCGCGGACGCTGCGGCGTGTTGTCGGTGGATTCTCCCCGGCTCGGCTCTCTAATGCAGGTGGAGGTCCTCCATCATGGGCTGGATGGCGCCCATCGTGGGTCGTCACGCAGGTACGAAATCCTTCGCTGCCAATGTTTCCCCCCCCCTCTCTCCATGTGTTTTTGGCTCGGAAGAACGGCGCGCGCGAGGTAGTTGCTAGGTGGCGAGACTTCAGTTCTACTTCCCGCAAGGCCCGCCGCATCTTAAGTTAGTTAAACCTGGCAAGCAGGTGCCTTACTTTTTCTGCCATCCTTTTCCTCGTACAAGAATCCACAATGGCGAGGGCTTACTTTTTGGCATGCTGCTTTCGCTTAAACAGCAATTATTGTTGCTAATTAGATTCTGCTGCTGGCTTCCCGAGCGCTGACCACTTCTACATAGAGCCCCCATGCCAGGCTCTGAGCAACCTATCTGCCGCTTCAGGTAAGAGGGGATTAAACTCGCAGAATGATCTGCCACTAAAATAAGAAATTCCCGATCATGACCGCGGGGATCCGCAGGGTGGTCTAGATTGCTTTTGCTCACCCAGGAAACCTTAGGGAGTGAGGTGATGGCAAGCCAGCGCTACTTGACGGTGCTTCCAAGGGCTGGCCAACGAAAACAGCACAAAAATCACCTAGTATGGAGTTTCTGCCTTTCTTTGACAATCCCCGCTGCCTTGGCTCGAAAATAGCCCTCGCCAGAACCTTATCCAAAGCCTCTGCGGAGAAAACAAGCCAGCAGGCCTTGAATTTGACCAGTCATCTTTCTCCGGCTTCTAGATAGCTAGGAGGGGGCGGCCTCGTACACCCTAAGGAGTCTTCTTGTCTTGACAAGACACACGCTCCGTAACTATCGGCTCCACAACCCGCTTTGCCTTTGGGACCATTCCACAGTGGAGGGGTTGATCCGGATAGGACCCCACTGATTGATACCCATTTTGCCTATGGACCCCGAGCCTGTAGATGTTATTGTTTTGTTCTTCGCGGACCTCTTGTTCGCGAATGAACATGTCTCATGCGCCCACTCTAGCTCGAGAGTGGACTAGCTAAGCGCAGCGAACTATAGAGTTATGCGCAACTACGAATCGGAGGGGGATCGAGTATTGTCAGGAGCGCCTTGGAGCAAATTGCCGGACAAAAACATTTCTTACATACGACATTTGGCGTCTGTAGAGATTTCGTCACAACCTCGGCGGGTTGAGGCTCTTCCGTGGACTCTTATCTTTGCTGTAATTTCTAGCACAGTCATAGATAACTTGTTGCGTTCCAAAACTTGCGCGTCTTATCCGTCGCCAACAGGGAAGGGGAAACGGCCTGTTATACGTTTCCGAAAGCATCAGAACTTTGGCCGATAATTATGACTGTACTGGCATACAACCGTGCGCGAGAGTTGGAGTACGCGCGCATCCGCAGAAACCGTATCTTGTTTCGCTGTAACGTGCCCACTGCGACAAATTAGCCTTTGGCTGCCCTCCCTCATTCCAAGAGCAAGCCTCGAAAGGCCAAAAAGCATAACCAGAGCTTATGAACCATGGTTCACGCGAGTACGCTTCCATAACCGCCTCCGAGGGCACCTAGCAACGAAGCTCCCAGCTCATAGCATATTATTCCTCACCCCCTCCCATGTTCTTCTTAATTTTTCTCTTTCCTCTCCCAACCTTTTCACAGTTATTTAGTTAGCAAATACTCCACGAAGTTTTCTCTTGTTGTTTACATTATTCAACCCTCAACGCTCTCTCTGAGCTCTTATAGTGACAACTCTATACCTATTAACACCTGAGCAAGACTCCAAACACTCGCACGCCACCTTTGTGAATACATCCTTCTTACTCTCCTCCCTCTACTTGCTCTTGATTTCTTACGGAGACGTGTATCTTCAGCTTACTCTTCTTTCACCATGCCTCGCGTTGACAAGAGGAGACGCGCTGTGGATAAGCCAGAGAAGGACCCGGCACGACTGGAACATCAAGAACGGTAAATTTCTCTGCCAGCACTTCCATTTCATGATATATACTAACGGGGTACTTTAGGGCGTATATTGCGGCGTCCAGGCGGACAGACCGCAGTCCCCAGGCTCGCTTTGGCTCAGCTCGGCGTGCTTCTGAACTTCATTTCGAGCGAAGTGGGCGCCATTTGCGCATTACAATGGAGGCCGTTTTAAACGAAGAAATGTACGAGGAGTTGGACGAGAACCGGGAGCGCCGGGAGCTCCTCTCATCTCTTGAGTTGCAAAACGACAAGCTGACGCGACAATTACAAGAACTGTTAATTCTTCCCAAGCCGCAGCCCACCTTGTCGTCTTGTCCAGTACCTGCACAGCAACATCCCAGCAACAACGGGCCTTCTGCGCTGTTTCAGTATCCAGCCCAGAACATGTGGGATCAGCCGGTGCTGCAAAGATCCATCTCTTCGCCGGAGTTGTTCGCGCAGGCCGGGCATGATCCGCGTCATTACCCTGGGGGTGTTTGGGGAGCGCAGCACCCTCAGCCGGCTGTCAGCCAGGCTCCGCCCTACCAACGCTCGACTTCGGCAATGCCTGGGGATCCGGCCGCAAGGCTGCGACCCAGCTACATGACCACGGGGCACTTAGCGCAGCAAATGCTGGATGCACGGGAACGGGAACGGCTCGCCGGTCGCCCAAGAAGCGCAGAAGAAAGCCCATATCTCCAGAGCTACCTCGAGATCCGTCGCAACACTGTGCCAAATGTTGGCCCGCCAATGAATGTGGTGGCTGCACCCCAGGGCCCGGCTCAAGCATTGAACCCCGGCTTGGCACGCCTGTCGATGCAGGGAACCCGCTTCGTCGGAGCCGATCAGTTGTATGGAAATTACCCAGCGCCACACAGTGATGCGGTGCAGAATGGCATGCATCCCCGTCCCCAGTTCGCCCATGTTGCCCTGACGAACCCTCCGGTGGCCAATATTCCGGTACACAGTAATCCGGTCCCGAATGGCATACATGCAAACGCCCAATTCTTCCAGGCCTGCCAGACGAACCCCCCCATGGCGGATGTTCCTCCCCAGGCAGGCCCGGCACTCCAGCCGTTTCCGCCGCACAACCCCCAGCCCGCTACGCTGCCGGAAGGCAACTCTACAAACAACGCCGCTTGGTCCGATCCTATGAATGAGGACCTCCTTAGCTTTATTCGAGACTTCAATCAACCGCCCGATCTGACATCCGACGATCTGACGCCTAGCCCAGTGTCTGCATACTCGAACATCGAGGTGGCCCAACAAGACTTCCCAGAACGGCCCAGCTTTGGTCGCTCCATTTCAGATCCAGAGCACCCGATCGCGGCTTCTATCACAGATGCCGAATGGCAGGCTTATTTCAATAGCGGCTTCTGGAAAACTACTTCTTTCGACAACGACTTCATGCCGCCTGGGAACCCAGAAGATCCCCCGCCCTGTTAATTATCCCACCTACAACACATTCGTTCACTCATATAATTTCCTTGATATTTAAGCCTAATGCCTCTCGAAAGCGAAAAGGATACCTGCAATAATCCTAGCATTTACTTATTTTTAGCATGCGCCTTCGATATTTTTACTTAATCCTCTAATAATAATACTTATTTGACGGATGTTCCAAGTTTGAGCTAAAGGACATCAGCACCAGAGTGCTATACATGGCCCTTAACAACTACCCCAAAGATCATGTCGCTATTTGTTACAGTCTTTTTACATATTGGTTCTCCCATGATTACGTTTTGGCCTTCTTGTATACTGTTTGTCCACCCCAATGTATATTCTTATCCCTACCTTGCGGCTAGAATGGGAGGTTTTGTGAGTGCATTTTTCTGGAGTATAGGGGGGAAAAAAGGTTGGGGCTACCGCAAGGCAAAAAACGCCATGGGAGTTATTGGTTGAATATTGGAAAAAGCTGGCGTCCCTCGTTTGGTCAGTTTCCAGTGTACAGTATCTTTACTGAATAGTCAATCAATGAAACAACGCATTCTTACTCAGAGTGGCTTCCTTGATTCCCGATCAACTGCAGCACAGAGTACAGAGTACAGAGTAGACTAGTTAATACATACATCCGTCGGGGAACATCACTCTGGATGTCGGCCTGTCCCTCCTTGCTATTGGTGAGAGGGAAATTGTCTCAGCTAGCCATCCCGACGCCGACATTTTCCCGTTAGTGAGGACCGTAGGTTTGCAGAGGACAAACTTTACAAAGCATATCCGGCCAGCAGGCTAGGCACAGAGCATTATTCCCTCGGGCATGCGGCCGTCCAGGCTGTATCCGGAATGCCTTCGTTTCTACGTTTTCTTTGTTTGTTCCAAGCGGTGGCCAGCGAGAACCAACTCTTGCACCGGGCTTGGGAACGAGCAACGTACTCCAGACTCGCCAGGAAAAGCAGGGCGGAGAGAGACCTGGCAGGCCCCAAGACAAAAAAAAGGCAGATTGCGTACTCCGTACAGCCGCGCTATCCGAGAATCCTGTGCGACCGCTCTGCCAGACACACGGAAGTGGCTGAGGCAACGCAAATCAGGTACTCCGGGCCTATGACTCCATGAGAGAGTTTGGGCTCTCTGGGCCAGCAGCCAGGAAAAGCGCAATGACGCGCGCGCGCGCGCCGCGACGCCGGGCATTCGGCGTCTGTTCTTGACCCAAGGCATCTAGCGAGAAAGGTTTGCGGTGCGGTGCGGCGATGGCGTTTTGGCTGCGGTATGCGCTCCGGCAGGCTTTGAGGGTCAGTGGTGGTGGCACCGCGGTTTGGGTTGAGGCCGGGATAGTTACTCAACTCAACTAGTTAAGTCCACAACGGCGACCAGGCGACTCAGGCACCAGGGCGCGCGCGGCGGCGGCCTTCGCTCAACCCTCGCGCTGCCCTCTGCGCCCCTCCGCCAGCTTCGCAGTCCCTCCGTCGCGGCCGATCGCGACAAGTCGCCGCCGCCACCGTCGGTGCTGCTGCTGCTGCTGCTGCTGCGGCTGCCTGTGGTTGCGGGCGCGGGCGCGCGGGCGAACGCGTCGGCCGGCGCGTAACTAGTGGTATGCGCTAGTACTCGGGCCGCCCCTCCAGCGCGCGGCCGGCCGGCGTGGGCGCGTACGGCGGCGTACGGCGGTATGCATGTAATTAATCCATCGCCTGTCGTCGAACTCGGCTTGTGTCGCCCGTCGCTCTGGATGCAACAGCCACCGTCCGTGCGGTTTGTCAGCGTTCCCGTCCGGTATGTGCTCAGATCGCCCCTCTCCAGCGCGCCCGCATTCCCCCTCCTTATGATTGTCAGATGTTCGAGCTATTTTCGGCCTGTGGATGGGGGAGCGGACGACGCTTGCGCCACAGGCCGCGGCACGAACTGCGGAGCTGTGCGCCAGTTTGGTGACACTCGGGCGTCCCGGCAGCAAGCAACGAGGCGCGCGCGCGGCTTTGATTATATCCTGGAGGCAAATCGTTGGTGCCGAACCGCATCGCGATCGACAGAACCTTCCGGCTCTTCTGCCCGGCCACCTACGTACCCACCTCGGGAGACGAGCGGCGACAGACGATCTATCAGAAAATCCGTCCTTGCGGTGGGCCTTTCGAATCTTCTGACAAATTCGACGGGCGTGCCCCTTTTTCCGCTGGATGCCAAACTACAGTTCCCTCCCCCCATGTTTCGGCAACTCTCCCGGGATCTACAGGGTGCATGCAGCTTGGGTTGGACCAAAAAGGAAACATGGTGTGACGCCCGATACCCAGGGCAGCTCTATACTGCGTATATCACGACTTGCGCTCTGCTGTGAAACCGCTTCCCCGCAAAATGCAAGCCACGTGTGTTCCGGCAATGAATTCCCATCTAAGCTCGGCCTCTGTGCGTCCTGCCGCACTCGTCACATTTCTACCGTCTGTGCGGGATCCGCCACGAGAGGTTCGGACCGTGGATGGTACGATACCTCCAGCAGCCTAACACGGCTCTGGATGCGCAAGAAACAAAACAATCGGAATACTCCGGCCTAGAGCGTGCTGCATGGCCTGGACTTGCGGTGTTCGTACGATTTCTCGCCAATTGATGAGGGTGCCTTGCTTCTTGCGCTGGGCATCGCCAAAAAAAAAAAAAAAAAAAACAACCTTCGAAGCTTTCACTAGTCAATGCACCCTGCATTCTGCAAGCATCCCAGTTGAAAAACGCAGAATATGCGCCCTGCATGTCTGACACTGATTCTCTTGGTTGCTACCTAATCAGGAGCCGCCCATCTCGGTACCTCAAAAAAACAACCCTCTTCGGCTTCTGATGGCCTAACCTCAGGCTATGATTGGGTCAGCCCGCGCCGTTACGCAAATTCTAATATAAGCGGAATTTCGCCGTGAGCCCGGACAAGACCCTCAAGGACTCCCCCACAAGGTTTCCGTGAGCCCACTTCGTCTTGCCGTTCTTCTTAATAATGCTCAAAAGATCTCCCCCTCTTCGCGAGTCAGAAGGAAGCGAGGGTAGTGAGCTTGAGCAAACTCAAAAAGAGCCCTGCGGCCCACGCCTGAAATAGGAACTGGGGAAAATACTCTTGGTGAGCGAAGAAGTTGAAAAAATTAAAGGAAACTTGGATTTTGTTAACTATACCAATAAACAAAGAAATGGTTAGATTTCCGGAACAGCAACCTTCCAAGATGGCAATCAAGGCACAGGTCGTAGCATTCAACGGTTTTGCCAAAATAAGTCTATTCTACGTGTTGCCCTGTTTTGTTGTGGTAAATTTGGCAGGCTGGGAAGCCTTTATTCCGCATGCACGGCAGTTACAGGGTAACTTTTCGTATCAGATAATCGGAGTAACTATCTTTCCCCTATTTTTCAATGTTTAGACACTACTCCGTACGGAGTACTCTACCTCTACTAGTTTGTTGTCCGTACTATCACCCAGGCCGCGCCATCCTCCAGCCCAGTCTATTGCTAAGAAAAGCCCGGCACTCTCAGATGAAAAACAGACTTCAAAAGAATCCAAATACCTGTCTTGGCCCTGGACGAACTAACGAACTAGTTCGACAAAAAAGCATTTGCCCAGGTTTGTGCCACGCGGTTCTTTTCAAGGCCTGGAAAAAGCCGTCCGCCAAAACCAACCCGCAACGCAAAAGCTGACGCTATTTAGCAACTACTTGAAAAAAGCCATGAACTTAGCAGCAAGGCTCGCGAACTACCAGGTGCGCGCGCTAGTCAAGTTGACCCACAGCGTTTTTCAAGCTTCTCCTAGAACCACACCGGCCTAGCAATGGAGCGACTACACTGCTACTACCAATTCTAGCCCATGGAGTATACGTGGAGGGGCTCCAGATGCTTTATATAGTGGAATCTGTCTAGCGGCTATTAATACGTAATTCCTCCAGGTTGTTCAGCCACCCCGCGGTGGCCAGCCCCATTCTCGGCCCCGTGGTACGAGATGGATACTCCGTAGTGGGTATGAGCTCCTCGATCGCGATCGTCTGGCCGGCGGGTAGGTCCGTCATCAGATCTCAACGCGAAAAAGTGGAACCCCCGTGATACTACGGGGTTGTGTACAGAGAAAGTTCGTTTTTCATTTTTTTTCTTAATTAATATTATGACTACACAGGTCGATGCGAGTGATAATCTCAATCTGATCTTATGAGATAATGATTGGTAAGGTGCTTTGTCAACGGAGTTCATGAGCGGCGGATGTCACAAAAAAAGCAACGTGAGGCTTTTGTGTCGCCATGATGCCAGTCAGGGTTTGACAGGTTGCCCAAACGCATATAACGTCCAGGAAAAAAAGGGGGAATCTGGGTTTGGGCAAATTGCGAAGCGGAGAAAAAGCCAATATTTCTTCCTTTCCAATGCTCCAACCAGAAAACAAGAGAACCACAACCTGAAAGAACCTGCTAGGCATTGCGAATAAATCGGGTAATGGAAAAGTAATGTAGGGCATCGCGCTCCGATTGGCTTGCTGGGGGACTGGCAGTGGTGGCGAATTTCAAAGGAACGGTGTTCGTTTTTTTTCTTATTTTTTCTTATTCCCAGGAGGCCAACGATGCACATCAAGGGCCAGTGCGGTTCCAAGTATCTCGACTATCGCCACTCTTCTGCACCCCAACGCTGCAACTGCTGCTTCGCCTTCGTCGGTTCCGGATATCGTTGGGATCTGCCGGCTTGAGCCCACTGGCCCGGGCATACAGGTTTAGGACGTCCGTTAGGCTGACGACGCCGACGAGGCGGCCAGAAAGCCGAGCACCCGGGAGGGCGGAAGCAGGTATTGCTGAGGAAAGAGACATTGGATACACGTTTGGCGACTGGGGGTGGACCATTGGGGTAGGATGATGTGGCTGGGCCGCTTGCGGAAATGACGGAGGTGACGTGTGGCTTGCGCTGGGACTCACCCTTGGAGAGGATACCTGGGCTCCAGCGACCGTGCTCGTGGCTGGGCCGGAGATACTAATAACTTGATTGGAGAGGGGAGCATGGACAGCTGAGTGCGCAGGAGTTGAGGGATTAGATGAAGAGGGCGATTGGGGATCGGTGACCCACATCCTATTGCAGATGAGTTAACACACACATCGAGCAGCATATTAGGCTGCACAAACGATAAAGCGGAAGGTATTTAGTACCGATGCGACTTCGTGGCAACCAGTTTAGCAACCGTATGCGCTAGCGTGGATTGAGGGTTGACGTGGAAAACGGGGAACGAGTCTTTTCCTTCATTCAGACCCCGTGTGGAAAGGATAACGGATATGAAGTGGATACAGGTGTCGCGAAGCAGGGGAAGCGAGGTTGATTTCGTAAGAAGCTACCCCAATATCAGCAAAAACCTACGATTTGGATTTGAACGAGTGGATCTCTCACTTTCACATCGACAACGGATATATTGCCGACTACATTGGACTGGTTGTCAACGACGGCGACCGATGAGATCCCCTCATTATTCATGAGCTCCAAGGCATGGCACAGCGGTCGATCGCCACTAGTTAGTTGTCGATGCACGTCAGCAGCATGACTCGCGGAGGTTCCAAAACTCGAAATGAACTCACTTAATCGATATTACGTATTGAGAGCCAAGGCCCAATTCTCGCAGATATTGCGGGTATAGCTGCTCAATTACCGGAAAGCTTCTAGCATTCTCCCAAAGAAACTTCACGAGCCTCCACTGACTGAAAATCCCCAAGACCTCCGAAGTATTGTCCTTTGTCACAATTATACTGTGTATCCCTCCACCAAACGTCTCAACCGCCCTTATCAAACTAGCATTTGGCGGAAGGGTGGTCAACGGGTCTTTCGGTCTTAAGTTCTTAACCTCTTTTAGACAGATCATTTGTCCTTCCCTTGCTTTTCTCCCCAGCTCTTCGAGAGACGCAGCATGTTCGTCATCCGGCTTCGTGATGCCAATAACCAACAATAGATATGCATTGAGGTCTGCATATTCGAAAGTCCCAATTACCGAGGTATGCTCTGGAGACTCCCGGATCAGCAGCAAGGGCGCTTCGCATTCAATCAAACGCTACACACGACCATACCATTAGTACCTAAGAGCTAAACCGAGGCTATCCAGAGCTCTCCTTAGAAAGTACTAAACGTACGTTCGTAGCATCTTCAATCGACATGTCCGCCTCCACGAAATGGCAGCTTGCCGGGTTCACCAGCTCCCCAACCGTAATCTGCGTCCAATCGCGGCCGGAAAAAGCCGGATCTGCACCGCTGTGAACAGGCGGATTGTCAATCAAGCTCTGTAGGGCAGCTTGACTCATCGACGGCCGACGCGCGCGGGGTGACGGAGGCATAGCGCGAAGAGACTCGGTAAGGCTCTGGCGATGCGAGGAAGCTCCGGACAGGGAATTGATGCGGAAATGCGAGGTAGACGGCGAGCGCGAGTCCAGACTCGAGCGAGGCGAAGAGACAGAGGACTCTCTGGACTTGTCCGACGTGGTGGTGGACTTGATGTTATCTGCCATGGTTGCTTGATCAGCTGGGGTCTTATGGGTAACTAGGAGGACAAGCAAAGCTATGACGCAGAGCTCGGTTTAGGCAGATAATAAAATTGGCTGCCCCCCCCAACGCAGAGAGCAGCTGTTGCCAAAGACAAGGGGAGATTCACAGTCAGAGCAGAAGTGAGAAAAGCACGGTTGAAGAAATCACAGTGATTGTGATGGAATTCAAGAGGGGCGACACGGAAGTTTGCTTTGCTTGCTCTCTCTGCAGGCATCACCAAGTGGGGCGCCGCTAACTAACTAACTAGTTAGGTAGTTAACTCACGGATGAACTAGCCGGGGATGCAGCGAAGGAGGAGGCCGTGATATCTCATCAGGAGCAATCAACAGCACCAGGATTGATGATGGGACGAATGGAGCTTTCAATTATATTACAGAACTGAGCTTTGGAAATTACATGTGGCTTGCTTTAAAAACTTGGTTGAACTAACTCTAGAGCTTGCTTAGAAATAAGTCACATAGTAGTGGGCTTCCCTCAGCAACCGAAGTATGTAGGCCATACACTACAATTAAGATGAATTGCCAAAGTCTTATGTGGAATTTCAGGGTGCGGCGCAGCCTAGACCATTGCTGACTTCTAAAAATATTTGTTTCATGCCGCCTTTTAGTGATTGGATTGCAATACCTCTAGATCTAGATGAAGGCAATCATCTTCGCAGTATCGTCCTTTAGGGTAGCTATGTCTTTATACTCCATGCTACTGACTGCTATGTTAGTCCTCTCAATAATGATAGTGTGTTCACATCATAATTCGGAGCAATTATACGCCTGAACTGGCCGAATTGGGGCTGGCACGAGCTATACCCAAGGGCTTCATAGGGTGGAGATCGATTTCGCCCACACATTTCAACTGTAACCAGGCTCCATAAATTCGGTGAGTAGTCCAGATATGTCTTTTTTTCGGGATCGTTTGGTGTTCAATGATCGAATCGGCTTCTTTTCTTCAGAGCTAGCCGTTTCTATACTGGCACTTGCATTGTCATTGGGGATGGTCCGATCTCTACGGAAGTGGTAGATCTCTGTGTAGGTAGGATCAAACGTGCCTTCGCGTGCCAGGCGAAAATACAGAGTCGGGACTAGGTCTTGTGCGGGCCTGGGTTGGGGATCTTGCAGCAGGTTACCGATATTTTTATCGAGGGAGAGTCGATAAGGCTGGATGATGGTAGAGCACCAACCGTGTTGTGTTCCTATTTTGAGAGAGGTTTGACCATCGAAATTCGGGCATCCTTTCAGAGTCAATGTGGATAGGGAAGGAAAGCTATCCAAGTAAGGAAAGATGTTAGTTGTCAGCTCGCTTTGGCTGTCCAGAATCAAGCTGTGGAGGTGCTTGAACGCCTTGCCAGCGTGCGCCGCTTCACTCCAGCGTCGTATCAAGCGATCGGTGACGGTGACGAAAGGACCGTCATCATACGTCCTGTGTCGTTTCGGTCGAGGAAAGGCTACTTCCAGAAACACGAGATTGGAGACAGTCGCTATGTCGACCAGGTCACCAAGGCTTGTGAACTCGGTGGAGACAGAAACTGACGTCTGCCAGGCCAGGGATTCGGAGGTTATTAGGCGGAAATACTCATGCATCGACATCTTCTTAGACCTTGGCCAAAATCTATAGACTCTTCGTTCCTGTTTCCACTCCTGCGGATAGACAGCAGCAAATATCTTCCACATATGGAGAGTCATGGATTCACTGGTATAAAAAGTCAAATTTTGTCCTGAGGCACGAAGGCGGGTAGCCTACCTATCGTCCAAGCATTTGACCAAATATTTTGCAAACGACCAAGGGACCTGGGCGAAATGCTCAACCGTCAGCTGCCGCTGGTCAGCCAGGACCTGCTTTGCAGCTATCGTCTTCAGAGAATTAACGCCCTGGCTGGGGAACGCGGCCTGGGGCCATATCAAGAAAGGCGACTCATGGGTCCAGGCCGGACCCAAAGCGCCAGACCCGGGGAGCAGCGAGCGTACAGGCACAGTGGTCTCCGTGAACATCTGGCCGCTGGCCTCATCATAGTGCCTCCTCCGCGTCACACCGCGAAACGTCATGGCGAGGGCCGGGGCTGGCGAAACAAGCCGGCGGACGCGATGCGACAGGCGTGGACGGGCGACCGGGCGAACAATAGCAGCCAGAGCCAGAGAACAATAGCAAGAAAAAGCTACGACGGCGACCGGCGCGCTGGGACGGCGGCGAGGAATAGAAATGCGCGTCGAAGCGCCGGGCAGCTCGCGGGTGAAGCCTGAGACACGGCGGGGGCAGCGGCCGTGCTGCGCTGGGCCAACCACCGCCCGCGCTGCCCCGATGGGCGCGCCGCCATCACACACCGCGAGCCTGCTTCTCTCCGACCTCGAAGCGCCCGCGACGAGGGTCTGCTCGACGCCGGTGGGCGAATCGCTGCTCGTCTCGCTCGATTTCGCGCTTCTGATGCCCCCATGGCTGTTCTGCAGCCGGTGCCCGCGGCCAGGTGTCGCGTTGCCGGGGGATGTACAGAGCGATTCATATTTGACCAGGTCATAGAGCCCTTCTATGGCCGCATTGCCTTTTCTTTCCTGTGTTTTGGCGTTATATCTTCTTCGTCCAAGCCGTTTCTGTCTGCTTGGGTCCTATGGCCTCGTTCTTCTCTCCCAAGTCCAGAGCCAAAGCACGATCAATTGCGTCGCTAGTCGAGACCGCCGGCCAGGCTGACAGTCCCGGCTCGTTCGATTGCAAATCTACATTCTCCAAGATGAGGAAAAAGAGGCCGCCTCCAATATGCATATCCGTGGAGAATGGGAATGTCATTTTGACTGGTCCCACCCCGACATCGACCGTGGTATACGCCGATCCACAATGGCCATCAACGCCCAAGACGCCGCATACAGCGGGCTGTACAAACCCTCGGTGTATAGAGCGAGATTCGGGACTCCTTTCCCTCATGCAGCCGCCGTTCGCCAGCTCGTCCCAGCCCTGGCTCCAATCAGCCCCGTCGTCCAACCCTTCAACCCCACCCCAACGATTCTTTCCGATGGCAGAGCTACCGGGCTCCGTCTACAACCCCATGGGTGCCGAACTGGCCACACCTGCAACACCGAGAAGCGTTTCGTTTGATTACGGAGCCAGGGCCTCTCTGGAATCGCCCCTCAGCCTGGTGCCCAGCTCAGCCCCTCCAATAGGCTCGAGCAGGTTCCGGGACCATTCTTTCGAATACGACCCGCCTGCCGAGCCTACATACAATGGCAAAGTCATTTCCGAAATGGACTTTGAAGACCTCATGAGTTCGCTTCCCTACCTGTCGCCAAAACAAATACAGTTGTACTGGCGCCAGGCTATGCAAAAGGAGGCACAGAACGTGAAATCGAACCCTCAGGGGAGGGAACAGTCCTCGACCTTTTCAAGAGTAAACATGGTAAGGCTTTATCCCTTCTCTCTTGATAATCTTCCCAGAGGAGACGATTTGAATACTAATCTAACATGTATGTTCCAATGATAGTTGCATCCTGAATCTGAGCGTCTTTCCCGTCTAAAAGCAGAATATGATATCCAGCTTGAGGAGAAGAAGAACGAGATCTGTAATGTATTAGAACTTCATGATGTACGCATGGGTGCTTTATGCAGCTTCATCTCTGAACGCCACTCCGCCGAGATTGATAAATCGAATGACCCTTCCGTGCGAAGAGTCCTAGAGATCATCGAAGGCCAGAAGCGCCGCATCTTAAGTATACCCAACGATGGTAAAGCTTCGTCAAAAGAATCGACGCGAATTCATGAATTGGAAACGCGTGTTTCCGACCTCGAGGCCCTCGTATCCCACCGCAGCCAGAAGCTCAATTCATACCAGAGTGAGCACAGGATTTTGCAAAGGGAACTTGATGATTTTGCCAAAATATCACAGCGGCAGAAGCAAGAGATCAAAGAAAAGAATGCACAGATTAATGTTCTCAACTCCAAGGTCACCCAGCTGGTGAATAACATGGTTCCTTCTGTATTTCCTACATCGTCACCAGCCACTTCTCACCAGGTTGAGAAGGAACTGCCATCTCCCTTGCCATGCAGCTCGAGAAAATTTGAAAAGTCGAAGCAGCGCCGGATACAATGTTCACGTACTCGGTCCGCGGATACTACGACTGGTTCAAATTCGACGCGTCACAGGGAGAATCTGGCATTCCCCGATAAACCGCGACGATCAACGGTTGTATGAATAGGTGTCTTAGTGCGGAATTCTGATTCTTATACCATTTCTTCTTTCGCGTTGGAGTCGGCTGGCCCTTTTTTTTTTTTTTTTCGGTTGGAGAGGCAATTTGACAGGGAAGCGTTCCATGCATACCCACGCCCCTGGAAGTTGTTTTTGTTATTTCATATACACAGTGATATCTGAAACAATACGGTTCTCTTCCTATGCTAAATGATACGATCATCATATAGAATGCGAATTGAATCTGGTTACTAAGCACACTGTCCTGTTCTTGCTAGCAGCCCTTTTTATATCATAGCAGGGAGAAGCATATTACAGTGTGCTTTGTGAAGTAGACTTCCAAAAATTTTATATCAAAGTAGAATTGATTATCGATATCCTTTAATGACTGTTTGACTGCCTGCGAAGATTGTGGTATGAATTTTCATTTGTCCAAAACGTATCAGATGGCAGCACTTCGTTATGAGGATGTATTAAAGATTTTAAAAGGTATCTCTGTTGTCGAACTTCTTTCACCCCACATACACGATTGATGGCTTGCCGAGCTGTTTCACATTATATAATTGAAGGTGGGTAGCAAAGATATAGCTGCTCCTATAATGCTATTTTCTAAAGGATCCGACATTGGATTGCCATGATGTGACAACAAGCATAACCTTCAACCGAAGTGCCAGACCTAATCACTCGAATTGACAATTTGTGTCCGTCATAAAGATTCAATGCTGTCTAGAATAACAGGCATCTTATGCACGCATGTTAACCCCCACGTCTCTTGAAAAGTGATATCTAGCCATTTAGCAGAGATAGACACTCTGAGTGACTTAGCCAGGAGGAATGCCTTTCTGGAATCCAGTCAAATAAGTGGCAAGGTATTTTGCCTTGCTCCTGGCCCTCTTTGTAATAGCTCGTCTAAACCCTTGAAGACAACATGTCGGTTTTTCCAGATTTGCAGCCCTCTTCTGTCCGATCTTGGGAATGCATAGTCTGGTTTACGGTACATTGCTGAGTATGTCAGAAACCTGAAAGGATCCTGGGGAAAACAATTCGCGCACCAAAATTTGGCTCTTGCAGGAAAAACCGAAAACAGAACTGGAATATGGTATATACGCGGGTGAATATGAGGACCTTGAGGGTTGAACGTCCGCGGTTCATGGGAGATTGACAAAGAACAATAAACGATTGCTTCAACAGGGTCTAGTAGATCTCTTGCTGCCTTGCTGTCAATACACGAAAAGATTCCTATGACGGTAAACTAGAAGCTTCGGGTTTGTATTTGCTCCAGTTCTATGACCGGGAGCCAATGTACAACAAAGAAAATGCCGATATGCCAGCTTATCACGGTGGCAAATTCAAGTTATTTCCTACTCATCATGAAGCCCAGCGGTCCAGAGGGCCGACATGAGAAAACAATGACTTGCCTACATGCTTTGGAGCATGAGTTGGTAGGTTGGCGTTCCGCAAAGAAACCGAGAAATGATTCTCTAAAGAGGAAGGTCAAAACAAGGTGGCTGCAAGCGTGTCTGCTGCTGCGGAGGACACTGCCACGTCAGCTGGCTGCGTAGAACTGAGCATGATAATGCGTAATGGGCTTTCAAAACGGCCAGGTCTCAATTCTCGGATAGAAGCCCTGAGTTTCATAACTAGTCCGATTTCTAGCAAGACAATTGGCAATGTAAATCGAAGCCAGAAGTATGAATTCTGTAGAACACTTTATCTCATTGAGGTTATTTTTGCTATATTTCCAGCCAACGGAATAGATGATAGCGAGGGTGCATTGATAGTTCGGCCATTTCAGGTTCACGGAGAAGATGAAAAATGTACGGAGTAATGAAGCCAAATATTATGACTCCGATCGAGTTCACCGTAAATCCTCCGGAGCTGCGGGGTTTCTACTATTCCGAGCATCTACTTAGTCATCCGAACCTTAATGGCGATAAAGTGGCAAGAAAATATTGCCCCGTGACTGGCTTGATTTGGTCACGCAGACGACGAGGAGCGAAGCCAGCAACCTACAGCCGAGCGCCCGTGAGCTCCTGCGCCTGGTGGGATTGTCGAGGCGTTGTGATCTCTCTAGCCAAGACGCACCAAGGGCCCCGGTCGTTGCCCCAGCCTCTCCAGATGATCTCCCCTCAACCTTGCTTCTTGTGCAGCGAATAGCAGCCTGGCGATGCATCAGCCGCCGTGCAGAAGCCCGCGGCAGATTTGACCAAGATATTGCAGGCGACAGCCAGGAAAATGGCTTATAAGTGCCGCAAAGCTCGCGCCGATGTGTTTGCCTTGCACAATCACTGTCAGCCGAGTCGTCTCCTGGTTGACTATTTGTTGATACTGACACCCCAGAGCACTCTTTAAGGCAAGCTGTCATAAGAACTGGTCATTTTCTCTATCCTTTGACTCTCTAGTTGGCTTTGATTCTTCTACTCTCTTGACCGTTCGGCTTTTCGTCAGGCAACGCAAGGCTCTTACCTAGGAAGTTGCCTCGGATCTCTAACAGCGTTCCTGCTCGGTTTTGCGCTCTTTTGCATGTTTTTATTGTATCCTTTTTTCACTGCGTTCAATTTAGAGGAATTCTTCTTAAATCTACTCTCGTGCCATTCCCTGCAAATTCTTGTAGTATCTAGACTTCCCTGTCCATCTCCATTTGCCCGTGCACCATGTCGCAACCGTCGCAAGCAGTTGCTAAGCACCCCTTGTCTGATGGCCCTAGTGAGGGCAAAAGTCGTCCCAGTGGTACTTTTCGTCGAGTTGAGAGTCAGCTTTCTGTTCATTCAATACCCTCGCAGAAGTCGTTCCTGATTTCATGGACAGAATATTTTGCTTCTTTTCTAGGTTGGGCCAACCCCCAGGCGAAGCCCGCAGACCCCGGGGACCACACTGTCTGGCTTTTTGACAATACGGCATTCCGGCCTGGAACGCGTCTACGTCTTGGATCCCAGGAACTCTGGGTTGCCGAGGTTGTTGCGGCAGTGTTTGAAAAGAACAGTCGTGAAGATCTTGGGAAAGTCATAGCTCTGGTTGCGGATCTTATTGGACTGGATGGCCAAGCAGGCCATGATCCTATTGTCCGCAAACGCATGGCAGAGCGGCTGCAGCCATTCATCAGCGAAGTCGCTCCTGCTCGATCTATTAACCTAGAAGTACCACTTACAGCTACCAATTTGCATAAATACAAGCTTAACCCTTCCAACCAACATGGCATTATATCCCACGCAATCAATATCAACAGCAGCGTACCTATACTCGACGGAACCAGTCTACAGCCCCGTTTGGGAAACTGGCCGGACCTTGTCACAATGAACTCCACTTTTGCTGCTCCGGGGGGATGGCTGGTAATTTCCGATATTGACGATACCATTAAATATACTATGACACCGGATGCGATCGGTATCCTTCGAACAACATTCGCGGAAGAAGCAAAACCCATCCACAACATGCCAGAGCTATATGCTTATATTCAAGAGAAGCTCTTGCCAACATGGTTCTATTTATCTGCATCTCCATATAACCTGTATCCTTTCCTCCACACTTTTATTCAGCAATACTTTCCAAAGGGAACGATGATACTTCGAGATAGCTCCTGGCAGTCGCTTGCAGGGCTATTGAAATCATTTACTCAAGGTACACAAGCGTACAAAGTCGATCGCATGCGAAAGATTCACGGTTGGTTTCCCAAACGGAAGATTTTGTGTATAGGAGATTCAACCCAGCGTGATCCTGAGGCATATGCGGAGATGTATCAAAAGCATAGTCAATGGATCAAGGCGATTTTCATAAGAAAGGTAACCGGCCTGCCACATATGGATGAGCAAAACAGCCCTGAAAGGTTTGAAGAGGCCTTCAAGAATGTTCCTAAAACTGTGTGGAAAGTGTTTGAAGAGCCAGAGGAGCTAAACGAATCTATCGATGAATTACGTGCCCGTTTCCCATAATCATAGTTATTCGGCGTCGATATGACTGCGCTCTACAATTACTGTTCTATGATTTTAACCTGACTTGATTTCCGTTTTGCCCTTAGCAGATCTTGCTTTCTTTTTAGGACTGCTGATATTTGCAGCTAGACACTGTCACTTCCTGGGCTCTAAGTTCTTGCGAAACCACCAGGATGACGAATTATTGCCGTGCTATATGTTCACTTCTGCCTTTTGGGGTTTCCTTGTTGATTATGTGTTATTGATTAAGCCGACTGTGGTGCTGTGCTTTTACTCCCGAACTGATTCGAGCTATCCTTGTAAGCTTCTACCTTTTTGATACCCGCTTTGGCGTATATTGTTCTTCCATATCCCGGTAAATTCTGCTTAAATTGGGCGTGTTTATCCGGGATGATATTTCTAGCTCTCAATTTATATAACGGTGTTCCAACCAAAGCTATTTACGCTTCATATTCTTCTTTTGAAGCTCAACAGTCCATATTTTTGATATGACGCAAGGTAGAACATCGAGACAAGGCTCTTACCACCTGCTTCATTCCACATATAGGGTGGCACCATGACTTTGTTTGAACGAGCTAGAATATCGGTGTACCACTGATAAGGCTGTGCACTTTCATTTCTGCTGGAATTTGCAAATGCCGCTGTAATTTCTCAAAATACAGATCATTCCTCAAGGATTGTGTGAGAGTGTGAAAATGAATAAATTTGCTCATCTTTCTAAAAGACTTGTTTTTGAGTTTGTACATTGTGAGGGTTTCGACACTGGAAAGAAGACTTATATCTGAAAGCTGTCTATAAAGCTGCTCACTCTCTACCATCATTCTGATGAAAAGAGAGACCACTAAGATAGCTGGATAATCTAGAAGATGATGGAAAATTAAGTTCCTTTCGGACTGACTCCTGAGATGTATGCAGTCTCTTGAGTCTTCTAGGAGGCAAGTCTAATCGAAAGAAATCTTCAGTGGGAATTTTCGGATTACATTGTTGCTACTCCGTACACAGTAACGCAACTCACAAGAGAATTGAAATTTGTAGTCATAATTAATAATTTCTGGTTGATAACTAAAGTAAAGAAAAGAAGTTTGATGAGTATGGAATAATGAAGGGGTAAACAGATTGTAAGAGAAATAATAGAGGGGAAATGTCATGGCGTACTCCGTACCCTAGGCTAGGCATGCCCTAAGGGCTAGTACTTTAGTAGTTAGCATAGCCCTATCCTCGTTAGTACTTATAGGTCGCGCTGGCCTTCTGTGGACTCAGCGAGGAATTCTTCTCTTACTGCGCATATAGCAATACTATCTTAACACTATAAGTGCACATTACTTCCTTTCTTGCACTGTAGGCTTGTACCTTACCCTTAGCACCTATCCTTTAGGCTTGCCACCCTACAGCAGACAATGATGAAGCTCTGATAAAATGTCGGATGCTTTGATACAATTCAGACAGAAAGATATTGACTATTCTTTGGGACTTAAATTCTTAATTTCTGACCCATAATACTCCATACTACAATAAAAATCTGTTTGATCAAGGAATTTAACCTTGGATGGTCACTATAGCATAGAAATGAATGTGCTATGTAATTGGTCTGGTGGTTGAACTGTTTGGCCACCTGTTGGAGGGGCTGGCAGAAGGGTAATGCGTAGCTCTCCTAATTGATTGGTCTGCCAGTCTCGAGGACTAAGCTCAAGCTAAGATTGTGGGTTCGAGTCCCACGTCCCTCGCAAATCTTTTTTTTCTTGAGAAGTTCATTCATAGCTTTAGGAGTCTTGGGGGTTTGTGGCGACTGATATCAGGTTCACAACTTCCGCTGAAGATGGCTGGATATATCGGTTTTACAGACCAAAATCTTTTTTAAAAGGCAGGCCTGGTGCCTAAATCTCTAGGATAAGTGACTGATTGACACATGTTTGAACCTATTTCCTCAGTACTTCTCACACCAAGTTTGCTAAAGCCCAGCTTTCTTAAACGCCGACTTTACATAATATTTCCTAATTAAAACGCTTCCATGAAGACAATGCAGCCAACAAGCGCCAGTGAGGAGTATATTCCTTCGACAATGCCCGCCGTCTACCTGCCTCCCTATTCAAAACGTCGCAGACGACCATCTGAACTTGTGTATCAAGTTGACGTACCAACAGCAAGGCCCACAAACACACAATATCTAATCAAAGTTCATTTTACGGCGTTATGCCGGGGTGAGCTTGAATGGCCAAGACTGCTGGGTTGTTTGGATTCAGGTACTGTTATTGGACACGATATCTGTGGCACTGTGCTCTCTACGCCTGTCATAGATGAACATGTTAGAGAAGGACCTAAGTTTAAAGTTGGGGATCAGGTTTTTGGTTTCATAGAACAGGCCAGAGATGGCGGTGCCACAGATTGTGTCACAGTGGAGGAGGATGAGCTAGCGTTTAAGCCGCAGAATCTCTCAGCGGCTGAGGCGTGTAGCATACCGTCGTCTGCGCTGATGGCATATCAAGGGCTGTATCTGCAATTGAAGATTGAAGAATGGTTGAATAGTTATGGGAAGAAGAGTGAAGAGCCCCTGAGGGTTTTGGTTTTGAATGGGATGGATGGTATAGGCATTCAGGTGATTCAGATGCTCCGCTCGAAATCCCTTTTTCCCGGCGCGCATATTTGGGTATGTGCTGCGACGGATTCTCCGAACAACGAGTCATTCTTGAGGAATGAGCTGCATGTCGACGAAGTGCTTGTGTTATCGGCGGCTATAGATTTAGTCCGGCTGTGGACTGAGAGAAGATTCACTCCCGTACATCTTGCGCTGGATTGTGATGGCAGCGAAAGGTTTCATCAACTTAGTAACACCGGTATTCTATGCAAGGGTGGAATGTCCTTAAGCATAGTGGAATCAGATAGTGAGACGTCCAACAATAACATGTTTTTCGGTCCTCTCTGGGTGGACCCAAACGAGGAGCAGTTAGCGATTATCTCGAAACTTGCTGAGAGGGGTGAGTTGAAGCCGTATGTCGATAAAATATTTGAACTGCACGAGGCAGTGGATGCGATGAAGTATGTCGAGTCGCATAAGGGAAGAGGAAAGGTATTGTTGCGGGTTAATTATGATTGAGATATTGGAGGCCATTCCAGTAAGGGGCTCATAAGCATCAAAAATGATAGAAACAGGTGCAATTTGAAATTAGCCTACAGAATTAAACTGTTAAAAGAAGTGGGAATGTATCAAAAACACAAGAATGAAAGAACAAGGAAGAATTTTGCCCCACCGTTTGGACATTCCAGACACTGAAGAAATGGAAAAGGGGAAACTAGAGGCTTGAATTCATTCACTATGGCTCATATCATGTGGCTCATTATTTCAATAGCTGTTTGATAGCCAATCACAGATGATTCCATGAAGAATAATCATGGAAAATAGGAAAAACTTATACCTAGAAAGATCATATAGCCTGTCATATTCTTGGTCGGTAGTTGCTCTTGGGAAATGAAGATTCTAGATTGCGTACTATAACAAAAGACATTAAGAGGTCAACAAATGCTACCCTCAAATGCTGTAAGTAGGCTTATGACCAGAATATTCTTTTGGCGAAAGGGAAACAAGGGGGAAAGTACAGTACAGGGGCATAAAAAGGTAGAATTCGCTCAAAGTAGGGAATCAAGACGTGTAAACACATTTAAGCATGCCGCTATCACCTATTGTTCTAGTTAGCATATTGGAAGGTGAAAAGATACAAGAAAGACAAATAAGGTGCATAGGTATACCTCTAACTGAAGCTCTCTGTCCTTCGCTCTTTCAAGCTCTGCTCTCACCTCCTGCGACAAGTTTGCTCCAATTCCTTGTGTTCCGCCAGATCGTAACGAAAATGGCCATTGTGAATAATCAGCTAGAAGCTCATCTACCTGGGCAAACGCCCTCTCTCGCGCATCATGGTTCATGGTGACCAAGCAATTTTCAAGCACATTGGCAGCATAAGCTGCACATACCATTGTTATGCTGCGTAGGTATCTGAATTCAACGTCATTGGGGAGGTATTGGCTTGCAGGTATAATAACGGTGCGGCTGGTGCAGATGTTCCGGACTCTCTTGTTAATTTCATCTTTTGCAGAGCTGTCGGCGACGGGGTGGGTGGGCATATCGAAAAGTAGGAAGTTCCGTTTTTCGGTGCGAAGAACACCCTTGTCAACAAGACCCTTAGCAAGTCTCTCTCTTACTTGTTTAAGCTGATAGCCAATCTTCATTAAGTTCCATGTTTCACCTAAAAACCAGATACATATGTCAGTCAATGCATGCTGGCTGAATGATAGAAGTGAAAGAAGAAAAAAAGAATAGATATGAACAGTTCATACCACTCATTAGGTCAATCCATGAGCTGACGCTCATCTTCTCACTTGACTTCATCATTTTCAGTGCTTCATCCAGCAGCACCTCTCCTGTCAAGGTATCATCAATCACTTCAAGAATTCGATCAGCAAGCGGAAAACGTCGTCGTGAGGAGTCCTTCTGCATGCTAACTCGGCCGCGAAAGGCCAATTCGATTACGATGCATCCTCGTAAGGCATAAGAAATATTCTCATTCCAGAAAGAGTAGAAGCCCTAGAAAGGCAAAGCGGTGTTAGCAATGTGTCCACAGTAGATAAGATGTCTAGCTGGTATAATCCATCTCTCTAACTGCAGGCTCAAGTGAACAATCTGCCATACCTGCTTATCTTTCAACCCAAGCAATAACACCTCTTCCATCAATGTCAACTTGGGCTGCTTGGCCTGGTCGACGCTTTCACTGATATCCTTCGGATCATAAGCGATCTTGTGTCCATTCTCGCCCCCAATAAACGAAGTCTCAGGCCCACGATTGTCGTGATTAGGTCCGCTGTGTGGAGACGGAGAGGCGACTCGACCATCGTCGCCATTTGCCCGGCCTCCCCCTCGACGGCGCGTCAGGCCACTGGTGGTCGCCATGCGTCAGATGCGAAGCGCACCCGATCCAGAGAGCGTGTTTAACGGTAGATTGGGCGGGATGGGATGGGAATTTCGAAAGAGAGAGATTCGGGAACTGCTGCGCGTGACACCGGGTATCGAGAGCGGTTGGTTAGGCAGTGGTGAAAAGCGGGTGTATCTTGAGTATGGGGTAATAACTAGAGTAATCAATTGGCCCCCAACAAGAAAACCGCAGCGCGGTATGTGTACTCTTTGCGAAGGGAGCGAAAACCTCGTCCCCTTGCAAGCAATGGAGGTCGAGCCGTACGGAGTACGCTTGACGAATTGGCCAACACGGTTGTTCAACTAACGGCGGTCTTGGCAGCCTTCCTTCTCGCCAGCAGTAGGAATAGGGGTTGGGCAACGAATTGAACGGCCACGACGCCGGGGCTGAGTGATTGAATGGGGTGGGTGAGTTTTGACTCGAAGCTGCTTGGATTGGCTATAGCGATATGCTTATAAGAGTCTGCATACGTACTCCATACTCCGTAACTACTCCGCACTGTACATTGCTAGACATCTAAGATAACACAACCATATGCTTTCCCCTAGAGATCTGACATGTGAGTTTACTATCACTGGGACGATTCTCGCCAAACAACGAGTTGTACGTAAATCGGGCAGTCTAAAACGGTTTGAAAGTCTCGAAATTCAGATGATATACACAATACAGCGGAGGAACGGTTGAACAGGAACATCGTGGCCTCCATACGAAACACGCGAATTGACACTCCTCTCTGTGGTTTTAATACGCGCGGCTATTCCCAACGATATCCCTTCAGCTTTTTAAGAGGTCAAATTTTAGTGAGCTAGAGGTCGGTTAGCGGTGGTGTTGCCTGAGGGGCGGTGGTGAAGCATACCATCGGGCTGGGAAAGAATGTACTGAACAGCTTGGTCGACTATATAGATATTGTCAGTTCACCATTCTTAACAATGTATCCAGGGAATGCTCCACGCACTGCTATGGATTGAGTCGGCTTCCTTGTCCGGGATCTCAATACTGAACTCCTGCTCATGGTATCAGCAAACTAGTGAAGAAAATCAATAATCAGAAGCAAGATTACCTCTTCAATGGCCATCACGACTTCAACAGTATCCAAGCTGTCTAACCCGAGATCATTTGTGAAATGCGATGTAGGCGAAATCTGTTTGCATTGGGAAATGAGCCAGAGTAAACACGCACTGCAGCAGCCTTCTACATACCTTCGAGGCATCAGTGACCTAGAGTTTTGGGCATATTAGCATTTGATACAACGCCCTAGCAGTATGTCACATCAATGCATCGCACCTTGTCAAAGTTCTTCAAGAGATCAACTATTCTTCCCTCAACCTCCGTCTGGTTAAGACCGGCGGGGGCAGAATACGATCGGATGGTCTGATAGGAGATGCAAGGAGCGAATTGAGCTTGTCGGACGATGGCAGAGGCTCTGGGGAGCTGACGGACTGTCGATGAGTTCCTCACGGTGCGAGGCATGGAGGCGGTGCGAAGAGACCGGAGAAAGGCTGAGCGGAACATGTTGGCGGTGCCGAGCAAGTAGCCAGAAGTGAAATAGGGATAGAGAAGCGCGTGGGCGACGGTCAAGGCGGGTTGCAGGCAAAAGCGTTGGATTTCGGGCAAAAAACTGTGAAGTCGAAGTTCTGTTTTGCAGGACAGGCCGCCAGCCAATCAGCGACGAGAGGAACGATATGACCTTCACCACATTCGCGAACGCAAGAACATCTCAAGGCACGTCGTGAATTCTTTTCTCGCAATTGACGCCCGCCCACACAATGGCTTCCTCAAGGCCTGCTGCCCGACTACTGGCCTCCCGGTGGCCGTCGCCTCTCTCCTCTTCATTTTCTGTTCCCTCGCACATCAATCGCTCCGCCATCACATATGTCCTCTTCTCAACATCAGCGAGTCGAACTGCGACACCGCATGGTCCACCTCAGCCCGGCTTTCGTTTGCCAACGCCGAAACGATGGGATCAGAGTGACGAGTCAACGTTGGACAAGGCGGGAAAATTCTTCTTGATGACTGAGCTGTTTCGAGGCATGTACGTGGTACTAGAGCAGTTCTTTAGACCACCGTAAGTAGCGCATTCATGCTCCCCGTCTGCAGGTCCCAGCTCTACAAGCTGCTTGCATACCCTCCATTACAGCTCGCTAAGATGTTGTGTGCTCAGATATACAATTTTCTACCCCTTTGAAAAGGGTCCTATATCTCCCCGGTTCCGCGGCGAACATGCCCTACGCAGATACCCTTCCGGCGAAGAGAGATGTATTGCCTGCAAGCTCTGCGAAGCAATTTGCCCCGCGCAAGCCATCACAATTGAAGCAGAAGAGCGCGAGGACGGAAGCCGAAGAACCACCCGATATGATATTGACATGACCAAGTGTATTTACTGTGGCTTCTGTCAGGAAAGCTGCCCAGTGGATGCGATTGTTGAATGTGAGTTAATTTGCAAATAGCAATATTCCAAAGTTTATTGCGATCGCTTTGGCAACGACTTATTGTCTACGTTTTTGGGGGCTGTCTGGCTGATATATTCTTTTTTTTTCTATAGCACCGAACGCCGAATATGCCACTGAAACCAGAGAAGAATTATTGTACAACAAGGAGAAATTACTTTCCAACGGAGATAAATGGGAACCAGAACTAGCCGCGGCCGCTCGTGCCGATGCTCCATACAGATAGTAATTCTTGATGAACTGCTGTATTGCTGTCCTTTCCTGTGTTAAACCCGAGCGAATTTTCTTTTTTTTTTTTAACAATAGATAGATCTTTTCGGTCTACTAAAACCTGGTCATTCATATGGTCACTGAATGTATGTATATAGCGTGGTTGGGCTTTCATCTAGCTGAGTTTCTGGAAGCAACCTGAGACTGTATGGCAACATTTCCTCACATTTTCCCATTATTGTTCAATGAGACATAACAAAGAGATTTTATTTTCTTTTGTCGCTAGGCAAAGCATCAACAGAGGACTTCAGCATATGTACAAAATTGTTGAGGGACGCCTCTGTCAAACGATGTATGGAATTGAACCTTTCGCACTCTGGTATCCAACCGAGGAGTAATAATAGCATCATATTCGTCGAGTCATATTGGTATACAAGTCAAACGCAACAGGCAACTAATCAACTCTCAAATATCACTTCTTTTTCCCGCCTGCTTTAGTTTTGAAGCTTCCCTCGAAACCGGGCCTCGCTTTAGCCTTGCCTTTTTTCCCTTTGCTCCCTTTCTCCTCCCTTCTTTTCCGAATATTTTCTTCTCTCTTCGCTTGTCGAGCATCTTTACTTTTCGTCACGCCTTCTATTCTCTCTTTCCACTGCTTCTCGCTCTTCTTTTTGATGCTCTCTTTCCTCTGTAGGGCTTTCTTCAGCAACGATACATCATCCTTCACTTTCTCGCCGTGCGCCCTTTTCTTCGCATTGAGCCACATATCTTTTTCTTCGATGTCTGCTCTTTTCTTCTCATCCAGCGAGGCCAGTCTTTCTTTCTTGGCCTCTGCGGCTTTGAGGGCGGTGGTAGCGTCCTGAGCACCCCTGTGCTTTTTCTGCTCGCGGAGAGTTGTTAAGTTTGCATCGGTTGTTTGTCCATCAGCAAAGATAACCCGGCCAAATGAGAAATTGTTTTGTATTGAAGTTATAGATTCTGCAGGAGATCCGGGAGATGCGAGTAATGAGCCCTTGGATGAAAATCGCTTGGCGATAGCCTCGTCACGCAATCTTTGTTCTTCATCTTTGGCTTTCTGGCGCATTTCTTTCTTATGAGCACGACGCTGCTCTTCGCGTTGCCGCCTAGCCTCAATCAGCTCTTGTCTATTTTTGGCGGGTTTTCCATTAAAGCCATCAGCGTGGCGAGCGGCTCGCAATTCATCCAGGCGCTTCTGCAAGCGATGCTTCAGTTCTTCAGGTGTAGATTTAGGTGTCTTTGGCTTCAAAGTCTGCTCCTGCTTCTTATTGCTGGTATTATCTTCTGTGGGTGGAATGGCCGATGATATAGAAGAGTTTCCTGAGGGAAGATTGGATGCATCAAAAAGAGCAGAATTGGCCGCTGGTGATGAAGTCGCAGATGAATCGATATCTGATTTATCTGAAGCATTTTGAATAGAAAAGCCTTCGATAGGAGCTATTTCGTCTGCACCATCGTCGTCGTCGTTCTCTTCTGGTGATCTGGGATCCGACTCCCCGGGCATTTCAGGTGCTGTATCTGGATGGTCCTGCACAACTTTTGGCTGCTTTTCTTTTTGCGTTTTCTTCTCTTTACGCTTTTCGGCCTTCTCGGCCTGTTTCTGCTTCTTGTGTTCTTGTTTTGTAGCCTTCTGGTCCTGCTTCTTTTTTAAGCGCCCATCGGTTTCACTTCTAGCAGTGGGCTGCGTATTATCTATCGACTCCGTAGGTGGCTGGTTTTCCATGCTCTCTGTCTTTTTCTGCTTTTTGGTTTTGTGGTTGCCGCGTTTTAAGCCCTCCCGGGGCTTTTCAGAGCCCAGTTCGTGCTCGTCAGAATCTGGTTGCCCATCTTCACGCTTTCGTTTGCGGGCATTTTCGTCCATCACATCTTTAGCAGTCTTCGCAGCATTTGGATCTAATTTGGCACGTTTGGCATTTCGAGCTTGCTCTTTGGTTTGCTTTTTTCGTTGCCATTGATCCTAGTTGCCCCTCCAGTGTCAGTGATTTGTACAATTCAACAGGCCTCAGATGAAAGAAAAAAAAACATACACTCGTATCTTCTCCGTAGTAGTATTTAGCCGGGATCAGAGAGAGCAACCCATCAAATGCATCTGCGTGGCTGCGTAGGCGCTCCTAGATCCAACAGAAAATTAAAGGCTGGATTATTAGCAAGAACATTGCGGACTCACCTCCAAGCTGTCCCCCATATTTATAAAATGCAAATAAATAGAATTCCACTGCTGCCTCTCCTCAGTTTGATATCACGCCTGGTGGTGTCCTGGGAAACCTTGTTGAGGAGAAAATTATTTGCGTGCTCTCAAGGAGTTTTTAGATTCTCCACCTCCGCGTGGTGCGAGAATCCGCACCCTGGTCGCCGCACACCGCCACGCAATTAACTAACTAAGTATTTTGCATGCCAACGTATCAGCTGTCCTCAAGATTATTTAGCTCTATAAGTAGTTTGCTGAAAACCTCTGACAATGCTGTCAACCGCGGTGTGAAAAATCCATAGCGAAAAAAAAAGAAATAGTGACTAGACTGGGGTTCGATCCCAGGACCTTATCGGAACCAGTGGATCAAAGATCCATCTGTGAGCGATACGTGATAACCAACTACACCATCCAGCCAACTGTGGAAGCTTGCCGCCCCCCTGGGATTTAAGTCCAGCAACTTCAGATCACTACGTAACAACATCTAGCTCTCAATTTTCGCAGGAAGGAGCGGTCGTATAATGAAAGATTGGCCGAAAAATTAAGTCTTTTATGTTATTCTTGCTATTAGACTTCGCAAATTTGATGACCTGACCCTTACTCCGTATAATCATAGTAGTTATCTAGCGCATTATTGTATACGACAGTGGAGAGATACAGGAGCTGCGCTGGCTTTCTCTTGCTGGTAGGGAAGAGGGCCATTGGATCAAAAATTTTATTCAATCGATGTCCGCTTTTTTGACCCAGTTGGTCATTCATCTAATAAGCATTTCTATCTCATCAGTTCACAAAGAAAGCACTGGAGAGGTTGAGTAAACAAAACTAGAAATAGACACCGAAGTAATATAGAAAACAGATGACCCTTCTTCAGTGGTTAATTTGTCCACCAGGATGGCTGATGTGCAACTCAAAAGCCACAGTCATTGTGATAAGCAGGCTTAGTGTAGAATGTCTAACGGGGGTGATCGCCCTAGGGAATAAAGGCAGAGAGCACACTCCAAAGATGACAACACAAGAGGCAGTTGATATTAGATAAGACATTTTAATTCATAGAATGCAGAGTTGTAAGCATTGATTTCAACTTTGCGGTCTGAAAAATGAATCTAGAATGCTCCAGTGAAAACAGCAAGAAGCCAAGAAAAGAATGTAGAGTAAAAAGGAGTGGATGCATTTGTGATTGGAAGTCACAACAACACCTTTTACACAATCCTGCTTCAAAGGTTTTTGGCGATGCTGTTGATATCAAAGCAAACACAGAGGCGCATCTTTGAGATGGAGTAGCGAGCCAAAGCACTACCTCACGAAATAAATAAATGGATATCAAAAACAAAACCATTCTCAGCCACCCCCATAAGTCCATGCCCTGGATTCTGTTTCGGCAATCCGAGGTATTTGGGCAGTGCCAGTCCCGATGGGATGACGCCCTGGCATTGCGATTGTTGAGTTGCATGATGGTTGCGGTTTTAGGCCGGTTAGTTGTCTGCTACTTGGGCTTTTAAACCATAGGCTACCGCGCTCCCCGCGCCATGCGCCTTTCGCTCCTTTCTCTGTTTGTAAGTATTAAGCTTATAATTTTGGAAACATCCTCATAAGCGGTTCTTTGATTTGTGGTAGGCTGAGTGCAAACAGATGACATGGAAGAGAACTGGTCTGTTTGACAGAAACGGCCATCAGAAGCGACACACTTGGGGGCAGGAGGGGCTGAGCCACCAGCCACTCAATATGTGGCTGTGCACCTCAGACTTTAGGCTGTATGAGATTAGTCAGCACGCACCGTTTTGCGGCTAGTCCATCTTATCGGACGACACAGGAGCACGTGATGATCATGTGACTGAGCATCTATTATATTGCGTCTAGATCTGCTCCTAACAAACAAGACAAGGATACTTATAGACAAACCTGCTATAATCAAGACTACAGAAAAAAACATATGAAAAACCCCTAGCAAATCTCTGTCAGTCTGATAGTCAAAGATAATGAAATTAATATCATGATTAAGAAGAGAAGATGATAAATCTATGATTCTCTGATTTCTTTTTTAAAAATCTGATCATCTAATAAATCATCTGACTTCTGCTCAACATGCTTCTGTAGCTTTGACAGTGATGTAGATGGCAAACTTCTCTCTATTAAATAATTAATATTCATAAGTCTTAATTGCTTCATGAATTTTTCAAATTTCTGTCTAGATAAGATCTTTGTTAAGTCATCTGCAGACATATTATTGCTTTCAATTCAGATAATATTCAATTTCTTATTAGTAACTACTTACTGTAATCAGTGGTGATGAATATCAATGTGATGAAGCTTAATAATTAGTTGTGAAGCTGCTGAAATCAGTAAATGAATTGTCTACAAATTATCACATAAAATATCAAAATCTTTTTCTAATTTCAATGTAATATTCTTAAATAAGCATTTTCATCACATGATCTCTTTTGTCATATAGAATAGTGCTAAAAGCTCAGCTTCTGTTGAAGATGTTGCAATGGTCTTTTGTCTGAAGAATTTTCAATCAATTAAGTCTTTAAAGAGCTTGAATACAGAGCTCTGAAAGAAGTGTCTAGAGCTCAAATCATCTGCAAAAGAAGAATCACTGATGATTATTAAATAAATGTTTATGATGTTGATATTATTACTCTCTTCTTGAGTATTCAATTCATCATCAGCAAAGAATTCAAGAGTGTAGTACTTCATTGAAAAAGCATATAAGATAACTCTCTCAATTGCTGTATGATGTTCTGATTCTGAATTAATCAAAGTCTCACTTAATTTTGCAGTAGCAAATGAAATATCAGACTGCATTATAATAGCAGTGTAGAGAGCCAAATCAACTTTTTGTTGATAAGCATGTATTCATTGCTTATCTTGCACTCTCATATAAGAAGCTATATCTGCAGTTACCATTGATGTATATGATGGCTTCAACTCTATAAAATTGAACTTATTAGTGATCTTCTTAATATAACTATTCTGACACAGTCAAAGCTTCTGAGCATCTCTATTTTGTAAGACATAAATATCTAGAAATCACTCTAGCTGTTCAATCTCTCAAAGCTTGTAATGTGTCTGTAGATTCTTCAATAACTGCTCAAATGTTCCAACATTCTTTCTGTGATATAAAAATACTATGTCATTCATGTAAAAGAAGATAATAATATTCTTACCAATAAATAGACATAATTCTTCACAAATCTGATGAAATTTTAGTTTCTGAAGTGTTGAAGTGAGATCTTTGTACCAAAGTCATGAAGATTTAAGATGACTGTATAAGACATATAGAATCTTTCAAACATCTCTTTTCTTACTGTAACTCTCTGCTGGTCTGCAATAAACAGATTTATCAAATGAAGCATTAATGAATGCATTAACAGTGTCAATCTGAAAGATCTCCATTTCAAAATAAGCTGTTATAGTCATTAAAAGACAAAATATCCATGCAGTGAGAGTAGCAGCATAGATGTCATGTTTATTATTGATATTCAGATCTCCACAAAAAACAAGTCTTGTCTTATAACATTCCAAAAAACTGTTAACATCAAATTTATATATATAAATTCACATTAGAGAGATTGAATGTATTTCTTCTGAGCTCTCTACTTCTTCAAAGCATTTCTTCATTTGTAGCTTCTTCATTTCCACATCCATGATGATCTTAAATTCATCAGCATGTGGATGTTGCAACATTGAAAAATAATGCTTCAGAGACTTCAGAAGATTCTCTCTATGAAGTCTAGAATTTATAATTGTAAAAGCTGTTAAATAGTCTCTATAAAAAGAATTCAAATGTGCTGTTTACTGCAGAATCACTGTATAAGCTGTTCATCTGTCAATTCAATCTGTATTTTGACATCTTATTCTAACACTTTGTCTAGAAGATGGAGGTTGCTTATTTAAGCTCACTCTGACTGAGTCATTCACTACTTTCATGATAAAATGATTGACTGTTGAAATTCTGTCATTAGTGCTCACCATCTCTGCAGCAGAATGATTGGCTATTAATTGTCTGTCATTTGTACTCACCACCTCCATAGAGCTAGTGACAGAAAGTGTAGTAGATGTTATATCTTCAAATGACTCAACTACAACATCACTCACTACTCCCATAGCTTCTGTGGCAGAATGATTGACTGTCAATGAAAGTTGATCTAACATCTCTATTTCAGTTGATGATGTTGTTGGATCATCTGAAAGAGATTGAGTGTAGATGTCTGAAGCCAATGACTCTGATGTAAACTCTAATATTGACAATGCATGTATCTCTTCTGATTGATCAGTTAGTGTCTTAGTCATTGTTTCTGTTGATCTTATTAACTGATCAACAGTTTTGTAACTTTCATGTGATGTCTTCTTCTCAGAGTCTTCATCTTTGCTGTCATGCTTGCTCAAGCTCATCTTGTTAATATCACTTACTTCAATGAAAGATATTGTATCTGGCACAACAAAGCTCTTCTGTAATAAAAGCTCACTGCTAATCTTGTTAGAATTGAATAGCATACTCTTGTCAAATATAACATCTCTCATTAATATAATCTTTCATCATACTGAAATCCAAATGCAAAAAATATCCATTGATTTGTATTCAACAAGATATTCAACTTTCACTCTAGAAGTCAGCTTCTGATTTCTTTCATATCATGCATTCTTAATTAAAGAATATGCTCTACAGCCAAAAACTCTTATATGCCTAATTTCAGTTAAAGAAGTTGCAGTTTGAAGATATTTCTCTAAGAATTTAAGAGAAGTATTTCAATTAAGATCTTTAACTGAAATTCTGTTTAAAATATACACTGCAGTCTTGACACATTCTGATCATAAATTCTCAGATAAGTTGACTTCAATTTACATTATATATGCTGCTGTTGTTATTAAAGCTTCTGCATGTTTTGCAGCTCCATTTTGAGTCAGTATGTAGAGTGCTGAATGTTGAACAACTATATCATATGTTCAAGTCAATGCTATCAGTTCTGACTGCATAGAGGTCTCTCCATCAATTTAAATAGTCAAGATAGTTAATTGATATAAATTGAGAATTATTCTTATCATTTTTGCTGTGCATGTCAAACTTTTGGATTTTTGCTGCATTGTTTTCATGTAGTGCAGATGAATATAATCACAATATAAGTAAACCATTCATCTATCTCCATTATAATCTGAAGCAAACTGTATGAGATCAACAGACATCTTTATGAATGAGTGTGTAGATCTTTCTGACAGTGTTCTGTGTATAATTTACTTTGCTTTTAAAAAAGCACAAAATCTGCACTTTACTGTTAGAGAACTCTGAGAGATCTTTTCAAATTTCACATCAGTAAGCATCTTTGAAACATGTGTCAGAGACTTTCTGTCCAGATGATCAAGTCTCAGATGCTAAATATTTATGATTTTCAGTGAACTGAATATCAACATCATGATCAGTTTATTAATCAAATCTTTGTTCAATGAGACAGTAAAAACACTTTTTGTTATACTGTCTGTTGCAATGTTAATAGATCTATATTCAACAACCATTTTTCTCTTTTTAACAGTCAAATTGAACAAGATATCTCTTGTGCCAGTGTAGTAAACTGTAAGAGACTTATTGTTCAAATAACAACTCTTTGCACACAGCAATCTGTGCACTACTAGATTTGTATGAAAGCCAGAAATGTAGAGAACATTCTTTAGTAATATCTTATCAGCATCTGCTGATGTTTGGATATAAACTTCAACATCACTGTATTCATAAATTTTACAATGAGTATTTTCAACAAGCACAATATCTGAAGAATCAGCATCTCAGTAGTTTTGAAATCTTGTAAAATCATTGCAAATATGTGCATCTGCACTCTCATTTAATATGAAGCTGTTCTGTAATGAATAGGGTTCATATTTATCACTCATGTTAGTGAAGTTAAAAACTGTTATGAAAGTGAAGATAGTTGAGTTAGAGAATGTCTTGGCAACAGCTTTGTTAGCATCACTGTCTGTTGCATTGTCTGAAGTGCTAACTTCTTCAGTAGTATTTGAATTCTTCAATTTCTTTCAATTTGCAATCTTTTTCTTTAATTTTCTGTCATTCACTGGATTCTTCAATGCTTTCTTAATCTTATTATCAATTTTTGAATCTGGTTTTCAGTCTGTTGGTTGAACAAATGAATTAAAATATGAACAGTAGACCCAATTATGTTGCTCTCTGCAAAGACATGCAGAGTTTGTACTTTCATTATTCTTTCTCAACAGCTTATTTTGAATGATTCTTTCTGTGAAATATGCTGACAGCTTATTACTTTAACCTGACTCAGTATCTTTCTTTAACAACTGCCAAAATATCTGAATATGTCTATAAACATTCAGCTCATGTTCCCAATTCAAATTCTTCTTGATTAGAAGCTTAGATAGATATGTATAGAAGAACTTTCTATAATTTAAAGAGATAGCTCTCAGAAATTGTTTCAAGACAAAAGATTTGTGAATATATTCATACATATTGTACATAATTACTCAATTCAATGCTTCTTTATAGTTCAGTAAATATGCTTTAATTGCTTGATTCTTTGACTCTTCTTCAAGAGTTTTGAATTTCTCTACTAATCTAACTTTCAATTGAGAAGCATTCACTGCATTTCTAACATATAGAGCTTTCAGATGTTTCTTTGCAGTAGCTTCTATATTATCTGATTCACTTATTGTAAGAATTCTCAGAGATGAATCTACATGATTTTTTATTGTCTTCTGTAGCTCTTGCATTGCTAAAATTCTCTTCTCTTAAGTTCTGTATCAATTTCTTTGCATATTTCTTGCATGTTTTATATCTGCAGAAGTTGTGATTTCTTTGATTTTCTCAGAAGAAAGAAAATTCTCTATAATGAATTTCTGAAGTTTGAGATGCATTTCTTTTGTCAGATCAACATACAATCACAATTAGTGAAGATTTGCTAAATGCTTGATGTCTTCAATTCATTCTTTTCAATCATCAGAACTATTCAGCATAACAACTCTTCTAGACAATTCATTTATTTTTAATTAATTATTGAAGTGAGACATTGACTCTAGATTATGATTTTCTGTAGACTTAGATTGATAAAAATTATATAGATGCATTAGATCTCCACAAACTCCACAATTAAGATTTAAGCTTAAATAGAGAGTTCAATGTATGATCTCAAGATACTTAATAGTGATCTCTATTTGTATGAATAACAAGAGTGAAATAAAGTATCTTAAACATATCTTTAGATAATAACCAAATTCTTAAAAGAGTCCAGACTCATAACTATCAGATGACACAGAAGCACATGATGATCATGTAACTGAGCATCTATTATATTGCATCTAGATCTGCTTCTAACAAATGAGACAAGAATACTTATAGACAAATCTGCTATAATCAAGACTACAGGAAAAAACATATGAAAAACCCCTAGCAAATCTCCACCAGCCCAATAGTCAAAGATAATGAAATTGGTACCATGGTTGAGAAGAGGAGGTGGTGAACCTACAGTTCTCTGGTTCCTCCTTCAGAGACCTGGTCACCTGACAAGTCACCTGACTCCTGCTCAACACATCTCGAGGCTCAGCGTGCTCTCGAAATACTACTCGTTGGATACTAATCAATAATTTCGCTTCATGACGTATCGTGATACTTTGTAGCTATACTACTTGCGGCCTTGGTGACAAGACTGTCAAGAACTAAGGAGGACTGGTTTCCATAAGTAGATCATCAGATACGGAGCACTCAAACAGATACCACATACACAAGCCCCAACCACACCTCTCATAGTGCTAATATGTCTGACAAGTCGTTTAAATCACAAGATATGCATGGGTGCTCACTTGCTGTAGCCAAGAAAGAAAATTATGACATTTCTTCTGTGTGTGTTCAATATTTGGACGCTCTGTTTTTCTCCAGGCTTCTAAGTGCCCTCAGTGGGTGTGGGCTCCAGGTATTTATCACCATCAGGGCTCAACAGTACTAGATGATGATAGTCAACCACCATCATATTCCCATGCTCCATGGGAAGGTTATCAATTCTCCGCTAGTGCTCCATAGCAACTGACGAACCATCGATAATGATAGCCAGGGAAACTCCTCCCTCGGAACGACGGAGAGATTTTTCTCGATTTTATGGTGTCATTGCATAAATTAATCGATATTTGCCGCGGGGAGCTTTTGGTCATGTTAAAATGTTTGGTTACTCTCATATCTATTTCATGACGGGGGGTTGGGACTTTACAACTATAGTTTAGAGTAGTACGGAGTAAAAAACGGAAAACTTTTCGCGCTCCCTACACCCTGTACTCAGGACAGCGAAACCTTTCTCACTGCTCAGTAGTATTATTTTTTAGGCTTCGCAATTTTCCAGCTGATACTCCGGATATTCTGCGTATATTATCGTAGCATCGTTAATATCCCTGAACCTGGTAGTTGTCAATCATAATACGTCGGATAATACTCCATATTGAACTGAAGGCCAGGGTTAAGGGAGTGATGGATCATCTTCTTTTGCATCTTGAAAAAAAAAGACGGCGTTCTTGTTATGACACAATAAATAATGTCTTTTCATTCTGCATTTCAAGGCTCGCGCCGTATCATGGAAGTTGACAATATTGAGTTGGCCAAGAGACAGGGGAACGCGCCAAGCTTTCTTCGGCTTCATGGGCCTTTTCAATCTCATTTGCACCGAAACAAATGGTTGGAACGTTCAGGTTTCAGGAAATAATAATAATAGCTCCAGCAGGCGTATTGTTTTGTTTATGGGATTCAAGTTTGTTAAGAATATTTGGAAAAAGACAAGGTCGGCAGCAAATTCGATATTCAAACAAGGCTCCTCTGCCCCCACGACAAGAAGTTGATCTCCTGAGAGCAAGCAATACCCTCACCGTATAAAGATAAGTAGCAGAATCTTGGAATCGCCTCTATGCATATCTTTCTTGGTAGGGCTCCTCAAGGTTAGATGGGCTCTCAGAATCAGAGCATGTAAAATGCCATTGGCTCTTAGGAGTATGACCCCATACATATATAGGGTCGCAGCCACCGATTTAACCCACTCTTCTTCGGGATCGTCGCTCATCTTCGGTTGGGCTCGCCGGGAACTTCCCCGCGATTGTGACCATCCCAGAACACCCGTGGAACATTCCCTGCAGAAGTTTGATCAGGTACATCAGACTGCACGCCACTTTTGCCTCGTTTAGGTGGTCTCGCTAGAGAGAAACGACCATTTTGAAAAAAAAAAAAATTCCTTCACTCATGGAGATGATCATCTTTTTGAAAGGCACGTCTAAATAATGATAAGAAAGGGAAAAGAACATATACTCTGATCTTTTTGTTCGCCGTTATGCATGGAAATGCATGCGTATCAACGCCTTATCCTGGTACGGACGATCGTAACACGGCAACGTATTCTTGAAACGTTGTAGTAGTGCCTGGTAAAAGGCAGGTCGGGTTCTCATACTAGCAGCAGCGGTTGACAGATGATACCCCGCAAGCACCCGAGCCGATTAAATCTATAATACGATTAGTATTACCGTCAACGCGTGTTGCCACAAGCAGGCCGGCCGTCTATTGCCGCCGAGAATCAGCTGGTGAGCGTATAAATCTGCTCATCTCCGTAGCTCATATTTCGTTCGTTCCCGTGTTTTCTTTCTCCATCATCTTTGGTTACCATTTTGCTGGTGATTTTGGTCAACATGCATTTTTTGAAGTCCAGTTTCCTATTTTTGCTGCCCCTTGTGGCGGCAAGCCCTCTACCACAAGAGGACAGTGACATTGTCCCTGGAAAATATATTGTCACCCTCAAAGATGGCGTCACGCAGGCAGATATTGAATCTCACAAGAGCTGGGTCTCCTCCATACACAGTTCTAACCTTGCGGCAGCGGCAGCGGCAGGCCGTACTGGATTGGAGTCAGACGGTATTCGCAAAGTGTTCCAAATCCACGACTTCAAGGCATACTCTGGTTCATTTGACGCCAAAACTGCAGAGGACATCAGACGCAATCCACTGGTGGGTGAACACTTACCATTTGAACTCGGCTGTTCTAGAAGTCACTAAGTCCGGTGTGATTACATTTAGGTGAAATCCGTTAGTCCAGACCGAAAGGTATATCTCGCTTCTCCTGTCCAACAAAACGACGCTGGATGGAATTTGGGCCATATGTCAAGCAAGGGAAGACAATCCTGGACCTATAAATATGATAGTTCCGCTGGAGAAGGAGTGTGGGCTTATGTGTTGGACTCTGGTATCAACGTTAACCACATTGACTTCGAAGGCCGTGCAATCTTGGGGTACAATGCGTTGAAAACAATCCCCCATGCTGATAACTTGGGACACGGCACATACGTAGCGGGTGTCATCGCCTCAAAAACATATGGAGTAGCTAAGAAGGCGACAGTGGTGTCGGCTAAAGCATTCGACACTGGCTCGGTTAGCGATGGTTTTCCAATATGTTTTGGGCCTTTACTGACTCGTGCCATCTAGACCACATACGATTTTATTTTCGATGCTTTCAACTGGATTGTCAAAAATATCACAGACAGTAGCCGGCAGAAGAAGGCGGTTATCAATATGAGTATTAGTATGTTCAGTTCTTCGAAAGGATTCCCCAAAGACAAGAACTGATAAGAGGTGCGCTTTAGCCAGTGCCAAATATCAGGAGTTCGACGATGCCGTTGAAGCTGCCATCAAATCTGGAATCACAGTAGTTGTTGCAGCTGGCAACAACGGGGTAAGGCTCCACTATACATGAGGCAACCTGGATTATTATGACTGACATCTCGATACAGAAAGACGCAATGAACAACACTCCAGCATCTGCACCCAACGCAATCACTGTAGGCGCTTTCCGTTTCGATAACACTCGCTCGTATTTCTCGAATTATGGAAAAGTCGTGGACCTTTTTGCTCCTGGTGAGAGAATCCTCTCCACTTGGAAGGGAGCCAACAACAACGGGACAAACAAGGCGGATGGAACCTCGGTCGCAGCACCCCATGTTGCTGGTCTGGTTGCATATTTGATGGCTAGGGAAGACTTTGCTACCCCTGCCGATGTGACCAAGAAGGTCCTAGGGCTCGCAATCCCCAACTTGGTCAAGAACCCAGGCACCGGTAGCCCTAACCTTCTGGCATACAACGGCATCAATGAAGAGAAGTGAGACTCGTGTTTTGCAGCAATTTGCACATAGATGTAAGAATGAGAACGAAATGTACATACAAACAAACATCATAGCCATAGCTAGAGCGTCGCCATGAGTCAAAAATAGCACCGTCGTTGGGCTGTCAAGCAAGCAATGTCCAACCTCCCCTTGATCGTCTGATCAGCGCACGTGATATAATCGGGCTGTGCCAAGCCGTGTCCGCGCCGACCACCGCCGCAGTCGTGGCGCGGGCGCGGTCTAGCGCGGGGCTGGCAGCTGGCTTCAGCTGGCTCCTGCCCTGACCGCAGTCGCAGCCACTCAGGGTCGCAGGGGTGGGTCTGTCTAGTCATCACAAATGACGAATTAGAAGGCTGCGCTGTGGCTGAGGGTGACGAAAAGACCGGTTCCGGTATGATACCATGGGAATACACTGTTTACGCTGGCGCAGAGTCTATTGTCGGCTGAATTCCTCCGAATTCCTCAGCCGCGTTGACTCTCAGGCGTACGGAGTGAGTACGGGGGTAATTAAAAGATATAAAAAGCGGGGTGTTTCCCCTCCTTTGTCCTCATCCATCAACATCAAACGCAATCCTTCCATCTTCATCCTAGAATCCCCTCCAACCCATCGATCCTCTTCTTGTCACTCTTCTATACATACATCAGCCAAGCAACACAAACTACTTCACAATGTCTGGCCCTTACGATCAGTACAACCAAAACTACAACCAGGGAGGCTACGGCCAGCAACAGGGAGGATACCCGCAACAGCAACAGTACAACCAGGGTTACTCTCAGCAAGGCTACCCCCAAGGTGGCCAGCAGGGCTACGGCCAGCAAGACCAATACGGTGGATATTCTCAACAGCACCAGCAACAGCAATACGGCCAATATCCCCAAGGTCAGGGACACCAGCAACACGGATCTCAACAGCAATATGGACAACAGTATGTACAATGGCAAGCTATACTTGAATAACAAACTAATGAAGAGTGCAGACAAAACTATCAAGGCGGCCCTGGTGATGCCCCTGGAGGTGCCCAGGACGGTGAGCGTGGTATTGGAGGAGCTATCACTGGCGGAATTGCCGGTGGCTATGCCGGGTCTAAGGCCAACCACGGCTTCATTGGCACAATTGCCGGTGCCGTGATCGGTAGTCTCGCTGAAGACAAATTGAAGAAGCACAACAAGGAGGGAAGCAGCGGTGGCAGCGGCGGAGGAAGTGCTTTCGGCGGTGCTGCGAGCGGTCTCGGATCGCTCTTTGGCAAGAAGTAACGTGTGTTTGTGCGCGGTATTGTTATTCGGCCTCTCTGCCTGCAATATGAGGGCTTAATTGTTTCCATTTCATTGGCATTGAACTCGGTGTTGCTGGCATTCTTGTTTGTATCCTGAAGACTCGGTAGATTACTACTCAACTGCTTGCTTGAATCTCCAAAATATGGCTGATCTTTCTCCTGTCTCATACTACAATATAGAAGGCCAGATCAACTGCCCAATGGCATCTAGTAGGTTCCCTATCATTGCCTGAGCGACCATTTGCCAATTCTTCAACTGGGATTCATGATACCACAACCCATGATTTCAGTCAATCAAGCATTTTGAAGTGGGCTATTTTTTTGTTTGGCGGTGGCTCGTGAGTCGGTACGGAGCACAGAGCAGTTGCTGAGATTCGCGGCGAATATACTCCGTATTATTTGTTGAAACTTAAATTCTATAATTGTCGGTATAGTATCAACAAATTTCCCTCCTCCATTCCCTTCGCCCTCAATCTTTAGAAATAAGCCCCTTGCAGGATATATATCGGGCAATCCTCTCCCTGTACTCCGTATGTAAGAGACATGGATCTATCAGTGGAAGTGAACTCTTGGCATATAACTAGATAGGCCCACATGAGCTTACATAAGCCACGGGATTCTGTATACCGTTAGTGATAATTTGACTCTTTTTCGGTTGAATATCAAAATGTTTCCGGTAGGCGATTGCTTTTCTTGATCAAGTTCTCAGTCAGCCCAATATGATAATACGACAAATATACCGGCGGCAGAGTAGGCAACCTTTTTATGTCGATTTATGGTACGATCTGGAGTGTTAACCCTTTTCAAATTCAGGCCGAGTGCTCTTCAGCGCAGTCCGCCCAACTTTTCAACCATCCCGCTACCTCTTGACCCAGACGGAGACCCCCCAGCCAACTGTTCAAATCGAAAAGTCACCGACTGAGGATGAAGTAGAAACATTAGAGAATAAATTACAAGCTGCCGAACAGTTTGAAAATGCCATGACACGACGTATGTTGCTATCTCATTCTCTCGCGGCCTCGGACTAACCACAAGCTGGCTTCAATAGGCAATCAGTTTAATAAATTCGGTTCTAAGATTCTGGGCAAATATTTACCCGATGACTTACTGAATAATCCCCCACGACCCTCCGAAATTACACTCGAAATTCTCCTAGCCTCTCAAACGCACCTTGGTCATGCAACTGCCCTCTGGAACCCTCGGAATTCCTCCTACATATTCGGTATCCGTGAGGGGATTCATATCATCTCTCTAGAGGTCACAGCAGCATATTTACGAAGGGCTGCAAAAATTGTCGAGGAAGTTTCCAGACGCGGAGGACTAGTATTATTTGTTGGAACGCGAGAAAACCAGAGTCGGGCGGTCGTACGCGCGGCTGAATTAGCTAAGGGATATCACGTTTTTACACGATGGGTGCCCGGATCTATTACAAACGGCGAGCAACTTCTGAAGGGCTGTGCACTGAAGGTTGTAGACGAGTTCGACAATCAGTTGCCGCAGTATGACGAGAACCTTAAGAACAAACCAGTCCTCAGACCAGATTTGGTAGTATGTTTAAATCCGATGGAGAATGTGGTCTTATTACGGGAGTGCAGGGCGTATAATATCCCGACAATTGGCGTAATTGATACAGACGCCGATGTTACAAGAGTCACATACCCAATTCCCGCAAACGATGATAGCATACGATCTATCACTTTGATCGCAGGTGTACTGGGCAGAGCTGGTGAAGCAGGCCAGAAACGGAGATTCGAAGAAACCAAAGCTGGAAAATTGCCGTATACACGTATTTCAGAAGATGAAATAATGAAAGACCCCTTTTCAATTTGATGTAATTATCGCTGGGATGATATGGTCCCGAAAGCGTGTACTATACTATTTTCTTATATACTCCTTGACTTGGATCTGATTTTGTAGGTTTCTAGGATGGATCTGTATGCAGCCTCTTTTGAACGCGATACACTCCACAGTAGAATAGATGTTGAATATCTATTAATGTACACATACATGAATCTCTAGCTATATAGAGATGTTTAGCGGCGTCGAATATAGAATGGTATAATGCCCAACATTGCCTCCAAGAAACCCAGGAAAGAAATGCCACACACAGGTAAGCGCCAGAACTTTTCAGATCACAGGGAGAAGCCTAGGCAAGTGCTCTCATCGCGAACTCAACACTGTAGGGGTTAGCAGACTGATTTATAGAAATAGGTCGTGCATAGAGTAAAAACTTACACAGCAAAAGTACCTGCAGATACAGGCATGGCTCTGAGCAAAGTTGGACCAATTCCCTTCCAGAAACCACCAAGGCCTTCTTTGGCATATGTCTTTTTGAAGCAATCAGTCATGCTCTTATATTTTTGCTCGGCACCAAATCCATCACTCTGCATTTTACTCTTTATAACATCAAAGGGGTAACTGGAAAGCCACAGCGCTTCACCAGCTAGGCCGCCATATGATGCAACTTTGAGGCTGGAGATATCTTCACGCTTAACCTGATTACGTCTTGCTTCCCAGTTCATCAAATATTCGAAAGAAAGAAACCATACGCCATATGCTTGAGCTTCTCTGAGTACCGTGACTGCTTCGCCTCTATATAGACCACGAAATACACCCCCTTGGGAGGAGAGCTTCTTAATACAATCCAAAGGCCCATTATAAAGGCGATCTGCACCGTGTGGTTGAGTCTGAAGGCGAATACGAATGTGTTCGATGGGCCCCGATATCACGGAGTTGGTGACACCGGCAAAGGCACCCGCAAGGTAGTATTGGGAGTACGAAAGGCCAGCAGGATGTCCACGCTTCGCGTTAAATTCTTCAAGTCGTCTTCGTGCTTCATGGAAAGCTCCAAACTGTACACTGACCTGCCAACAACCAAAAAATGTTAGGCGAAACTAAGTAAAACAAGGATGGATACTTAGCAGAGGTAAAGCATACGCAAGCACCAATGCCGATTAGTGGCGTTAGAGTCCCTTTATAGAAAGCCAATGGGCCCTCCTTAGATAATATCTTGGTGGCACAATCCAATGCACTCGAATACTGCGTTGTTGTTTGAAGTCTGACCTTCACAATATCTGCACCAATATCAAAACTCAATTCCTGTTACCAACAGTTGCGAGCCAGCGACCAGAGACATACCAAAGGGTTGGCCAATTACCACTTGGGCAACACCACCAGCAGCCCCTGCAGAGAGATCTTTCAATGTTCGTAGTGCACCCTGGCCATCGTGGCTTTCTATCTCCTCCATTGTTTTCTCAGTTACTCCCCGCTTTGGAGTGTATTGTCAAGGCTGCGGATAGGTACTTCAACGAAAGACGAATTGCAAATCTAACAAATGGAAATATCAAGCAAATCTACTACTATAAAAGAACCAACGAAAGAGAAAAAAATCTTCGACTCGGCCGTAAACCATGAAGAGTTCCCCGTTGCGGCGGAAAGTGAAGGCGGAGAAGCGACCGGGGAGTCCGGCGATGATTGGCCGAAAAGCCGACGTCGTGCCCCACATGCCGGATTACGTGATCTCCGGTATAAATATCGGCCCGATGAGATTTCTCATCGAGAATCTTTCTAGAATAGGAAAGGACGGCAGTCCGATGGCATGGAGCGTCAAGAGGTTGTCTGCTGTCTACCATGATGCGGAGGAGGTCTCTGGTTAAGGTGAGTCTTAATTGAAACTGCAAGCTAGAGTTCACCTGTTACTGACTGTTTCTCTGTAGGCCCTACGATGTCCGGACAGACATAGCGTTCCGTTTCGAAATTGCGCGGCGCGCATCCCGTACAGCCTAGATACCTACCGGTCGGCCAGGCACTTTAGCTTTACATACAAGCTCTCATATGGAGACAATGGCACTGCAACTCGCCCCGCGATCTCTCACACAGTACCGGAGAGCCCATCTACTTTAAAACCGGCCGGTTCTACTTTTGGATTCAAAGGAGGATGGGGAAAGCCTGTGTTCGGGTCAAAGCCACAGCTAACATCGTATGAGATAAAACAGAGAGAGGAAGTCCTTTCACAAAATGCTCCTCCAGCCAAAAATCCGCCTTCAAGATCGCCGCTGAGATTTTCGCAACCTCCCACTACTCAGCCCACAGCAGCAGCTCCGGAGTCACGGATATCAGGTACAAGCACTAGACAAGAGCAAAAACAGTTCAGATATGTTGCTTTGGGAAATACAACTGCACAGGCTGGACATCCTCCCACCACGTCGTCAGCAACTCCTAGCTATACTGAACATTCCAATCCGGGCTCTAGACGAGAATGGGGGTCATTTGGGTCGAGATTCAAACGGGCTCCGGCTTCAGAAGGGTTTCGCCCGTGGAAAAGTGTCCCCATGCAGAATTCTTCACAGGATTCGCAAGCGGCCCCGATATACAACGCTGTCGCTGAACGTGAAGCAAAATTTCGTGAAAACCCCGATAACTGGAAATTTTCTGGGTTTCGAAGAGTGACCTTGGGCCATTCAAGTTCAGTAATTGATAATGCCGATTTGCCACAGCTTCCTAGTAATCAACCTGAAGCGCGAGCCTCTGAGCAGAAGGAAGAGGCTCCTGTATCTTCCAAGGAAGACATTGCAGAGCAAACACACGGGAAAATACAGAGTCATGTTCCTGAAACGGACGAAGAAACTTGGCAGGCCCAAAAGAAACGGCGGAAAAAGGACAGGAAGTCGGTATCGGTACGCGGAGAGCATGAAGATGATGATACTCCCTTCGGGCGTTCCGAAAATTCTAGAAAGGACAAGTTTGACATGGATGAAGTCGAGAGGAAACGGATTCGTGAGCATCGAAAAGCTAGGAAACTGGAAAAGGAAGAGAGAAAAAAGCGTATACGAGACAACGCCCGTACACCCATTTTCCTTCCAGATTTCATTAGTGTCTCAAACCTTGCCAATGCACTATCAGTCCGACCACCTCTGTTCTTAAAATCGTTGAAAGAGCTAGGTTTTGAGGAAGCTACCTACGACCACATCCTCGACGCAGAAACGGCAGCGTTAATCGCTACTGAATACGATTTTGATCCTATATACGACACTCATGTTGAGGAATTAGTGGCCCAACCGATTCCGGACGACATTTCAGGTTGGCCATTACGTCCTCCTGTTGTCACTATAATGGGGCATGTCGATCATGGAAAAACTACAATTCTGGATTGGTTACGAAAGTCTTCCATCGTGGCATCAGAACATGGGGGCATCACACAGCATATTGGCGCTTTTTCAGTCACTATGCCGTCGGGTAAGCAAATCACATTTTTAGATACCCCCGGACACGCAGCTTTTCTTGAAATGCGAAAGAGAGGAGCCGATGTGACCGATATCGTTATTTTGGTCGTTGCTGCAGATGACAGCGTAAAGCCGCAAACGATAGAAGCCATCAAGCATGCAAAGCAAGCCAATGTTCCTATAATAGTCGCTATAAACAAAGTTGACAAGCCGAATGTCAAAATCGAAGCGGTAAAACAGGACCTTGCCCAACATAGTGTGAACGTTGAGGATTATGGCGGTGATGTCCAAGCTGTTTGTGTCAGCGGGAAAACTGGACAAGGCATGTTAGACCTGGAAGAAGCAGCATCGACATTGGCAGAAATGCTTGACCTTCGCGGGGATAAAGAAGGCAACGTTGAAGGCTGGATTGTGGAAGCAACAACGAAGCCTGCCGGGAAAGTTGCTACTATTCTTGTCAGACGGGGTACTTTAAGACCTGGTGATATCGTCGTGGCTGGCACGGCATGGTCACGAATACGAACGCTAAAGAATGAAGCCGGTGTTGAAGTTGATGAGGCTCTACCTGGAACACCTGTTGAAGTCGATGGCTGGAGAGAGCAACCATTAGCCGGTAGCGAGGTTCTCCAGACGAGTACGGAACAGACAGCAAAGGCAGTTGTTGCTTCAAGGCTGGAAAAAGAAGAAAGTCAACAATTAACAACTGACACGAATGCCATTAATGAGGCTCGACGCGAGAAAAGGCAACAGGCGCTAGCTGCAGAGCAGGCGAGGCTTCAAAACGAACACGGCGTTAGTCCATCTAACAACGTCAAATCTGGGCCCAAAGGTATTCCATTCATTATCAAAGCCGATGTGTCCGGATCCGTGGAAGCTATTATGAATTCAATTTCTGCTCTTGGGAACAATGAGGTCTATGCCAGAATTATTCGCTCAGGGGTTGGTCAAGTATCCGAATTCGATATCGAGCTTGCTTTCGCCTCCAACGGACATATACTATCATTTAATCAAAGTATTGACCCTGACAAGTCGCGGCTCGCAGACGGCTTTGGGGTTAAAATTTTGGACCACAACATAATATACGAGTTAATCAATGAAGTGAAAGCGAAATTAAGTGAGCATTTGCCGCCGACTAAGATACACAGGGTATCAGGGGAGGCTGAAATTGGCCAAACCTTTGAGATTACTGTCAAAGGGCGAGTCAAGACTCTTATCGCCGGGTGCAGGGTAAACAATGGTGTTATCAATCGTGCCCATAAAGTTAAGGTTTTACGAGGTAAAGATAAAACCGTTATTTATGATGGTGAGTAGATCCTTTTTAGAAAGATGGTATGGATTATTACTAATGCTGTAATAGGATTGATTAAATCCCTAAAAAATATCAAGAAAGATGTACCAGAAATGCGCAAAGGAACTGAATGTGGTCTGGCTTTTGACAACTGGACCGGCTTCGAGGTGGGAGATCAAATTCAAACATATGAAGAATTTTTCGAAAAGCGATATCTCTGAAATTTCCTCTTGCCCTTTTTTTTTACTCTCCCAACACTGTATAACTATTTTTATTTGCTCATCGTTAGGAGTCTCTCCTCTTCTTTTGCTCTATTCACATGGGGTGGCGTTTCTGCATTTCTGTGGGTAAAAGGGTGTTTAAAAACCAACTTTTGTATCTGCTGCTTGCAGACTCGGAAGGATTTCTTGCATATATGGCGATCAAAGACTCAAAAGGGTGGGCGAATAGGCATATGACTCTATTTTAATTCTGCCTCAAAACAAAATAAACCTTGGAATAATAAAACTCTAGAGAAAGATGAACTAACTAATAATAAAACAAAACCACAGAAGCCCCCAGAACAGAACAGGGGCATGCAAGCAAAAGACCAAGACACACAATGAGGCCAAGATAAACAGCGGAAACCTCCAGTCCTCCACAAATGAAAACAACGACAAAAAAGAAACCTAAGCATCTTGATCATACTAATGAACCATGGTCAGAAACTATCATATCTGAACAAGGCAAAAGGTGAAAACTGAGGGGAAAAATTTTTCAAAAAGAAGTGCTACAAGGCGGGAGAGCAGGCCGTCTGCTAGCTACGATTTGTTATCTCTGATTTCGGCGGTATTCGAGTTCCTTGTTTCGAAGCCTGGGTTAATATTGTCCTCGTTCATAATATCAGAATTTGTCTTCAGGGATGTTGAAACGCACTGTTTTGTTCTTCCTGCCTCGCGCCTTGCCGGCACCACTACCAGCTGCGCTCGCTGCCACTGTTGAGAAAGTGCGCCCATTTCCTTGTTCCTCTGCCAATTCTTTGGCCGCGGTAGCTGCTCTTTCAGCAGCCCTGCGTCGGCGGGTTTCCCAAGCCTTCTGGCAACGTAGCCACTTTGCTGCCTCTTTTGGATCGGTGTCAGCGTTGTCGTTATTTGGCGTTGGGGTCTCGACATGTGAGGCTGGATCGGAAATATTGCCATCCTCGTCGACTTCATCTATGGTAGTCGTGATAGCAATTTTCGGCATTTTTGCCGCGACGTCGCGCCTTTTCTTGGGTGGCGCTTTCATTCTTGTGGCCCTTGGTTTCTTTGGAGTCGCTGCAGCCCGGGTGGGCTTGCGCCCCTTATGGGTTGGCTCCACAGAATCGCGCTGGGCTGATAGTGCTCGTCCAGGAGTAATCTTTCGGGTTGCTCCTGTAACTGTCGCAGCAATCACCTCAGGGAGGCTTTTTCCTCCATACTGCGGGCGCTGGGTCTGACCTTCAATACTCTGCACTGCTGCTTCGCCATTGACACCTTGTGTCTCACAGCCAGAACGAGGAGGTGGGCTTGAATTAAGGGTTTCTGGAGATGCTTCCCTATCGCTCGAGCTATCGTCGTCATTTGAGCTTGAATCAGGGATCAGAGGGCCAATTTCAGTGCTCGCCTCTACCCCAGGGGATGCAGGTAGCTCGTCGTCAGAGGCATCAGGAGAGCTCTCAGGGCTCTCATACACGCATTCATTGATAAGAGACAAATCAGGCTCCAGACGAGCGATGGACTTTCTACTAAGATGGTGCTGGTTCCGTTGTCCCAGCCAGTAGATGTCAAAGGTATTCGTTTGCAATACCTATCAACATCGGCGAGATCCATCAAAATCCGATATGAGCTAAGGGCTTTCTGGTCAAAAAGGCTGGAACTTACCAGAGCAAACCAAGCAATTCTATATGCCGAGGGTAGCTCGGATTTGTCAATTTCCTTCAATATTTCCGCCTCGATTTTTGCGCGGGAAATTTGATCACGTCTACCCCTGGTGATATAGTCTGTGACGACGCTATTTGCGTGGCTGAGATAGATCTGGTGGAAGTAGTTCATCTACAACTCAACTGCCGTCAGAAACCACACTTTAATCGCCCACAAGCACCAGAACAGACCTGGACTCTTTGGTTCATCTTTTATACACTTATTTGCACCTTCCTATATTCCTCAAACAGAAATGTGGAGAATATCAGCTTTTGCAGCTGGTTATTAAAAAGAAATAGAAAGTGATTTGGAAAATTAAGAATCAAAACAAGGCTGTAAGCTAGATTTAGAGACTATTGTGCAGAAAAATATTTTATACAAATTCTTTATGCACAGATAGGAGTGGCAGAATAACACTGCTAAGCGAGAAATTGAGATTTCATAATTTGGGGGGGTTGGACTCTGATAACACTGGCATTTATGGGCACGGCATGTTCCAGCTATTGTGCCATGACCAAAATCACAACATAGGTATGAATTAGGATATCTACTTGGCAGTGAATAGAATAAATATACTGTGCATTTCAAGTATTTATCATTCATGATAAATAGTCCTGCAGTATCAATAAGAGAACTGAATGAACACTTGTGAATAGAGAAAAGAGACACCGGTAATTAGTATCTCTGTCCACATGATACTAGGCTGGTAAGGGATGTCCCCGATTGCATAGTATTTTAGAAAAGGATGGAAGCTGAAGTAAATCGTCGACGGTATAGAGAGAAAATATAGATATATTAATATCTAAACGAAGTTATAATGTAAATTTTTATGGATGGAAAGGTATCTTAAGCCAAAAATTAAGAAATTATGCAGAGCTACCCTGGAAACAGAGTTGCTGTTGTGCCAGAAAAATCGGCATACACAGCTATTCTTACTACCCGAAATGAGGCTGTAAGAGAGATAGCTGGCTACTTTCAATGTGACATTTAGCATATTTTCAGCTCATAAAGAGCCATAAAGCATTCTTCAAGAACTGCAATAGCCGAAAGCTAATTCCAACCTACTAAACAGTATCTTGAATAGGCATAAACCAGCTCATCACAGTAATCAAAATAGGGCCGTTGTTGTGTCCAAGGAAAAAAGGCGAAGGGAGAGATTTAGAAAATTGACGCCGTTTTCCAATGAAAACCGCCTCGTTAGATAAGGAGCGCAATAGCTCGACTTATACCCCGTAATCCGTACCACTACACCAATATGTATATACTGTATTGGAGCCTTGTATGTCAACCCTGCACGCGCAGCGTCAGTAGCCGTGCGTTGGTTGAATATTGGCGAATATCTGGTGGTCTGCCAATACCCGGATCCATATTAACATGCGTCTACGTCGTACTCCGTAAGAGCTTTGACATCGGTGATTATTCTCCGAGAAGCTATTATTTTCAGCAAAAGACCAAGCCATGGTTGGCGCAATGGGGCGGTAGTGGGTATGTGCTCCATGGTCGCAAGGGAGTTGAACGAGAAAGGCCCGGCACTCATCCTTCGGTTGGTCAGCGAGGATGCTCAAGCCCTCTCTACCCCTCCCAGTTGGCACCTCAGGGGTGACATTCATCGCGTCCTGAGAGCTGGTCCAGGCCAGGCGAACAGATAACTACCCAGACATCGTGGGTCGACCCAGTCATTCTCTTTTTCTTTTTTCCCAGCAGTAACTCATTCTGACCAGTGTTCGTGTGAGGTCTGTCCCAAGCTCTTCCAGTGCTGTGATAAGAAACTCAATCAGCCACGCTTTTTCGGTCGTTCACGAAGCCGGTTTTCTCTGGGTTTCAGGCCGCATTACGGAGTACTGCAGGCCGATACTCGTTGTCGTCTAACTAGCGCTCCGAGAAACCGCCGCCACGCAGTTATACTAACTAAGTAACGGGTAAGCGAGCCTAGCGGGCGACCTAGCACAGACAGCTGGATGATTCGCCGCATGGCAACTCGATTTTGCCAGGAGAACAAGGTGTAATCGGTGTGGTGGTTCAGGAGGCAGAGATTCTGCGGTTCGAATGTTCGTGGCGACGAGATCGATTGGCCCAGCGTTGCGACAGACCCAAGGCGAATTCTGTTTGGATGCCAGACGGGGTAGGCGGAGAGATTGAGTTGCGATCTGGCAGCTGTGAGCCTGGAGGAACTGCAGCGCCAGCACTAGTCGCAACAAGCAAACGAACAAGCTAACTGACTAGATACGAATCCAACTAATTATCTAGCCAGGCCAGCCATCAGGTGCGTGGTGACTCGCGACAAACGCCCCCAAATGGCATTGATCCCAGGCCCGCCGTGGAGGACGCCCTCTTCCTTCGATGCCTGCAAAGTGGCGATATTGCCTGCCCCACGGATCTCCTCCAACTAAGGCCTCAAGGTTAATAGCGTCCATGGGTCAATCGAGCCCCCAGAGTGGCGCCGTGCGAGCATGCCAGAATCATGGCGCCAACGGGCCCAGCCCGGCGAAGCTAGATGAATACCCGTGTCTCCATATAAAAATGCTGAGCTCTTGACGCGCGAGGGTATCCCTGCATATTTTTCTGCTACATGTACGTCGATGCTGGCTGCATGTAATTACCGCCCGAGAAGTTCTGCTTCTATCTCTCCTGTGTCTTCTTGTCTAGACGAATAGGCCTGATATGGGCCGTACGCCACCTGAGCAATGCGGAATCCTCCTCCAGAAATAATAGCCACCTGGCCAAAGCCGAACTATGTCAACCCCGAATATCAAGGCCCGCAGGTGGCCATTGTGGGAATCACTCTCTTGACTTTATCTGTCATTATTGTGTGCCTGCGGATGTATGTGCGAATCTGGATGAGACGGTCAGCTTCATGGGATGATTGGCTCATGGTCTCTGTGATGGTATTGTTGCAGCCCCATTGCCATGCTACTTAAGCTAACAATATTCTTTTCATTAGCCTGTCGTGGTCGCTGCAACAGTTGTGAGCATCGTCGCTACACATTACGGATGGGGTGCGTCTCTCTGCACGGTCCCATATTGAAGATGTTCTGACTTTGGGGTATAGGAATTCATATATGGGATAACAAAAAAGAATGGCTCCGACCGTCGAGGAAAGTAAGCTTACATTCCCCCTCCTGGGTACGAATTGTCAAATGGTACTCATTCAGCATTTCTCATCATAGTTGAGCTGGGCAAGCCAGGTGCTTTATATTACTATCATGCTGCTGGTTAAATCCTCGATTCTTACCTCCTACCTTCGCTTCTTCACTTCCAAGCCGTATAGAGTCGCAACCTATGTGATGCTGGGTGTCCTAGTAGCCTGGTGGACATGTACGTATCCACATTATGCCTGCGTGCTGTTGGAAGACCGATTCGTCTAACACCTTATCTCTAGCATATGCTTTTGCTTTATTTTTCAACTGCAGGTAAGGATCCCGCTCAGCAAATCAAATATTTTGTTCCAGCCTCCTAACCTTGGCCGTGCGACTTCCAGGCCTCTCCGGGATTATTGGGACGCCCCGCGGGACGCTAAATGTGTTGATGAGCTGGGAAAGATGTTTTCTGCATCAATAACGAATTTTGTTACGGATTTGATAGTGCTCATTCTACCAATACCGACTCTTTGGAAGTTACGTCTTCCTATTAAGGATCGAGTGATCTTGATCATTTTGATGAGCCTAGGTTTGATGTACGAACAACTGTTGCCCTGCCCTGCTGGCCTAGATTGCTAACCCAGTCTCTCACTACAGTGCCTGCGTCGCCTCCGCTCTGAAAACATACTATACATACAGGGCGATTGTCATTACTTACGATGTTTCCTGTAAGCAAATATCCCTCCTCGCCTGAAAACTCGCTGTCCCTAACTATCTGCAGGGGAAGGATACAATGTGTGGCTTTGGAGTGACTTCGAGCTTAACTTGTCTGTTATCTGCCCATCGATACCGATTCTACGTCCATTTGCACAGAAATACCTGCCCCTTTTGGGATTCAAGACCTTGCACCATCATAGCGGCGACCCGGATCACTCCTACCAAAAGGACCACAAGAACCCCAAAGCAATTTATAGGAAAGACACCCTGAAGCAAATTAGTGAGAGATATGGAACGGGTGATTCTATCGAGGCGCTCGAATTGGGGGCCACACCCGGAGCCGCAAGAAGCGATGAAACCGGATTGGATACTCGGCCAGGCTCGCGCCGTCGGCCTAATGACTGGCTATGAGGCGTTTTGCGGATGCATATATATGTATACAAATAGGGTCGGTTTCTTGGTTTTTGTATATTTTTCATGAGAAGTTGGAGTTTTTTTTTCACGCATTGGGTGTATGGACAGGTTGTAGTAGGCTCGGAAGATCTGTCCACCAGTATCATTATCGCGACCCAATCTCTATCTTGTATGAACTTGCTCCCATACGACGTGAATCACAGCTAACGAACCGTCCTGTAGCTTCCAGCGCAGCTTTCGTTACGGAGTACCCATTCTCGAATCAGTTAATTAACTAGTTAGTCAAGCCATGGCCGTAGCCTCAAACACTATCCGCCCATCAGTCAAGAGAGTTTTTGAAGTTAAAGCTCCCTTTAACTACATAGTAGTTAGCGAGGCGCACGCCAATCACCACCACTGGGGGGCTTTGGCCTTAAGATGATCGTCGAAACCGTGGTTTGTCCAGAAACGTGCGATGTCATTCCGGTTCCATGAAACAGGTGCGAGTCTGCAGTTGACTGGTCGTGAATGCGTCGCCGCTAGGCCCGTGGTTTTTGCGCCCTCGCTTCGGGTGGTTTGCCGTGCCCAGCAAGCTAAGGCGGCCGTTCAAGCTGGGCTTGGTGGCGTATCCGTGCCAGAACTCTCACCCCTTGAGAGTATGGTTGGACAGCGAGTCGAGGGGCCTGTTGTAGGTGAGGATAGTGAGTTGGTGGCTGGCAAGGCAAAGATTTCCCCGCATATCACGTCAGCAAGCCGCCTTAACAGCACCAGGACCACAAAACAGCATTCTCAAGATCTGCCATCCACGACTCAGATCAAAGCTGGCTGATCGGCAAGAGATAGAACTACTCCGTACAGGGTACCGAGTAAGAATGACCAAATCGTCTTGGAGCCTTTGACCGCCATTGCAGCGCCACAAAGCTGGAGGAGTAACGACGAACCTGGATTTTGCTATGAAAATCGCCGCCATGGCGTGAAACTTCACTAACGCATTTGACTGTTGATAGATAGACAGATCCTATTTCATCCAATACTAAGCCATTGGTAGCTTGATATTGTGACATGAGCTGGTTTACGCTAGAATGGAATGGCTTCTCCCTGTCTGCACAGAGCTTCGCGCATAGCTATTTCTCCAGTTGATCTAGCAGGAAAACGCGATCAATCCCTATCGCAGTGTAACAGTGCCATATAACTACTACTGAGGAGCATTGGCGGCTGCCGAATTGCCCTGTTTCAACTTGCTTTGTGCTGAGGCTTGGATTGACAATACCCGGTATGAGCCAACGTACGCTGTGGAATAATCCCTGTCTCTGAGCTATGAGCCCTTTAGGAGCCGCCTATTTTTTTGTTGCTCCATACTCCACAATGACGACGCCCTTCAACATCTTGTTCCTGGAAATTGTCACATAGCTCCTTGTGTCAGCGTCCGTCTAGTTTCGTTGTTTTTTCTCTTCCGTACGGGTACTCTGTGTCTCAAGGGTCGACATAATCTTATTCTACGTCCCTCTCGCACGGGTAGTTACAATGCTGGCTTTCAAACTTACTTCTTGCCCATCATCTATAGTGCATAATCTTCACCATTACCCACAAAAAAGCGCAATGGTCATCAAATAACTACTGAACGTCATAATATAGGAGCAATTATCGTGCTACAACACTCGAGCATTGACCTATTCCTGAGGATTCTCAAGAAAAAAAATTGCTCGCAGCAATGCCTGGGGTCCTAATTATGGTGGACCCCTTTCACACAAGAGATGACAAGGTACGCGTACGGAGTACAGACAGATGAAGTCTCCTTTACCCTACTGGTAAGGCTGTCTTCCTCTCAAGGTTTTTGGAGCGATAAAACAGTCCTTTGTGGAGATTTCCCACTATCCCTCGTCGCCGACAGTTTCTGCTTTTCAAATCTTTGGCCCACCTCAGAGCAAGAATTTTTCGCCTTTTCCTGTATTGTTGACGAAGTGAATTGTCATGCCGCTGAATATGCCTAGCATTCTATTGGGATATTTTAAAAGCAGATTTGTCTCCCCTGGTCGTTGCTGGCCGGTACTCCGTACGGAGTACATTCTTCTCTTCAATAATTCAACCATGAAGGGGGAACGATATTCGATCTGACGGTACGGAGTAGTATCATCTGTCACCTGAATTGATGGAAGGGTACGAAACCGGAGCACTGGCAATAATATGTTGAGTTTTTACATCAATCCCGCTTTATCCCTGTCAATCCACTTTCCAAGACGAACGGCGTTCCTAGGAACTAGTGCCCTGAATTTTGAAAACACCTCAGCAACTTGCTCTCTAAAAAACTCTGGGGACAGAAAGCAGTATTAATCATAGCGGCTTTTGTATGTTAATTATGGAGCACTACTCCGTTATACTGTACTATCGAACCAGCCGCCAATACGCTATCGGTTAACGTCCTTCAAAGGCGGATGAACCAGGAATACTTGGCTTCGTATTTGCTCAAAGGTGTCGGACATGCATTCATACTCCGTAGACTCTACAACGTTCGTTTGCAGCCGTGCAAGCAATCAAATAATGATCCCATCTTTGACAACGTCAACTAAAACGCACCCAGTCTGCAGTGCAGGGCTGTTGACCAGCCACCTGGTATAGGGGTCTTCCTGATAATTGGTGACGGGCCAAAATGCCCACTTTATGCATGATGTGGGCCGATCATCACTTTTGAGATTCAACGCTTCTGCCCCCAAAGTCAGAGCGCGCTCTGCTGGGCCGAACCTCACAAAGTACGGAGTGCTGCGCTCAGCCTTCAAGACAAGAGTTTTGGGTAGTATTCGGAATTTACCGCGAGAGATAAAAGCTTAAGGCGAAAAAATATACCCACACCTATCACACGGCCTGTGTAATATTTGTGGAACTATGCCATACAGGCTGTTGCAGTCCATAGTAGTGCTGAAAATATTTGTGAGAGTAGATACAGCAATATAATATATCTAACCTTGCCGGTATTAAATGACTGCAATTGCTTTTTCTTCAGTATCAGGTATACTGATTAGTGCTCCGTACGTAGTACTTGAACATACCCTCCTTGCAACCCTAAATCCGGGAGGGAATGGAGCTGTCCGTGAGAAGCTCTCATCAGAAGATTCTGATACTTGGAAAACACATGAGATTATGGCTCAAGTAGTTGCACCGATAGTAGTCAAGGCAGCTGATAGAGAAAAGATATTTAAGAATGTAAAGATAGACTTCGAGGCTGACTATGCAAGTGCTCTCTGCTGGTAATTGTTGAAAAATTTACAGGGATACCCGCATCCATCTGTACAACAAAATAAGCCAAATTTGTGTCTGAAAGGGATTGTTTTAAATATTTCAGGAATCATATCCATGATAAGAGAGAGTAGTGTTTTGAAGGAAAGAGAAGACTAAAAACAATAAGATATTTATTAAGAAACTGTAAAATATTTTCTTTAAATTAGGTGCAGAAAAGGAAAATAGAAATTCTGATATTAGGCATGGAGCTGAGCGGGAATAACGGCAATCGGAGAATTTGTTGGATGGCTGGGAGGGGCGGGGTTTAAACTTATAGGCGGAACAGGGGCTGATGTAGGCGCTGAGCCGAGTGAAAGGCTTGGTGGGGGGGGAGGAGGAGGAGGAGAAGGAGGAGGAGGCGGCGGAGGGGGGGGAGGCGGCGGTGCTGAAAACGAAGGGGCCGTAGTCGATGATGGCAAGGGCGAAGATACACTTGTAGTGAAGGAAAGAGATGATCTTGAAGCCTGAGTTGTTGTCGGGAGCCCCGACGAGAAAATCATAGTAGACGTTGATTTCTGAAAGGTACTAGGTGCTGGGAGGGTTCTTGTTGCTGTGACCGGCGGAGATGCGGTGATGGAAGACGAGGATTTAGAACATGTTTCCGTCATAACTGTGGTACTTGTGAAAGTTCTAGTCTCTACGACAATGATCTCGCCATCGTCGCTTTGTGTTGGCGCGGGTGAGGTTGGAGATGAAAGTTCTGGTCGCGTTGCTGTTGCCGGTACAGGACCGAGGGAGGGGGTGAATGAGTCAGTGATGGGAAACACCGCAGGGTAGCTTGCATCACTACTGCTAGTAGGGGTTTCTGTTCTGGTTGTCAGGGCCATGGAGCTTATCGGCTGTGGTCTTGTTGTGGTGGTTGTTTTTGATGGCGAGCAGAGGACGACGGAAGGCTCATCGTCATCGCCAGAGTCCACTAGCTCAACGCACAGATTGACTTTAGCGTGCCGAACGCTGGTATTCTTGGAGTTGGAAACAGGTTGGATAGTAAGCGTAACCACAACCGGACTCCTAGCTGATACTTGAGTCGTGGGGGTTGGTGAATTGCTATGGTCCGAGGCATGCCGTATCTGGAGCTCTTGAGAATATCGATAAATTGGAGTACCAAATATAGACGGCGCAGCCGTCAAAAATGCTACAAAGAGGAATTCAACGCGCATGCTTAAGCAACGAAGAGGCGAAACGAAGGTATAATGCCAGACGTTTTCAGTAGGGTCGGTTAGGAAAAGCGACGCAAACTGGCCAAAGAAACATGACAAACTGCCACAGCTTGCAGGAAAAAATACAATGTGAAAAAGAAATAAACGAAAGAACATAGACAGACGTTCTCAAGGAGGAACTTCTCAGCAGCGCCGGGCAGGAAAGTCCACGAGTATTTCAAGCAACAGGGGGCCAAGGAGCCCGCTGTGCTTGATCATTTCTTCACGGGCTGGCGCCCACTTCAATGTCTGATCTTGCATGGTTGCACCGCATGCAGTGGTCGACAGTACCCCTTGACCGGCGCGTAGGTTGATAGTCCAACGGGCAAAGGAGATAAATCCACGATGTTTCTTCTTCGTCGTTGTTTGATGTTGGACAGTAAGAACCAAAATAAAGGGCGGTGATTGGCTTGAATGTTAGCGCCCAATAAGATGAAACAGGGGCTAGCCATAAATAGCTTAGTGTGAAACGCCAAATATCAACATCACCAAGCGAGATATGAAAGTTCAAGAAGAAAAGTAGAGACGTAAAGATTTCTATTTCTGGTTATCCAAAATAATTATTAATCAAAATTCGACTCTATATTTCGGGGTTTTAGTATCCATTTATATCAAAAACTCTCCGTTTATTAAGCAGAAACTTTGAAAGGAGGGCCAATGCCCTTAAAATCACGAATCCTGCCATCCAAACTCTTTGAATCGCCATAGTATACCATGCGATATGTCCCGGTCTTAACTTTCTCCGTTCCAATGGAGTAAAATTCATCTTCAATATGCCATTCCACAACAACATCACTGGTGCTGACACCTGGGCGCTTGCGGGCCCAGCGATAAACTAGGTTCCAGTCGCCGTCGTCGCGGGCGACCTCCCAATTATCCGTTCCAGGAATCTGCCGCTCTACTGTGGCAAAAGTTCCTTCTAGTCTAAAGTTGTTTCGCGGATTCGCACCCACGAATGTTGTCCGTACAATGTCTCCAGGTTTGAAAACCTTATCGGCTTCAGGCGGTGAAAGAACATCGCCAAATGATTTGCCGATACCTGGAGTGTCCAGAACAACTGGTAGAATAAAACTTAAGGATCGATCAGCGTTAATCGGTGGACTTGGCCCTTGTGGTACAGGTGGGGACGGAGAGCCGACCCCAAGACTCGGAAGATAGGTAAGAGTGACATTCACATGGGCTGCGAGCGTATGTGGCCCGTGAAGCGTGGACGCGCCTTCGTATCGTTGAACGCGGTATTCCTCTTCTGTCGTTATATAATGAACATAAGTATTCGCCGGTCCACCCAATAGAACGATGGGGTCCGACACCTTTAACGATTTTGCGGCTGCCTGCGCGATGGCACCCTTCCAACGTCGTCCAGCCATTGTTGTGACTTCTCCAGAGGCGACTGCTATGAATACTTGACCAAATCGTAGAACTTGGACATCAACCACATTTGCAGACCATTGATAGGGGAATGTGAGGGAGCCGACATCCAAGAGAACTGGTTTCGGTTGGTGGCATGCCTTTTGCGCAGCACTCGGCGCCCGGATAAGATCTCTCACAAATAGCCATAATGGATTTTGAGTAGATGGGGAGTGAGTTCCGTTTTGAGTGAAATCAAAGTACCCCGGCCCGTCCGTTGTTCCAGCCGCAAATGCGAAGCCTAGGCCGGCCGCACAAGAAGACAATGTTCTAGACTCGTTAAATGGGGAAGTAAACTGGTGGCCCTTAAAGTCCTGGAATGTATGGAACGACGAGACAGCTGCAGACCCTTGGATTCTTGTCGAGCGCTGGCTCATCTCATCAAAAAGTTTTTTTGCGGCAGAATACTGCCGGCGGCCCATCTCGAAGCAGCTTTTAGTGCCTTCATCCTTCTCCCGCCAAAATGGTCCGCGACCGTGGCAGAGTTCGGCTTTACCGTTACACGTGCTATCTTCCTGAATAACATGGTTAGCATCCACAATTTGTTCACCCGCTTAGAAACATACGAATCTGCATGGCAGGCCTGTATCCTCGCAAAATGCACCCTCAATGTTCGGCGAAACATCTCCGACAGACGACTGAGAAAAGCCGGCTACGAAATCTGTCGCGAAATTCTGATTCCCGCGTACACTTCGTTCGAAAAGGTAAGATGCAACGCCTTTGTTGTCGCCCGATATCAAGGTGTTATTTCTATACAGTGAAGTTCCATGGACGGAATAGAACGTGAGCACGCCTGTTGTCTTATTATCCTTTATGCGATCGAATTTCAATAATGAGAATTCCCTGTCGGTATTGGAATCGAATCGAGCTCGCTCCTCAGCTGGGTTAGCAAGGTATGAAAAGGGACTCCTGTTGATGTTTCCATTCTCAACTTGACTCTTCGCAAAGGTCAATCTCCCAGGACTTAAAGACTCATGCGCTCGTTTTATAGATAGTATAGTTCCATCGACAATGGCCCGATAGCTTTCCTTACTGAATCCCTTGGTGCTGAGCTGCGGCAATAGATAGTTCAACCATGCTCCGGGGCCGGCATGTGAGTGTGTTCCAGTCAGTGCTAGATTATGTTGGCCGTAATTCTTGTAGTCTCCTCCTAATGCAGCGAGCCCTTGCAGAATTCCATCTCTGATAGCGGTATCACCGGCAATGGCGTCCAAAACGATATAGAGAACCCGGCTTTCCGGCTTTTGAGGGTCTGCAACGATGAAAGCCCTAGAATATATGCGTTGTCTCAGACCAGACCCAACCTGTTCTGAATTCGCGTAGCCCATAAGGGTGATCTCCACGACAGGGCTAAAACATCTCTAATAAGCATTTAATCCCTGCAAAAAGTTTTCCACCAACGTACCCTGTTATGTCTCCCTTTCCCACGCCCAACAAGTAGACATCATCGCCCAAGGGGGCTTCTTGTGACCGGGCAACCTTTTGACTGGAGTATCTCTGTTGTCGCGAGAACCCAAGGCCCGAAAACAGCTGCACGACAAACAAAGTCCCAAGGAAAAAACAGAGAAAACTTGCAATGATGCTGAAACGCGCCATCTTGGCACAGGTCAGCAACGAGATGTTGCACAACGCCGGGCGGTCGCGGATGAAGAAGGGCGCGCTCTGGGGAGCAAAAGCTGCTCACGCGAGGATGACCAGTGCATTTGTAGCCGCCATCTTTCGGTAAATTAAAAGGAGGTTGCAGTGCTGGCGAACGCGGGGCCATGTGAAGATGCATGGGGTTGAGGCGGAGGATCGCCTGGACAGGCCGGCTTTCCCGTTTCGGGCGACGATGATGACATGCGTGCCGCTCCAACAGACGACTAACTGCGCCGTCTAACGCGCTGCGGCGTAGCATCCCCAACCAAGCGGGCGAGAATGCGGAGGACAAGACAAATGGGTCATAAGATGTGTCTATCAAGAAGCTTCTTGGGGGAGTTAGTTAACTAACTAGTTGGTGGACAACCTATTTATTTAGGGCTCGCTTTCCGAGTACGAGGACACGGTCGCCCCTACGAGCCCCGCAACATCGTTAACCCCCCAGCTAATAAAACGTGTCCCACCTATTGTGTAGCCACCCCATACTGCTACTATGGAGTGCAGGCCCACACGTTCAGTGCAACCGACAACCGAGCGGTCTATTATGGAGATACTCCGGATTCCTTCATCCCCACCTTTCGACAAACCATTTTTCCTGCAAGTTTATCCTGCGAGTGCCTTGGGCCTCCCATGACAAAGCAGCTACAGGGTGTTTATAAGCGGGAAAAAATAGTTGTCGCTGTATTCGCTTTACAAGGATACGGAGATAAAACGCTAAATTTCCTGGAATATGTACGGATTATCTTGCTCATTATTAGGCACTTTGAACGACGCCCAAAGCGCTCGACAACTATCACTTCCTTGCTAGCCCAAAGGTGCCATGTCGTTATCTCAGCTTGCACTAGAAGGTTTCTACTCAAATGGCAATGGACTTTATTTCCACAGCCGGACATCTCTCCTAGGGAACAAGTTAGCCCCCTCCAGGATTGCTCCTCCATACCGAGTATGTAGGCCGTCGATCTGCTGATAAACTGACTGGTTAATTATGCCAAGTGTTATGTTTATGATGTTTCTGTCGGGAGCCAAGGTCTCTGGACAAGTTGCATGATTTTTATTTAGAGGCTCGGACTGCCGGTGTCCCGCCTTTCAGAGTGTGCTGATCAGTGGATTATGCCTCAACTGTATACTATAGACATTTCTGTGAACTTGCTTAGCTGCGCCCCCGGCTAGCATCACTCAAGTAGGTGCGAATTTTGCGATTTTTTCCAGAGGCGGACAAGAGCCATTAGCATCTAATGACATGCCGTTCAAGATTGATTCCTCTTTCTAGTTTCAAAATGGGAAGAATCTTGGGGAAGTCTGACTGTCTTCTAGCTTCCCCGTGGTCGTGTTTTTCTTCAAGAAGCGACTGGTTGGCTACGAGACAACCCTGGTAGGCTCTGTATACGTATATTTCAAGCATCTTGTCTTTCCCAAGAATTCTGGAGCGAAAAGCATCTCTTGACTTAGATTGGAGGATACTCCGTAGCGCAGAGTTCGGTTTTGATCGGGACTGGAATGCCCTGCGAGACCCTGTGCACGTGGACAACCCGGCCCGAAACTTTCCCCTGAAACCTTGCCCTTGAAACGCACTAGTATTATTTGAGCTAGCGCATCTGGCTATTTACTAATCTTTCATTAGTCAGCTGCATCATCATCAAAGCTAAATAATTCGCCTGGAACCATCCTCCGTATGATGAACAACTGGTAACCGCACCAACGATGTCGCTAATCAACGAGTACCATGATTCATTACCATGTGAGGCTCTTTAGACCATATATGCTTCCGATATTCTAATAAATATTTTCTTGATTAGATATTGATCAAGAAATCACGCCTCAGATCCGTGCTGAAGTCGCCAAACTAATTACAGCCGAATTATCCGGCGATTATCAGACTACGCTTCATCCGTCGATTCCTAACCTGCCAAATTTTAAATTCTCGGACTTGATTCAAAAAGAACTCGCTCGTAAAGAAGCAAATGAGCCCATAAATGGCGGCGTTGATCTTTCTAGATACGAAGCTCCCGAAGCTCCGGCTATAGAAGGCAAAGAAGCAGCTGAAATTCTTGAAGACTGGCGCAATACGCTGCGGAAAGCATATACTGCTAGTTCCCATTTAATGACGAGACAGGAAAATTTATCACTCCTGGAGGCCCATGGGAAGAATGCTTGGTTGATTGGAAATTCGCAGCTTGAGGAGATACTGAGACAGATCGAAAAGGAACTGCAAGAGACTCAAGAAGCCACAGAAGCGGTAAACAGAGAGAGAAAGATAAGACAAGAAGCTGCCAAGGGTGAGATTGAGGGCTTGGAAGACGCATGGAAACGAGGTGTCAGCGGTATTATCAATGTAGAGATTGCCTCTGAAAGATTGCGCATGGAGATACTAGAGAAACGGCGACAAAATGCGAAAACATAAGCCAATCGTGCTGCCGCTATTTGTCTTATGAAAACTTGCTAGCCCAGCGCGGATTACCCCGGTTCGCATACCCAGGGTTGTCGATCGCCACCCTGTTGCACTCATACCCTGATATTTTTGCATAACCCGTGCACGTTTCCGAGCAGGACGCATTGATTCTCAAAAGGTGGCGGCGTGCTCACTATTCCTTCTTGCTTACATATGCATAGACCTCCTCGGCAGCATTGCACCTTAAAAAAAATAGAGAACGCCTTGGGGAGAATACACCTGGAACGAGTAATACTGCGGGCTATAAATTCAAAAGAAAATTTTACCCGATCATATCTTAACTCCATCTACCGGTCTACGAGGATCTATGAATAAGGTCATTTGTTTGATGCTTACCCAGAAGCTAATGGCAACTTTTGGAGGCCGTGATCGATATGTGTGTGTGTGTGTGTATGTGTATTTTTGCATGAAACTGTAATTAACACTTACCTTATTAATGCTTGCTGCATTTTTCAGTGGGCTAGATACAACAAGTTGTTTTGATATTTCGAACTTTTCTATGATCATTATTCTTGCCATTTTAATCCTTAGCATTTTAGGGGGGGTATGAATGGTATATAGATGTTCATTGGTAAGAACCCTTTCCAAGAAGGTTGCCATATTGATCCTAAATATTTGTGTATCCCTAGACTATTACTTATCAGCATCAAAAACCTGCAAGACTTTGAACCTATTGGGCCTCATGAGCTTTGATAAATAAGTCACCATATTCAATGAAAAATCATCAACCCGCGAGCCTTTACCGCCAACCAGTCCTAGCACAAAGTTGGGCTCGTGATTTTCTGAAGCAAAGTGGTTCTGACACCAATCTTCATTGATGTCCATCCCATCAACAAGAAATTCTGCAGCAATGGCTTCCGCTATCTCTTGTGTTGCGACATATTTGCGGCACAGACCTATAAAGAAGGGCTTGAACCACGGGAATGGCAGAGCAGCAACTTGATCCGGAGATAAAGAATCAAGAATTTCTCGACTATATTTAATGATTGTTTTGTGTTCGCCAGGAAACACCTCATGTTTTCGCGGAGGATCAAGGCGACAAAACTTACCAGTAAATAGAACAGTATTAAAATATGTCCTGGAACAGAGTCGAAAATGAGGAAAGCCACGTTGATATTCTGTGTGTGTATTATATGAAATTTCATCGACTCTTTCAAAAAGGGTACGATTGGATCGGAAGGTTGATATCGCGGTTGTTATGGCATTTTCCGGCAAGCAGAGCTCAAGGTTCTGGGTACATCAGCACACATGCAAACATACATATGTGCATGTTTCCAGTAAAGACGTTAGTTAACAAATGGGGAGCCCTCATAAATACCATGCGAAGCGTTGTGATAGTTTAGAGCAAATTCGCCCACCAAACAGACATCAATGCCAGCATCATGTAGCATGTCCAAGATCATGCGAATGTCCTGAAACTCCGTGGCCGCAACTCCAGTGATTATTGCAACCCTCTACTTGCTTGATCATTGAAGACTCGCACGCTTATACCAACACTATCATTAAGAGTGTCAATAAATGGGAAGTGCTGGAGAATCGGCGAGTTCCTGATAGATGTCGGAGTTTAAAGAGCTCTCGGCGGCCAGTTAAGCCTCTTCTAGCCTAGTTAAATAACTAACTAAAATTGGTTAGTTACCGTTAACTTAACAGGGTAGATGACTAGCAGCCCATATCTAGCTTTCCTGATTGGCTGGAATCTAGCGCCTTTTGGAACCTCTAGGCTATTTATGTCCTTGTAGGCCCAATCCTCCGGCTTATCGTTGCTCGCGAACGCGCGTTGTGTGCCGTGCTGGGTCACCAGTAAGAGGTAATAATTGTGCTGTTTCTGGAGACAGGTCTCAGAACTTCGTTTCTCTTTGATACCCCTCACGATTGTCTACCGACCAGCTCATGCGTAGCCGTGGACGGGACTATCTATGGACTCTGGCACCGGCATTAGTAGCTCTTGTCCAACGGGAGAACGTGAGGCCACATTCGTAATGTTTCATCTAGCTAAATGCTACTGTGCCGGGACTTTTCTACACCGGCTCTCCGTTGGCCAGCGGATCCTGGATGACCCCATCCACTTCTTGACTCCGGCTCGCACTCAGATCCACTCGTCTCCTTGTACGGGACAGAATCCAATCTCTCACAGGTCACGGAATCCATCGAATTTCCCTTAACTCTGAGTACAGAGTGCGGAGTACGGAGTACTCGGTGAGCGAAATGATACCGTCGACTGTGGTTTAATATACAGATATGTGTACTCCGTAAGACCTGTACTTACATGCACACATGCCTGGATGCCGGTCTTTTTGTAACTAGTGTGTCGCTATTCGATATTACCAGATGGTGATGCCTATACCTCCTATATTCCTGAAGGATCTTGTTGGCTTCGAGTGTGCTGCGCCCGCCCATCTATTATGTTATGGCCCGTGATACTGCCCTTTTCAAACTCTGAGACATTACGCGCGCCGGGTTACAGCACAAAGACCCGCATTGGCTTATGTAGTGGCGCAATCTCTTGTTTTCCCTCGCATCCCTTCTCAGTTATTCTTCCATCTGCGAAACAAACGACCGCTTGGAAACAGAACCCGATTTTAAACCTGTTCTTGAGGACCGTCTAACCGACTGGATATGGAGGTTTAAGGAGGTCGAATAGTTTTCGAGTCCGGAAATAAACGGCGTGTTTTTTTGTCTTTTTTATTTCGCGAACTATGGCCTCATGGCTATGGAATCTGCTAACCACGCGACTACTTCTACTATCGTTAGCGATAAACACGACGTTTGGTCAAGACTATAATAGCAGGGAAATATGGAACAGCAAATACTCTAAAAAGAGGGATGGGAGCACACTTTTGAAACGACAGCCCAGCACCACAGAGATATGCAGGAGATGGGCGTTACAAACTGCAGTCGTCAATGGAACGTTATATATTTATGGTGGACGGATATTTAAGGAATTCAGCCAATCGTTTTATACATGGAGTGGGCATGACGTGCGATTTTGATATTATGAACAACTTCGGCTAATATTCAATAACAGGCAATGATTTTCTTTCCCTTGATCTTAAGCGCAATTGGGATGTTTCTTCGCCCGGCATAAGCAAACTGACAACGCCATCAGGCACGCCAGCCGTCGCCAATGGGTACTTATGGAACTCATATACATCACTGTTTCTATATGGTGGAAGATTCTCAGATAATTCTACCAGGGTTCCGGATGAATTCAGTTTATGGGAGTTTGACCTGGTTTCTAGACGCTGGAAAGAGCATCGAGATCCAAAAACGTCCAAAGGCAATAAATCAGATAAAAATGATAAAATGATAGAAAGAGTGGCTAACGGGTCAGGTGTTTCTCTTCCGGATCTGGGAAGAGGCTGGTATTTCGGAGGGTATATTGATGGCTACACAACGAAAACGCTCCCTATTGGGGCACCAAGAGTCTATCTCAAGTCAATGATCGAATACACGTTTCCCGGGTCTGCTAATGGCCAAGTGGACATGAAAGGTAATGCGGTTGCAGGATCTAGTGGAGTTTGGCGAAATATCACTGGAGGGGGTCTCCAAGACTCTGCAAGATTCAACGAGCGCGCAAATGGAATCCTTGTATACGTTCCTGGATTTGGTAAAGAGGGAATCCTCCTAGGGTTTGCGGGGGGTACTAATACAAGTTCTGTGAGTAGATATTCCGGGTCACAATGCATTGGGTCGCTGCTAACCACAATATTCTTAGATCGCATTGAATGTAATTGACATATATGATATTGCAACATCCACGTGGCATACTCAAGCCACAAGCGGGAATACGCCTGGTATCCGTTTGAACGCCTGTGCTGTAGCGGCCTCTGCCGCTGATGGCAGTAGTACCCAAGTCTATCTTTATGGCGGACAAAGCATTGGACAACAGCAAAAAGAATATGATGATATGTGGATTTTGACGATTCCCAGTTTCACCTGGTTAGAAGTGAATATGACTGGCCAGTCTATCCCTTCACCACGTGCCGGGCATACCTGCAGTATTTGGAATTCTCAAATCATTGTGACAGGAGGGCAGGGTAGCGACAGTTCAAGCTGTGACACCAAGAATTGGGTGCATGTGTTTGATGCGTCGGAGCTGAAATGGAGATATGATTATGTTGCTTTGGACGGTGGAAATGATCTGAATAAACAGAATTTTCAAAAAAACAAAAAGGGTAGTTTGGGAGGAAGCTATGGGTATAAAGTCCCAAACGTAGTGCAATCTATTATCGGTGGGGATAGCAACGGCAAAGCAACCGTCACAGCACCTGTTATCCGACCCAAGGGGGGTCCGATGGCGACTGGCCGACCAACGATTTATACCCCAGAAGGCACCGTTCAGGACAACGGCCCCAATATGCTTAACATTGCTGCAATTGTTGTGGGCGTAATCGCCGGCTGCTTGGCGATCCTAACTGCTTACCTGGGATTTTGCATTTACGTATATCGCAAGCAAATTGCGCTGTATAAAAAACACGTCGCTGCCACCCAGCGAGAGTCAAATGGGGCTCGATACGGCGATAAACTGTCATATCTTGGTTCAAGAGACAATCTGGGTACCGCCGACTTCTCAAGGGGCGGGTCCAGCGGCGGGTTGACGGTGGACTATATGTATCGCTCGACATACACGCCCACTGCGAGCGAGTATTCGCAAGGGGCAAGGCGTGGATCTGCGCATAGTAGTACGGATGATTTGATCTCAGGGCAGGAGCCGACGTTCCTGGGGGTTATGCTTAACCCAAGAAGAAACCTAAGGGTTATGAACTTATAAACAAACAAGGACTAAAGGTCCTCTTTAGTCCTTTGTATAGTTAGTGGACCATTTCGTTTATCTCTCATGTTCCTTTTCTTTTCCCTTCTTTCCTTTTCGTTTTCTTCTTTTTTTGACTATGGAGCAATGGAGCCCTTTTCTGCGATCTGCGATATTATCACGGTTTTTCTCTAATACATGCTATCTTCGACCCCGTCGAAATCCTCTGTTAATCGGACCTGTGGCCGTTCTCTAATTTTTACCCCTTTCGTTTGCCAATTCTGACACGTTCAGGCTTATAGCAACTCTATTTTTATCTTGCGCATCCCACCAGCATATGGATGCGGTTGAAGAGAAACTGCGATCAAGCAGGAAATGCCAACGTGCATATGCCTTCAAAATGTGACTCGTGGTTGCATCGTTGCCCAGCCAGTCGACAATGAAAGTACACCCCGTATACCAGCCGTAAAAGCGAACACGCAGCACCAGGGTCGAATGTTGTAAGCCTCGCAGGCGGGCTCTGAGATAGCTATGTACTGTATGTCCTCTGGACAGTACATACACACATACATGCATTCGTAGACACATACACGGAACATAAGGCGCGAATAGAGGGGCATTCGACGCATTGGATTCCGGAATTCGCGGGGTAGTGGTTTCCAGGTCCAAGGCACGAAAATGCAACGACGCAAAATCGAGGCGTCCGGAAACAAACGAGAATGAATGACAAGTAACAGATAGGAAACGCCTGGACGGCGCGCTGGCCAGCAACCAGTGGGTGCTTTCGACAACAGTACTGGCTGTTGAGATCTGCTTTGCTTTGAACTTAATCCGGGGCTTCTGCGTATAACCAGGCTAACGACCAGGAAGGCGGTTTAAAGAAAGCAAATGCTGCATCGCAGTGATATGTAAGTAGTGTCCATCTAGGTCGTTAGAGTATGAAATTTGAGGGCATTATTTCTAGAGCTCGAGAAGAGCGATCCAGGACCCGACCAGCAGGAGAGTGCGCTCCTTCGACAGTCGGGGGTTTTGACAATGCAGCCCTCGTATTATTTGCCTGGAATGGCGGAGGAGATATTTGCCAGGCTTAGGCACGCGGCGTTGTTTCGGGCAAAGGCGACGGATGAATCGCCGGCAAGCTCAGTACGGCTAGTTTGGCGACTTGGTTCCTGGCCAAACGGACCTCGGGACGCAGAACGGCAGCGATCTTCTCTCGCTCTCGGCTCTCGCAGCCCAACCAGGCATCACGGCAATCGCAATTGCAGACAGACAATCCTACCGATATCGCATCCAGACATACATGCATCTCTTCTCTTGCAGTCCTGCATCCCCCACCACCACTGTCCACGCCTTCCGACAAGATCCAGACTTCGTCGCGCCGAGCCACAGAAAATGGAACGTCATCAAAGTCGGGCCGGCATTTTTCTGCGCCTTTTTAACCTTCGTGGTGTCAAGGACGGAACTTCGGCACTGCTGTCGGCTCCACTACTCTATCTGCTTGCCTCAGAAACGCCCGCCTGATCGTGAGTCGCTGAGCCAGGGGGGAGGGCCGGCCTGGAATCATTTTTGCAGGGAACCTCGTAGCCTTTGCTTCCATATTTCTGGATTCGTGAACCTGGATGCTGGTTTTCACTGATATGATTCGCAACCGGGAAGAAAACTAATTCGCCTTAGAGGATTCACTACTCCGTATGCATACTGTCGATATCCAAGCTATCTTAGCAGGCTTCGCCTTCTCCACAGTACACACATGCACACCGCGGTTCCGTCGCTAGCGGCAATCTTTTTTCTATTAATAATGGGCGAGGAAAGTTCCGTCGAAGCTGTTTCTTGATTCATTCAGAATCATTTTTTGATTATAGCCCTACTTGTCTCTTGACTCGTTCTTCCGACATCGTGTATTATTATTTAGACTAGCATCATCCATCGGCATTCGATTTCATTCTCGAGTTCAAAGTCTAGTTCCCCTTCTAGTTTGTTTGGCGTAAAAGGACGTATTCACCCTCCACTATCTTTCTACATACAAATTCGTCGCCAATTGTCGACCAATACAACATTTCAACTGGTGGGAATGAACCCCAAAGGACAAGACACTCAGTCGCCGGTCCACAGTCACGGCAGCGTATCTGCTACCTCCTCGGTGGATAAGACTTCAGCACAAGACGTAGACGTCACCCTAGAGAATTTTCATAATGTTCTCACACCCCAAATTTCAAGGATATCTAGGATTTCGCAACCGTCGTTGACAAGAAAGATCACCTCAATCGCGACGGCAGGGACGTCAGATCCTAATTTTGAGGTGAACTGGGAGGAAGATGACCCCGAAAACCCACTGAACTGGTCATTGACGTATAAAGGCATATTGATTGGTTTCTTATCATGGAACACCTGGGTAGTGTGAGTCGCAATCACCCAGAATAATTGACAAAACGATGCTGCCGTGCAGACGCTGATGGATGACGGTCTAGAATCCTATATTCTACCAGTTATACTGCCGGTCTTGCGGAAATAGCGGCAGAATTCAACTATTCAAAAACAGTGGTGACACTCGGGTTAACCTTGTATCTTCTCGGGCTAGCTGTTGGTTCCATTCTATTAGCTCCCATGAGCGAGATGTATGGTCGAAAACCCGTGGGCATAATAAGCCTGATCATCTTCGCTCTCCTAATAATACCCTGCGGGATTGGTGGCTCTATGGAAGAGCTCCTCATCCTGCGATTTTTCGGCGCCATTGCCGGTGCTGCGATGATATCCAGCGCACCAGGCAGCGTTGCTGACATTGTAGACGATGAACATCGGGCTCTGGCATTTTCCATCTGGAGTATTGGACCGCTTAATGGACCAGGTACGCGTGGAGTCCTAATTCCATATATTTGTTCTCGCCTGCTAACACACTGCCATAGTGTTTGGCCCGATTATTGGTGGCTTTGTCACACAGTACCTGGGCTGGAGATGGACCAACTGGATAATGTTAATATTTTCCGGAGTTGCAATTATATTCTCTTGCATCATGAAGGAGACATATGCGCCGGTGCTACTTCAACAGAAAGCTGCTAAAATGCGGAAAGAGACTGATGATCCCCGATGGTGGAGTCGCTATGACCAAAAGGAAGCCCTTCTTGATGTTCTGAAAATAAACCTCAGTCGCCCCTTTGTCATGGCAGTCACGGAACCTATCTGGTAAATTTCTATCTTCCTTGGGCAGAAATACTGGTCACTTACACATTTTTAGCATTTTTTGGAACATTTATATTCCCCTCGTGTACGCCATTCTTTATCTCTGCTTCGTTGCCTATCCAATCGTCTTCCGCGAGATTCGTGGCTGGTCCACAGGCCTAACTGGTTTGGCCTTCTTAGGAATGGGCATCGGCGGGCTTATCATTGTCGTTCTTGAGCCATATATTCGAAAAATGATCAACAGCCATAAGATTGATCCAGAGACTGGAAAAGTCAGCCCTGAAGCAATGGTGTCTGTTGTATGCATTTCGGCGATTCTCGCCCCAGTTGGTGAAATCTGGTTTGCATGGACTTGCGCACCCGCGTCGATCCACTGGATACTACCGATTCTTGCCGGAATACCATTTGGCGCGGGAAATACTGGAGTATTTATATACGCCAGCAACTACCTCACACATAGCTATGGCGTGTACGCCGCATCCGCAATGGCAGGGAATGCCGTCATGCGAAGTATAATGGGCGGTGTGTTTCCGATAATAGGGCCGTATATGTACCGAAGGCTTGGTCCCAACTGGGCGGGTACGTTGTTGGCTGTGTTGGAGGTGTTGATCATCCCCATTCCATTCGTGTTTTATCGCTATGGGTATAAAATTCGGATGAAAAGTACACTTATCAGGGCGATGCAGGAGGACAAGAAAAAATTGGAGGGAAAGAGAAGAAGACTGCAAACGACTAACAAGGAGTCGGGTGTTATTGCTGTGAGCGAGAAAGAGGAAGTCTAGCGTTTAGTTTCAATTTGCCTTTTGGCATGCAGCTGTATAAGTCAGCTTTGATGTCCTCTTTGCATTCTTTGCATCTCGTATATTTTCTGTTGATTACGGAAATTCTAACTCGGAAACGGTTATAGAATCGGAGTTAGATCATGTTGATATTTTAACTGGACTTCTTTCTGTCTTTTCTTTCAGCAGGGTTGGTGTGAGCGTTTTTGACCGTTAATGGACTGTATTTAGCACATATATTTTTCCGTCGGCAAACGTCTATTGATGATAAACAATGAGAGCCTGCAAGGTCGATAAAAATTGACATACTGTGTACACTGGTCCCGCAAATAGAATCAAAGCCAGCGGCATTTCGCTTGAGTATTTGACTTGAGCCTAATCATGGCCATAAAATGAGCCATACGACTTAACCTGGGCCATTGTTGTTGGGCATTTTAAGTCTTCTATTCACATCCCTTGACTCAGCTACAATTTTTTCATATTCTCCGATTCGAATAGGGCCGGCAGGTATAATCATCACTGCTTCAATGTAGACCTGAGCATCTTCGTTCGTTCTTTTACGCGAATTCTCCTTGGGTACTGGTGGCTGTTGCCTCACATAGCCTATGACATTGATCCAGTTTCCAACGTCAATATCGGTATGCTTGAGTGCTCCCAATAACAAGTTGGGTTTCACATCAATCGTGGTTTTAGGAGAGTGGAAGGCGTTTTTTGAAGGTGATTCAATAGACTGTATATGTTCCAGGATCAAAATTCCTTGTGAGACGATATATTTGGACACACTAGATTTTGGATGTCAATTGGAAACTTCTGAATATGATGATCAACCAACCGTACCATCCTAGAAAGCGGACCTTAGTTCCGATGAGCAAACCGGATATTTCTGAGAGAAAAACTAGTCTAGCAGGGAGAGGGCCTGAAATTTCTGGATTCATCGAGTTCTAGACGATGGTATAATGCAGAACCATGGAGAGTTGATGTAATTCTTGAGATGATCTCATGTTCTTACCAGGAGGTACAGAGCCAACACGTTTGTTTTATTAGTTATGTAAGCAAACTCGATATTGATTTGGGTGAAATGAGTACGACGTGCAAGAATGCCAAACAGGTATTTGCTTTTCCCTATTTGGTCGCCATGTCAGGCGATTTTGGACACTAAGTTACTGTTCAGCTGGTTTCTTTAAGTCTATCGTGTTATATATCACCCGCCACACTTTCTCTCATATCAGCCTCATCACGAAACAACCAGCTTTTCATCACTTTTTCCACTTGAAGGTCCGTCAATAGCATATAAATCATTCCAAAACAGAATATCTTGAAGAAAATCTTCTTCAAGGTCCAGCTGAGCAAAGTTCTCTCGCTTTGGCATTCTAATTGACACATGAACATCCGCAGCTCTCTGCCATCCAAAATACCCGGCCATCTCCCAGTCCACAACACCAACGATCCTACCATCATCCACGATAATATTTGAAGGAGTCAGGTCATTATGCATGAGTTCGAGATTGCCAGTTCCCCCAAAAAGCAAACTGGCTTCTAGTTTCCGGATGCCCCGGTGGATAATTGGATCTGGGTCCGGTAAAATATAAGAGGGTCCTGAAAATGGAGATGGTAAAGAGCTTATTTGTCTAAGAAATCCCCGGGCTTGGCTTTTGAATGAATGTTTTTCGGCAGTGGTCAGGTATTGCCAGGCAACATTCAGCCCCACCCCCGGAATACGTGATTGTACCAGAACATCCCAATGTCGGATCTGGAGAACAAATCAGCAACAAAGTTGCGCGAGTATTAGGAGTTTAATACCTTGTCGGCAAAAAATATTTCCGGGAGTCGAATATCTGTAGTCCCTCAAACTAGCCCTATGGCCTTCACTTCATTTTGATCAGCTAATGAGTAATCGCGGCAGCCACGGCTGTTCAAATGGCATGATTTAATGATGACGCTGCCTAAAGCAAAGACATCTCTCCCGCCATTCTGATTTTCGAAAATGCGGACAGTCTTATCGCACATTTTCAGCACACCTTCCCAGTACTGGAGTGACTCTGGTGATGTAGAATTGATGTATTGTGGATCGGGCCTGAAGTCATCTGGCCGAGGATAATAACGCCCATATAAGGGGACGTCAGCAAAGCGGTCATTTTCAGGAATCTTGTTTGGATTAGCTTCGTACGGATTCATTTTTGGTTGCAGCAACAGCAAAAATTGCGCAGTATCTAAACACAGGGCACTTCCACAATAACCTAAAGATATCTGGGGTTTATTTTGTCAGCTTTTACATACGGGGAAAATTCTTACGCTAGATAGTTATAGGGGAGAAAGAAAATGTTGCCCTTTCGAGAAGAGTTAATTGGAGTTAACTTGGTTAAGTGTATTTAACTTTAGTAATGTTTTGTATTGGAGTACAGCTAGCTATTTCTACCACAAGTACAATTACACCTACATACAAAGGACCTTCCAGAAAATTTCTAAGTCCACAAAAACTATGAAAACAGTAGTAAAAATCGCCTACTAGCCTAGCTAGTAGGATAGTAGAAATCGCCTGCTAGCCTAGCTAGTAGGATAGTAGAAATCGCCTACTAGCCTAGCTAGTAGGATTGTAGAGAATCGCCTACTAGCCTAGCTAGTAGGATTGTAGAGAATCGCCTACTAGTAGGATAGTAGAGAATCGCCTACTAGTAGGATAGTAGAAAATCGCGTAGGCTTCTACTGTAGAAGAGAGTTAGTGAGTGACTTAGAGATTTGAAAAAGATGAATGAAAAATTTTCACCTGCTGATCATTTCCTTGTTAGATTTAAAAATGTTGTTATTACCATATAGTAGATTCAACGTAGTGAGCTCTTACTACGTAGTAGTCAAAATACGTAGTAGTTACTGTAGCCAACGTTGAAACTACGACGTGGTGGTAATGGTTACGTGACAGCTCGGAAAATCGGTAACCCGATGGTAGTGCAGAAATCCGGGATTCCGCTATGGGGGTCGGTAGGACAAGTCCTTCACCCAGTGATGAGTGGCGGTAGGAGTTGAGGAACAGACTTGCCAAAAATGCATAATGAAGATTTTGAAAAAATCCAGGCGGGAGTGGCTAATGGGAGGATGGCCCGTTTTCTGGAATATCGCAATCCAGCTAGAATTGAGCGGTACAAAACATGAGCTAGAAGAGGCACCATCCAACTTTTGCTTATTACTATTCCATCGCGGCGGCAACACTCGATAGGGGGTGGGGGCCAGGAAGAAAAACAGAGTCGGGAAGCTTCTAGGTACATGTCAAGAAAATCAAGCAAGCAGGCATTATTGATAGGTTTTACCTGGTCGCGGCGTCAATGCCCTAACTATATTGGACCAGATGAAGGTTGACTACCTAGTTAGTCGGCCATTTAACCTACCTAACTAACTAAGCGGCGGGGCACACGGGAGACTAGGTAACTACGCCCAGGAAACCGATCATGTGCTTGCCACACGACATCTCTAGCGCGTCTAACGACTCCTAGCACCTTGACTGCCAACGCGACTGGTTTTGCAGTTTCTCATCGGTTGGCTACAAATAGCTGCCTATCGTGGTTATTCTTGATATCGGTCTTGTTCTTCTGACCTATGCCTCCCGGTATCGGTTTGTGGGATTCTTTGGATTACTCTGTTCCCCGGGGTATATTCGGGGAGGGCCCACCGCCACTACTACTAGCTGGGGGTGGAAACGGCCGCACCTCCGTATGGAGTACATTATTGCCTGATATATACATCACTACTTCCTTGGCACAGCTGGACTGAAATCTGCAGGGAAGAATGCTCGGGAAATTGACATGCATGAACCGCCTTGATGGGTGCCAAAACGATAGCGCGGGAAACTACCCTTAGTCTATCCTTGTGTACCCCGTTGATTACACCAATGATCGGTTTCCGCCAGCCCAGCTCCATGCCATTTACTTTGGACTCACTACAGTGGATAAAACAGAAAATTCTGAGAATATTCCATTCGGCCGTGAGTGTTATGCTTGGCTTGAGTTGATTGATACCACCACCCCTTGTTCTTTCGGGAAACCAAAAGACTACGAAGTAACTACAATATGTACACTACGGACCGGAAGCCCAGTCCAAGATCCCCAGGGTGGATCGATCTTGAGAGATGCATGAAGCCACAATAATAGAAGTCAAATTCCTTAAGCCTCTGGGAGTGAAGCCCAGCAAGCCAAGGTGGTTTTGAGATATCCTTTTGCAATTTTTCAAATAAAAGTCTTGTTAGAGCGAGACTGACATGAAAAAACCGCTGAACTGATTGACGGGTACTTGCACTACTACTGATGAACTTCGTAGAGGTACAGCACTCTGATTTAGCTTTAGGGGAGCCTTTTACCAACCTACTTCCTATTCAATCACAGTTCTTGTTTAACAGAGGGAATTTTTTTAGGAAAAACCTTTTGGATATCGAAAGCGGTACGCGGCACTAGCCTGTTACCGTTGGGCCGAAAGGCTCTGTGCACCCATTGGAAATCAGTAGTATCCAGAAGGAATATCGTTTCATTTGGCAGTAAGCCTCATACTTGGCTGAAGTAGGTGGCTTTACTGATATGGTACTACTATAATACCAATCCAATCTAGATCATAGCTTGGGTGGAGAGTTTGCGAAAAATCGAGGCATCAAAACAAAAACTTCTCCCATCAGGTAAGTAGATCCTTCTGCGGCAGGGATCGCGAAAAGGCGTCCGGACGGGGTGTAGTCTACAGGCCTAAATTCAATCCTTTAACACAAGGCGGCGGGGGTATTTCGAGATGGATAGATACTCTTTGGACTTGTGAATATGTCGATTGAAAGCTATATAAGAGAGCCTCTCACCCGCAAGTTTCTGTTTCCATCAATAACCCAGGAATTACTTCAAACATCTTCTTGAGTTCAGACTTCCAGACTTCCTTTCAGTCCTTCAATTACTATCAGTCATCATGATGCTTTCCGTACCCGTCCTCCTTATCGCCTCTTGCCTCTCTCAGGCCTATGGGAGTGCCCTCCCAGTTGCCAGCGGCGAGATGATCGCGAGACAAGAACCAGCTAAGAAGGAGACCATTGTCGCCCAAGATCCCTTTTTCGATATTCTGCAAAAGGCAAAGCGAGATCTCTCGGTTCGAAATAAGAAACAGACTACACTTGAACATTTGACCGAGATTCTCAAAACCAGAACCGCAATCCAGAAGGGCAATCCTCCAGTCGGTGATATAAACTGGCAGCCACTATCGCCAACTTGTATGCTCAGTGTTCAAACATGTGTTGGTTGGGGAAGCTTCGTACGCCAAACTCTTCTGTCAACCGAGTCTCTCACTGTGGATATGAACACGAATCTTGAGATATCCAGGTCAAATGAGGGAACCCGTCCCATGAAAATCGAAGTCAAGTCCTCCACAGCAGTCACAGTTGGCACCCAAAATGGCTGGAATATCGGTTTGAAAGTAACCGGAGCAGCCTCTGGGGTTGGAGGCGAGATTTCGGGCGGATACTCCTCAACTACCACAAAATCGACTGTTCAGACCAAAGAAGTTTCCGATTCTATGGAATGCTCACCAAACAACGAGTGTCGCTTTGAAACCCGGGCCTACGTTGTTACCGTGAAGGGCAAATGCAGCCAAGCTCCAATGGTGCACTGCTCAAAGACTGGAAAGGGAAGCATGTGCGACGACGCATCTAGATGGGGGAAAGCCTGCCCTGAGCTCTTAACCCACAAGCAACTTTGCGCCAGCACAGCTCCTGTCGACTGCATTGTGTCTTTCCCTCTTGCGGATGAAAACGGCAAACTCTATACCCAACTTGCTTCTATTGAAGTCCCATTGAAGGCCTAAATGTTTTCAAAGGAGGCCAGCTGTAACTACCAAGTTCCGGTTCTTTGTGAATAGGCTTTGGGTTTTCTTATTTCAACACGTTGTTGACTGATGAATTGGGGTGGTTTGCTAAGCAATGTATATATATATAGACATAGATTTTATTTAAATAAAAATAGACTTATTTTCGTGTTTACAGTCTCCTTTTCAGGTCCATGGTGTTGTTGATGTATAACAAACTACTTGCTACTTCTTTAGGGGGCGCGTGGCGCGGGTAGGAAGCTTGGGTGTATATTATTTCCCTAGAATTTTGTGTAGTGTTAGACAATAGAAATGTATATATTGTACATACTACTTGGTTTCTGACTTAATTTCGCCACTAGTCAGCTTGCTATCTGTGGGAAATTCAAGCGATTGTGCTATATTAAAGGTGCAATTACATATAAAACGAAGCATGACTTTGTACCAGCTGGATAGAAAAGCAGGCCCTAGGAATGCCTTTTGCCGTTACCAATTATTGTTACTCTGTATTACAGGGACAGCAGTTGAAAGCCCTGCACAATAAAGGGGGTGGCTAGGGAGGGCGACCAAGGCGGACAGCAGGATAAACTAGTGTTAGAAGCAAGCAGGTGCCAATCCATTTCGTCGGGCTATTGACCCGCAAAGGCCATGTACCGGGATAATAAGAAAGAAGGATTGTAGATCAAGGAGGGGATTGTGCGCTAGGTGACCTCAGGCTTCCGTTTCTAGTGAGAGTTAAATAGCAAGAACGGCAAGTTTTTAGATATTGTAAAAATCATTCGAGCTATATGTCACTCCTACCAAGCATGCGGCTCTCGAAAATAAAAGAATTGTACTCCGTAGACGTCCGAATGTCTGGGTACCTAATGCCATGGGCTTGGCTTTGAGTAAGGACGAAACCATCCCATCTGATTTGCCACCTGAACTAAAAAAGGGGTTATAAATGAAAATATACCAAAGTTCTGTTATTGCGACGACTTCCTAGCTCCACAAGTTTTAAAAATATAAGGACAACAATACATACATAGATTCTCTAATCGCTCTCCCGCGGTATGATGCGCTTCGCTCCAATTCCCTTAAGTTTATGAATACGATGCGTAGTATAGAATCATAATGGAATACAAGCGCGTTGTGAACTCCTTAAGGCACTTAACCCATTTATCAACTCGCTCATTGTCGAAATTGGTTACCCAACATACATCAGGCTTTGAAATAAAAGATACAGAGCCTTGGGCCAAACTTTGTCGATCTGTGACCTGGCACGATACCATAGCACAGAGGTCATTAATTGACATGTACGGCTTTATCCTGTGTGAATACTAATGTGAAATGGGAAATCTCTCTAGCGCAATTGCAGGGAGCGAACTTGGTATCCAAACGCAATGATAGAAAGAGTAGAAGAAGTCAGCATCAGGATATTCAAAATCTTACCTGCTACGTTCGTTACGTATATTAGGTTTCGAGTCTCTATTGTACACAAAACTTCGTGTTAGAACTTTCTGAAATGTCTTTCGACAGGGGTCACATTATATAGCTTGGTAGGAGGACGTCTTAAGGGCACCTTTAAAGGCTCCAGGGGCACATTCATTTGTGCCGTGAGTGAATCCGTATATTAAATGATATTATTTAAGTATTTGGGTGTTTGTACTTCGTTCGATTGTTGTGTTATTCGACGGGCGAGGTCGGAATGTTTAATCCAGCAGCAGTCTGGACAAGCTCTCGGTGCGCCAAAGTCTATAGTTAGCTTAGATAATCTTGGCTTTCGCTTTCGGAAGAATAATAGTCCTCATCCGAAGACCGATTTTCATGACTAAGCAAGGTAGTCGGTCATCATGTGACTCCGCTGACGGCAATGGGGATCAAAGTGTGGGAGGCAGCACAAGAGCACAACACAGCATATCTTCTCTCTCAAGCCAGGCGCCATATATTTCCGTCCGTTTATATTAGTGTAAGTCTGTGGCCTGCTATCTCTCACCTTTTCCGTTGGGTTTCTCTGCAGCCTAGACGATACTCCCCGCCAAAACCCAACCATTCCGCCCCGCATCTCGCCGTTGATTCCTGATCCTATTTCTGGACCAGCGTACTCCGTACAAATTTCAGGATATCTCAAATTCAGCTTGCGTCGATCTAAGAAGCGCTCCCTAGCTACTAGTATCCACAGACCGATACACCTCTCTCCCCTTTGATATTCCGATAGGATCCTCAGAATGTGGTCGTGGTTTGGCGGTGCCTCGGCACAAGCAAAGAAAGATGCCCCCAAAAACGCCATTCTATCGCTCCGGCAGCAGCTGGATATGTTACAAAAAAGAGAAAAATATCTAGAAACACAGATGTCGGACCAAGATGCTATTGCGAGGAAGAACGTCACGACGAATAAAAACGGTATGAGCCTGGGAAATGCCCCTTTTAAAGGTCTACTATGATAATACTAATTACTTGTGCTGTTATATAGCTGCCAAAGCTGCTCTACGTAGAAAAAAGGTTCATGAACGATCACTTGAGCAAACAACAGCCCAAATCATCCAGATAGAACAGCAAATATACTCTATCGAGGCCGCGAATATCAACCAAGAAACTTTGAATGCAATGAAGAACGCTGGTACTGCCATGAAACAAATTCATAGTGGTCTAACAATCGAAAAAGTTGACGAAACAATGTATGTAGTTACCCTGCGGGCGTGGAATACTGTCTGGACAGGAAAAGGTAACATTCTCGCTAATATTCACATAGGGATCAATTACGTGAACAACATGCTCTTAGTGAAGAGATTGTAAACGCAATCACAAACGCTCCAATTGGCGAACCACTCGATGAGACAGAACTAGAGGCCGAACTCGAGGGAATGGAGCAAGAAGCTATTGATGAGCGGATGCTCAAGACAGGCACCGTTCCTGTTGGTGACAGACTTGACAAGCTACCCACAGCGGCAAATGGAGAACGTAAGTTGGCACTTGTCCATCAAAAAAAATTCTGTTCATTTACTGAAATACCATCATAGTCAAAGGCAAATCCAAGGCAACAGAAGAAGAAGACGAAGAAGCCGAGTTAGAAAAATTAAGGGCCGAGATGGCCATGTAATGAAGCACATGTCATGCCTCTGGTATTTTTAACGTTATTATATCGCTGCATGGCCTTCATGTATTGGTTCCCTTATAATCCGAGACGTTCATGCAAACTAGGAGCGTCGTTTTGCATCTCTTCTATTCTGGTGGCATTTCTTTTCACCGCGCATAGTTCTTGATATTGGTTAGTTATTTACGCACGCCTGACTTCCACCAGCGGTGCACGGAGTAAGTAGCCTGGGGGTAGTATTCCTTTTTCATATTCTTGTTTCCTAGATTCTAGCCCTAAATTATATTTTGGCCTCTTTACGATTTATGTCGCTAATACAACCCGGTTTCTATTGCAAATCTATATCATGTGAAACCTTCCCCTTGATATACTAGGTACTGTTGTCATCATTGGCACAGGTTGGGGAATTAAACTCGATAAGTCACAAATCCTTTCCTGTGCTGCGAGTGAGTAGATGCGGTAGAGCACCACAGGGAGTCGAGCAATGCAAATGCTATGCATCATTTGGTCTTTGAATATCATAAATCAATGTCAGGACATGCGATAAAGATAAAGTGACCCTGGGTATGAAACATGTGGTAATCACGGAGAGTAACAAGGGAATCGAAAACTAAGCATATCTTGACGCCTTCCAGGAATTGGCTATCATTAGCCATAATATTCCATGCCAAGAAACAATTATCCGCCGCCAGGCACATGTCATCCCTTATATAGCGCCTCAAAGCAGATGGCATAAGAAAAGAGATCAAAAAAATGATCAAGTAGAAAACAAAAAAAATGGTGTGGCAGACCGCCTATACCATGCCAAAGAAGAATATGCATAAATTTTCCAAAGCAGCTCCAGCCTTCAGCTTTTGACGTTCATTTGAAACATTGATGAAAATAAATAAAGAAGGAGAAGATGAATTTTCGAGTCCATAATTTGGTACGTTTTGTTAGCCGATTCCCGATTGACCTTGCCCTTCAGTCAGCTGACCTATGATACCTTTTAGAGCATCAATGATAACGGCCTCATCCTTTGGTTCACCGCCGGGAAAAGAGCTTTCCTTTGCGCCGTTGAGCACACGATTTCGAGCACTTCTCAACACATTCTTAATATATTCTTGGTCCTCATAGTCTTCCATGAGGACAGCTTCGAAGTTATCTATGGCCTGATTGGCTCGAGCTAGGAATGCAGGGTCTTCTTTCAAAGACAAAGAAGAACCCGAGGTTGCAGCTTGTACTGGGGGTGTGACTGGAATCTGTGGCGGTGGAGGAGGTGTTGGCGGGATAGGAGTTTGTGTAGGATGCGGGGTTGGGGTGTATGGCTGAGTCTGAAACTTAATAATACTTGGAGCATTGTACGTTTGTGAAGGAGGTGGGGGCGGCACTGGGGAAGGCGGTGGCTGTCGTCGTTGTGGAGGGGGTGGGGGTAAAGGCGGCTGTGGCAGAGGCCGTCGATATCGCGGATATGGAAAGTGAAGCGGTGGGGGGGTGGTAGAATATGGCGAGCGATAGGTTGGAGAACTGAGGAATGAAAATGGAATCGGCAAATCATTCAAGGAAGTGTTCTGGGGTAGATGTGACGACAAGAAGGGAAAGGAATTGATACGTCGAGCTGGGGCTGGTGGCGGGGGAGGTGGAGGTGCCATAGGAGCTTGTTGGGGCGCAGCCTGATATGTATAATGTGGAGGTGGATGTTGTGTGGATATAGGGTGAGGTACATTATACGGTGGTGCCGTCGGTTGTATGAAATGCTGATTATTGAGGTGAGAAATATCCTGCGGAGGCGGCGAAGGACGACGTTTTTTCTCTTTGTCCACAGATGCACCAGGGATTAATTTCCAAGACCACCCCTTACCATCTCTTTCCGCATGCATAAAGAGATGAGTATTGCCATTTAGATTATGGCGCACACTTGAAGTCCAGCCCTCCGTTTCGCAACGAAATCGAAAATACGGGTACTTCAGCTTCAGGGCACGGTATATCTGTTTCAATGTCATGGGAGTCGGTGAGTCTGATAATGCGTCGTGAATCAATACAGCATAATTGTAAGGCGGTTTTGAGAGTTCTTTGGGTGTATAAAAGCTCTCCGGAGGATAATCAGGTGAAGGCGACCGGGAAGGCTTGCGCTTCTTCATTGGTGTTGGCTTGACTGGCTCGTCTTGTGCCGTTTCCACATTACTGTTGGCACATTCTATAGATTGTACAACTGAATCCCCAGGTGCAGAGTCAGGTTTCTTCCGTTTAGTATATTTTCGCTTCTCTTGCTTCACGGTCGGTGGTTCTTCCGGTGCTGCTTCTTTACCAGACTTCGACGGCTTGGCCTTGTTCAATGAAGGAGGAGGTGTCACTCCACCATTAGCCTCACGGCGCGCAGCTAATTTTTGCTCACGAGCTATTTCAGCGCGTTCACGCTTTGACATTATCCCGTCTTTCGGGGGACGACCAGGGCCACGACGACGATTTGGCTGAGAGGAGCTGGCATTATCTTCGACAGACATCCTTGATTCGGATACAGTAACAGTAAGTTTCTTAGCCTTAGTCTTCTCGGCCTCGTTTCCATCTAGATCCTCTCCATCAGAATTTTCGACATTGTCTGCTTCGCTTTCCACCTTTTCATCTGCCTCATCAGGTAATGGCAAATCTTCATCTTTCGTTTCCAGCAATGGGGATTCTATCATTTCGGACCCAGTTTCTCCAATAGGAACATCTGGAAGTAAGAACCTCACTCGAACGCCGCCAATTTGTATAAAATCACCGCTATGAAGTGGTCGAATTTGGCCAGGTGCGAGCCAATCTGCTCCTATAAAGGCACCATTTCTTCCCATAACCTCCATCTCGAAAACGTTTCTATTAAAATTATATGCGATTTTAACATGTTTTCTCGATATGCCACGATGGGACGAGGGGGCACCGTTATTTGACGAAGGGGGATGGATCGGGATGATCGGGCAGGAGTCAGGAGTTGGCAATAGTGACAGTGTATCTACTCTTCGCGGCTGTCTCCCATTTGGCATTGAGTCCATCGCAAGAGCGTTATAATCCTTCATGACTTTTGGAGGTTCGACTGGAGCCGTCATGTCGGGCTCTGCCTGTGACATATGTAATATCGGGTGGTTGTGATGGCCATTAGAAGAGTTGGATGATTTCCAGCTCATTTGAGGGGGGCAATGTTGAGGAACGTCTGGGTCGAACCCCATAATACCACCTGTATCACTGATCACACTACCCATGATTGTGTGGTTTCCATCGGTCTTTGGTCGACTTGGGGTGTGGATCCCATTTCCAGCATGTTTTATTTGATTCTTCGATTGTAGGTCTCGCTGGAAAGCCGCGCGGGCAGCACGTACATCTCGCCCTAAGATGAAGGAGTAAGTGTTCACATAAAAGTGCCCATCGTCAAACTCCAGCTTTGCAAAAGCTTGAATCCTAGGTTCGGACCCGGACACAGATTCAGAATCATTGAGAACGCCCTTCGCATCTTTTTGTGAGGGCAATTCGGGATACCCAACAATCCTAGGTGTGGGTCCGCCGACTGCACCAAAATACGCGTTTGTGAACAGTTCGTTTTGTAACAATGCCTCCTTTGCAGAGCTGGGCGCTCGAATTGGAGTGAAATCCGAATAGAGGGGGTTCAAGTCCGGATTGGCTTTTGCGCTGCTCTGAATAGCATCCAGCAGTAGATTGTGTTCTCTCTCCATACTGTCTTCTTGAGAGCCCTCTTCTTGAAGCGCCTCGCCATCCGAAGCTTTAGGTATATCGCTTGTTCCCCATGCAATGGAAGCCTCAGTAGCTGTGGCCAAAGCAATCTGGTCAGCAGAGAAGTTTTCCAGGGCTGTTTCGAGATTTTGTGAAGGGGTTGGCGGATTAAGAGAATCATGGAATGTTGCATCAATCTGCATATTCACAAGTGAATCATCCTGGTCGGATACAGGCGCGTTTTTGGGAGATTTAGCCAGGGGCTTGCTAGCCAGGAGTTGCGCCAAAAGAGAGCTCGCGGCGTTTTGCTTTTCGCGTTCGCTTTTTTTATTGTACTCGTCTACCGCTTGCAAGTCAGTAACTATATCTTAGCCTGCATATAGCCCTCGTACCAGATACTGTTATGTAGCCGCTTACGGAGGCCGGTTGGAGTCGATCGGCGGTCGTGTCATTGGGTGCTTCGAGCTTGGAAGTGACGTCGCGGGAGGGAGGAGGCTTCGAATCTTCACACCCGGCTGGGAGGTCGAACGGGGACCTCTCTGGCGCCGCATCATGAGGAACTTGCCCCATTAGCGACGCCGCCATGGTGTCGGATGATGACATTGCATGCGGCGAGCAGGTGCCATCCAACGGGGCTCTAGAGCGGTCAGGCCGTGATTGAACGGTCGGAATGATTTTGTCGGCGGTATTGCCGGGGCCTATGCCCCGCCGTACTGGCCGCCTTTCCTCGTTTGGACTAGCTCTGCTTCTAGATTCCCGAGCCGTGTTTATGTCAGCATCTTTTCGCACTTCGCTTGAGTAATGGGCATTGACGGTTCATTCTTTTTCTACCTAGTTTTATTCTATTCCGTGGGCTCATAGGCCTGGGATACGGCTGTCAGAGTTAGATGGAGTCGATGCCTCTTCTTTCATACTCTCCGCTTTTCGACTTTGCCGAATAGGAACCACCTTTCGACAAACATCGAGGAGTTGTTTATACACTGATGGCCTATACGGATCCTGGATTCTTGCCCACCTATAGAATGGAATAAGCCCCCATTCTGACTCTGTGCTACTATCCAGACTTGTGGAATCTAACATCCCCCCCTGCCCCTTCTTGCCCCGTGTCCACGAAGTCAGGAAGCTGACACAGTTTCTTGTTACTTCTGGGAGCACGTAAAACAAACGATATTCACAATGAACTCTATATCGAATTTTAGATTTTACGTTCGGCAACGATAATCCATATAAACTTACGACAATGGCAGGTCAAAGCTAAATTGTAGCTGTTCCAGCGTGCTATCGATTGTCAGCTCTAATTACCAGAGGAGTGAGCTTTTGGACTAACCGGTCTTTGGTATCAACACAAAATAGGAAGCATGCAATAAACCCCAGTATATCGACACATCCCTGAAATATTCAGCGTTTGTTTCCTGTTGGGGGATTGAGCCTCTTTTGAAAATCTTACATATATGCAAAGGCTAGCTGTGAAGCCTATTGGTGCCGTGATAAAGGGGTATATCAAGAGCTGAATTCCGAGGGAAGTCATATTTATGAAAACGCAAATTGCCATTCCAGCCTCCCGCACCGTGCTTGGAAAGGACTCAGCCGAGAGACTGAATGCCGCTGGCCCTAACGTAAAGGAGTACACTGCTGTAAACAGCATTGTGAACTGCTTTAGTGTTAGCAACAACAAGAGAAGCAAATAAGTGCATGCATCTAGGTTACTCACAACGACAATAGCGGGTGTTCTTGCCGAATTTTCCAACTCAAAAAGCGAAGCCAATATAAACATGAAAATCGCCATCGCGGGCAACCCAATCAGCAACAAGGTAGTTCTACCAAGTCGATCGGACAAAAATGGGGTGAGAAGACCAAATCCAAAGCTTACGCCGCCAAAACAGAGAGCCAGCGTCAGTGAATCAACAGAGGTAAGACCGGCATTCAAGAGCGAAGAGGAGAAGAATGCAAATGCATTGATGCCACAGAGTGCTTGCGTTAGCATCACCGTACTGCTGGAAATAAGGGCATGACGGCAGCGTGAATCTTTGATAATTTGCCCCAGCCTTTGAAAGAAGTGTACTTCTTTCATATGGTAGCTATGTCGACAAGTTCCAGGCTCCTGGCATTTGTTGTCTTCCCCCGGAGGTATTTGGCATAATCCTGGAGTTCTGTCTGACAAGCGTTCTGATAGTGGCCTCATTTCATCTATCACAGCACCACCGGCAGGCGATCTCTCCTCGTCATTGTGTCGACTGCGCGTCTTCTCTTCTCTGACTGCTTTTCGAATTTCCATCAACTCCCCTTCTGCTTCCATTTGAAAATGACTAGAGATAATATCTCTGTAGCCTTGTATAGGGTGCTTTCGATACAGACAAGCCGCTTCTGTTGCTTTTGGATATTCGTTTGTTTTCATTAAGAACATCCAGCTCTCTGGGATCATATAAGACGCTATTGCCAGAGGGATAGTAGGTATCAAGGTTGTGGCGCTCAAAAATCGCCACCTTATGTCCGGAGACATGTTGAATGTTTCAAGAACTCTCCATGCTATGTCCCCCAAAAAGATACCCAATGCATCCGCAATTTGCCTACAGTTTTGTCAGATAACAATACCTTCCATAGGTGCGAGTGCTTACCAAGTAGATAACACTGCTCCTCGCATGTTCACTGGTGCAAGTTCCGCGAGAAATGGTGCAATTATACTTGCTTTAGCTCCCAGAGAACCTCCTATTAATACTCTGCACCCAATTATTTGTGGAATAGTTCGCGAACACGTTGCCCCAATTGTCGCCCCCATTCCTACAACCGCGGAGAGAGCCACCGCACCGCGTCTGCCAAGCCAGTGGTTTTGGATCGGATCGGATATGAATAACCCCCTAATGATTGTGAATTAGCTGCTAGAAACCTGGCTAAGATTTAGGGTCTACTTACACAACCCCTGACGAAAGAGCAACGCTGGCAGAGAGAGCACCATATATAAACTGGTTGCTGATTCTTTTCTCTTCCGGGTGAACCTTGAGGTCGAATGCCACTTCAAGAGGGATATCTAGCCATCTATATTAGCGAGGTTATCTTGATGTTCTAGACAGAACGAGCCCTTACTCGTGCCATTCAAAACGCTTTGTGTCCACCCCTGGCACACCCCCGACAGCCCTCCAATTATGATCACAGCAGCTCGAAGGCTGCGTGTTTGCTGCCAAAAAGTTGCCTTCTCCTCATCTTGAAAAGCTCTTATTTCACTCTCAGGAAAATCTGGGTCCCCAAAGGCCTCCATGTCATCCCTCTCAAAACGAGCGGCGCGCTTTAGGCCGTCAACATCTTTTAATAGGCCATGCTGTGTTGCCAAGCACTCGACGCCTCTGTCTAGCTCTTCTATTGTTTCAAATAACGCGAAAGGATTATCTAGGTTCGGCTCCTCCGCAGTGGTAATTGGGTCACTTCCTCTAGACGGTTCACCCAAGTTCTCGTTCGTAGGGACCGGCTCGGAGCTCCCATGGCACAGCGTATTGCTTCCCCCAGGTGACATTGTGATTTCCTCTTGATCTCCGTGCCATCTTCTTTCTAGGCTAATGTTTCTGGAGGTAGCCAGAGGCATACTGATACTTGCCGGAAGCGATCTGTGAATACTTGCTGCCATCTCGCCAGGGTCGGGGATGAAACCACTTTCAATATTAATAATGTAGGCATCGTTTTTTTGTCGTGGTGCAATCGTTTCTTAAGTATTTGGCGGGCAGTGCTGTTGTCAATGGCCCCATCTCATAGTATGCGGCTCTGATCAGGAAGTCACTTGTTGAATAGAGTCTGGGAAGAGAGCCCCTGCTAGCGGCTGAGTCGGCGGAGGCTATGTACCCATACGACAGATTTAACTGGCTGCCTCGCCGAATAAAGCAGGGTCGGCACGAATGTACCCCATACATGCAGCAATCACAAGAACATTGTCGGGTTCAATATTGATCAAGGGAATTTGAATGGTAGGAATGTCGCTCACCCGGACTTCGGATTAGATACTAGACTTCATGTCAAATTATTGTATGTCTAAAGTACATACGTCAACACGTCCTTATGGGCAAACCCCCGATTTTGTCTTCAGTGGTGAGTTCCTGGTGTTGCAACCTTTCAGAGCTGAGCAGGGCGGGCAAGCCCCACACATCCCGCTCATGGCGGAAGCCTAATGAATTTAGAATCGTGTGACACGAAACTGAGAGATACTGAAAGTATTGGCAGAGCGACATCCGATGGAATTGGCATCCGTAGAACGTATGCCCTTTGAAGTACCCCAAGAGCAAATTGGGCTTTGTGATTCGGCATTTACGCGAACACTGCCAGCCTTCTCGCCTTGAAATGCTATCGTGGCTTCAGCAGACCTCGTGTCTAGGGGTCGTATCCCGAAACGTTTCACCCATGTTCGTTCAACTTGGCCTGAACTGTCGTTGTTGGACTGATGCCCATGAACGCCACAAAGAGTCGAGTGAGGCTCAGCCTAGAAATGACGATAGCTGGCCCCTGTCGAGATTTAGTACATTCTCCTTTTGGTCTCATATAACTTTGTCACTCCCTCTCAGGGAGGCCAATGCACCTTTGTTTTCCAATATTTTTGCCATCCCTCCCCTACCTCCATGCAGATCAGCCATGCGAGTTCGTCCCGGTTTCCCCACACTTCGGTGGTTATAACTAAGGAACGCTGCCACAACCTTCCTCAAGAAGTTACTGGCAAAAAGCGATAGTCATCGCCATCAAAAGATAACCTCCAAGCATGGACCCGGCCGGCCTTGCTGTCGCGCTGACAGTTGTGGCGGCCCAGCTCACAGTAAAGATGAGGGCGTTCAAGATGAGAATGAACGATCGCCCAACAATAATCGACGGGTTGCTAGATTATTGTAGAATGGTCAAGGACGATTCTGAAATGATTGCCGTGCAAGCAGAACGAATACAAGGAGTCACAGACCCTGCCTTCCACGGACGTGGTAGCCCACTACACGTATTATGCGCCAGGCTGAACGGCTTGGCTAGACTATTAGAAGACTTCAACGAAGAGCTCGGGGAAATTACCAAGACAAGTGCTACCACCCTCCTGGGACGGGCAATCTTGCAGATCGGAACAGACGATGCGCTCCCTAGAATTAAAAGTGTCCAGGAGAGAATAGAGCAATATTTCCACAGCATCCTGCGCTCGATGCAATGTATCCAAATGGCACTGCAGTAAGTCTTCTCTCCCACGAGGAAGTATTACGTATGTAGAATCCGTTGCTCATGTTTGGACCAGGGAGCCACATGGGCAACATCGCCGTCCCAGTTCGGCTTCAACAGTTCTGTCTGGCGTTCCCACCCCACCCCCTTCTCCGATCTATACGGACTATCAGATATCATCGCGCACCAGAAAGTTTTCAAGTACCTCCAGCATAAGCCAAACATCAGACATCGAGAAAGCGACGCGAAACTTGGACATACAGCTGGTGGAGCGGCTTCTGAACGAAGATGTCACTGGCAGCCTGGTCGAAACAACCGACACTCATGGTCGGACTCTGGTCGACATCGCCATTAGCCAGGGAAAAAGCACGCATCCATCGCAAGTTCCTCTGGTGAAGCTGTTGAAAGAGCGAGGCGTGAAGTTCACATTAAAAGACGATCGTAACCGGAGGATGTATCATGAGATTGTGAATGCAATTCGGCTTCAGTCAAGAAGAAAGGGGTGAGGAGCTTCGCCAATTAGTCTGAATCAACAAACTCCCGTCTCGATCTGATACCAATCATTGAAGCGCCTAGCCAGATTATTCGATCTCGCCTAGCCACTCTTGACAGAATCTCACACTCGATGAAATGGCAGCGAGCATCTATCTGCATGTTCTCGCCCTCTGAAGTTTCAAAAGACCCCGTCACGTGTTTTTCCCTTGCCTAAACAGGCAACCCCCGGGCACGTACACATACGGCATCGCCAAAAAGGGGGTATCATCGAAGGGTAACGCTTCCTCCCCTATCGTCAATATTTTTCTCTGCTGTTGAAATCATTTGCTTCAACGGCTATTAAGGCAGCAAGTTCCTCCTTCGAATCACACTGGAGAAGCAAGAAAGGCATACAATTTTGTTTCTCCGGAACAAAATACAAGACAGGCTCGGTGTAAGAAAGGTATCATTGAGCAACCACAATGACTGATACTGTGCTTCCCTTCTTGTACATAATACATCCACGGTAGCTAGGCGATCAACTCGTTTATGGTCTATCCACATTGCCTTTTGAAAGACATACAGCTGGGAAGCAACGTAACTTATATAGCTTCCTTCTCGTTGGTGGGGCGTGCGACAAGGCCCAAAAAATGGCGCAATCACGGTAACTATACGAAGGCTGGGGGGAAGTAAGCCGCAGACGGATATGCTGCAGCTATCCGTTCAGCTTTCAGATACCGAGGAGAACCCTGGCTCAAATCCCATGATATATGTACGCAGTATAGCCGACACATACACACCCTAATCCTCTGGAATTGTCCTTATCTTTTGACCACCAAATCACTCCTTATCACCCACTTTTCACCCTGTGTAACCTCTCGTCCTTCATGAAGCAGACACTTATCACCATGCCGATGCAGCAATGCCATACCAGCTTCTAGTTCCACCACGATGGGCTCCACACGGGCAGTGTCTTTGGAAGCTTTAGATTTAGAGCCACTCTTCTTAGACGACGGAGCAGGTTCGGGATAGAACACTGTCTCTCCGCCGGTACAGGTAGTCAAATAAATGAGCAGGGTCCACGTCGTCCTGCCAGGCACACATTGACCTTCTGGCGACGCAAACTGAACCGCTACAGAATCATCATCTAACAACAGATACAAAATTAGCAAATACTCTGTAGCACAGAACTACACGAGACCCCAGCTTTTAAAAAAAACCCCCTCCCCCCAGGATCCACTCACAATGCTGCCCAAAAAACTGGCCCTCCGTATACCTATACACCCTCACATTCGCATTCAACCCCAGCACCTCACCGCCCCACAGCACGCCCCCCTCCTCGTGGCGCAGCACCACGTCCGCCAGCCCGGACTCGCTCCACAGCCTCCCCGCAAACCCCGCATCGTCAACCTGAAACCGATCGTTGACCCTCACCGCCTCTCCGCGCCTCGGCCGGCCCGGCGTCGTGGCCAGCGGCAGGGTCGACAGAAATGAAACGTAGCTGCGGCACAGGGCCGCGGGGAAGAGGTGGCTGATCGTGTAGATTTGATCGGCGAGGATGCAGTGTAGGGCTAGCTGGGAGGATGGGCGAAGGGGCTTGAGAGGGGGCCAGTTGGGGAGGGAACGGGGTTGGGCGGCGGGTTTGGATGGTTTGGGCTTGGGGGGCATGGTTGTGGATTGAGGGAGGAGGATGCTGGGTGGTTAGGACACGAGTGTCATTTGGTCCTGTGCGACGAAGGTGTTGGGATTGAGGCTGGAGGGGTGAATGTGTTTTGATTCTCGGGAGCGCGGGTCTGCTCCACCAGCTCCACTGGAAGGCGAAACGGCTGATATTATTAGCCACATATTGGACGCTATAGGGTCGATACTAGGAGGCTTTTGAAAAATAAATAACTATCCTGAGTGGCTTAACTAACTTTCTACGGCCCCAAAACAGCACCTTCCTGACATATATCAAGGAAGAAATACGTGACATAAGAGCAATAACATGAGACGGAGGGTAAATAAGAACAACGAAAGACAAGTTTTGTTCACGCAGGGAGCTTCAATCTATTTATTTTGTTATTTCAGAGTAGTATTCGCAGACATATCCGCGAAAGATATGGTCACCTCAACTCAGGAAGCCCAGCTTCATTTTTTTTCCCGTGCTAGAAGATGCTGATTGACATAGTAAACTGATGCGTAGATGCGTAAATAATGGGGCAGAAACAGTAAATGACTCGTCAATATGGCTGGTAGGAAAAGAAAACAAGGTGTCGGAAGAAAAATACTAAAGGACCGCGGGAGGAATGGAACGGAAGAGGAACTAGCCAAACGTGACAAGGAGGGAGAAATACTGCAAGAAGAGTGGGTAAAGGGAGAAATGGGCGACTTTTCCAACACGCATTCATGATTCTTCCGGCTTTGGCGTCTCTTTAGGGATATCGTAGGCATTGCGTCGCATGAGGTCCTTGACCGGGCCAAGCAGTCTGTTAAATCCAGCCCGTCCCAATCTTACAAGCTTGACATCGGTTTTCGCAATGATAGTTGCCTGTCTCGGCTTGTCATCAAGCAGAGCAAGCTCGCCAAAATAGTCGCCGCGTTTATAATGCTTCACGGGCCCTTCAATTCCTTCTTTATATGCCTCAGCTTCACCCAATTCGAGCCAGTAGAACGAATCGCCGCGATCGCCTTCCCGGATGATGATGTGGCCTGCAGGGTATTTGGTCGTATCCAAGGCGTCTGCGATCTTTGTGCGTTCGTGGTGTCTTAAAGAAGCCAGGAGAGGCACCTCTTCCAAGAAGGCCTCGTACATGCGTCGGCGTTTGAACGCAGCGTCCATCAAGATTCTTCGAAAGGTCACGCGGTCAAGCGCCCAGACGGTTCCTGGCTCTTTCGACACGACAGTAGCAGCGCGAGGGGCATTGTACATCAATGCCAGCTCGCCAAAGGACCCTCCAGGGGAGATCGCGTTGACCTTATTTCCCATTCCATCGGGACCCGGCTGCGCTGAGCCGGACGAGTGGATGAAAACATCAAAATGCCCCTGCTCAACGATATAGAAATAGTCTCCAGCATCACCCTGCGTAATGACCTTGATATCCTTGGCGGGAATGGGTTTCTCGACCAGCGCATCCAAAACAGTCTTGGCCTGATCTTCTTCGAGGTGGGAGAAGAGGAAGTTCGCCTCCACCGACTTTTTGAGCCGAGTCAGCTGCTCGGCAGTTTTCGGGTGATATGGTGGAGTCCACGAATCCGAATCAGAACTAGTAGGATTCAACGATTCGGCAGAAACAGAGGTGCGGCGGCCCAGAGCATACTGGCTGGGGAAAGAGTCATCGTTTGGGCCGGCTGCGAAACGAAGAGCAGAAGGATCCTCAGCTCTTCCTCCAAAGGGATTCTGGCCAAATGATCCAAACTCGCCGAATACGCCCGCCCTGTCTTCCGGCTGAGAGCGTGAAGCATGCACCTGGGCACCCAGTGAGGGAATATCCGTTGTTCGAAAGGTGGAGTCGGTAGGGGAGGTGACGTTCTCATCCTCCTCCGCAATCCGGGCGAACGGGCCTCCGTGCCGTTCGGTGTTCGGTTGGGACATCGTATACTGATCGAAGCGTGCGTACGCCGCTGTTCTTGTAGGATAAGTATTGAGGGGTAATTCGCCGGTTGGAGGGTTGGTGGTTATATATAGAAGCTGTTGAGACGAGCGACAGGATGGGGGGTTGTGAGCTGCACCTCAGATCGGACGGATCGCGCGGTTTCAATTAGGATTAGAGAACGGAGAGAGGCAAGTGAGCATCTGAAGACCTAGGATGTTGGATAGTGTAGTATCACGCCGCAGAATGCGCTGGAGGCGCTATGTTGGGTAGTAGGATCGAAGGCGAGACTGTCCGTCGGTGTCTCGAACAATCCGCTCAGACAGACGCGACCTCTCTTCCAATAAAAGTCTACCGAAATATCGAGACGCAGGGGTGCCCGGCAGATGTCCTTTGCTTCTTGTTTTCTTGTCCCAGTTCACTTGAAAGCCCGGGGAGGCGAGTGCAGTTGCGTGACTTGATGATCTGTAACCCACTGTGGATGACGACCGATCACAAGCCAGGAAAGCTAGTTAGTTAGTTAAACTAACAGATAGCAATGACACAGAGCCGAAGCAGAATGAGCTGATGCCCGACGAGCTTCTGCGCATGGGGGACGGCAAATTCAATTGCTGGGAAGTCAGAAAGTTTTGGGAGAGGAGGAAGAGGTGGGAGAGAAGAGAGGGGCCCTGGAGGTGATGATGTATGGCTGGTTGTGGGAAGAAGCTTAATCGCCGTCAGCACACACCCACGCCGCGCCGCGCGACGGCCAGCCGGTCGACCTCTGACTACGCTTCTGGCGGCCGCGGCGCCATTGATTTGTAATTTACACACGATTTTTGCTGTCTGGTGAAGCGTGGGTGGGCACGAAGTTGGTTAGATGCTCTACACGATTTGTGTGTACGTGCGGGCGGGCGGGCGTGTGTGTCCGTGTGCGGGCACCAGCCATCCTGGTCGCAGCCCGGGGGGAGGCTGTCATGGGTACATCGGACTTACATGTCATCTGCTTGCGTGCCCCGCTGTCGCACCGCAAGGGGATCTGGGGAAGAGGGGTTGCGTGCATGTCTTTGCGCCGCGCAAAAGGAGCTGCAGAGCTTACATACTCGAGGGTAGGAAGGGGGTCCTCGAATGGCCCACTAGTTAACTAACTAATTGTGCGGACCAGAATCCAAGTTCACATCCAAGGTTCGCCTGCAACCAGGCTCCAGCGAGCCCTCGGAGGCGGATGTGTGGTGGTGGTGCGTCTGGATTCCAGCTTGCGGGCGTGGAAGGCCCAGCTAGCACGCCAGAAGGCTTCCAGTCGTTTTCTAGAAGCCTCATGGATCGTGCTTTTGTTTGGCCCTGCGCGATGAATAATAGGCTGTCGGTCGCCGGACAATGGCCTGGAAGCATGCCGCCGCGGCCTTTTTCGCAATGATGCACTCAGCTGGCCTGCCCTCCCAGAGCTGTTCTGCGCGCGTCTGGTCCCAGCTGCCCGCCGTCGGCCGGGAAAAGCTGGGGTGCATTTCTCGTGCACGGAGCTGGCGCGATAGGCCAAGATGTAGTTAGTTAGTTAGCTTCTCTTAGCACCACGCTGCCCAGCGCTGCGTGGCATCCAATGGGCGACGGGATGATGCAGAGCTTGTCGCCGCGCGCGCGGGCTCTGACGTGCAGGCTGCGTAAAACGTGCCGTCTGGCACGCCAGGAGCCCGTGTCTGGCGGCGAAGCTCTTCGCAGCAGGCTTGTTGGCGATAGTCTGTCAAGACTGTGCGTCGACGGCGGACGGTTGCATCGGTCAGGAGAATCGCTTAGTTTTAACTGTCTACTTATCGCCTGCAGCTGCATCCTTCTGTCAATCCACACCCTGGCGATCCGCAGAGCTTGGGGCATCTGATCTTCCCGCGGTTCACTGTCTAACTAGGTGGCTAGGTGGCAGGGCCAGGGCAGGTGAGCCTTGTCTGGAGCGCTGCGAGCTCGCCCAGTAACACTATTATTGCCTACTCCGTACACTCCGTGGTACAGCGAAGCTCGAGCAGCGGGGTGCATTCCGCTCCCTTGCTCCTGAAGATACTGCGACCTATCTCTCCCCGTTCGCCGGGCACAACGGGCAGGCTGGCCGCCAGATGAATCGGGGTGGCGACGGCCGTGCTTGGAATTCCAACTGGCTCCACTCACCAACTCAAAAAAACCGCCTCTGTGCGACGGTTTTCTCTCATCGTCGCCAGCAGCTGTGTTTTCTGTTCTTTTTGCAAACCAACTACCTCGTCTCGACGCGCCTCCCGCGACAGCGCTGGCCTAGTTAGTTCATTAGCAGTCAACTACGCTGCCCGTGCCCTAACGAACGCCGCCCCTTTAACCCCCTCAGAGTCCAAGAGCGACATACTCGTGCCTCCCGCCTCGTCGAAGGGCGAAGAGAGCGCCCATTACCCAGCCTTCCCGTATTCCGCCCGCCCACAGCTCCTCTCGACCAATTCCATCGAGTACCCGCCATCGCCGTCATTCTGCGACAAGGCTTCGCAACGCTCGTCACACCCACCACTCGCTCCGCCTGGCCGCTGACAACCCGTCTTGGAGCAAAGCACACCGGGCTTACGACTGCTGCTGGACCTGGGACGAGATTAAAAATGGGATTGCATACGTTTCAATGGTGAGTTTGGTCGGGTTTGGCCCTGGGCTGAGACCAGCGCTAAATAAAGGGATGCGCCGCGCGGAGGGCACCAAACGGCAATGCGTTGCCGTGCGTCCGGGTTGTCTTTTGCCAGACGATTCTGACGGCGAGATCCGTTGGGTTCTGGAATACTCCGTACTCTCGCAAAGCCTATGCGCAGTCTTTACGAGCCTCATTTATAGAAGGGGAGACCACCTGAAACTGACTGGATTTTTCACTGTTTTAGGCCACACCCAGCCGACGAAGTCATCGTGACCGGCACCTTTGATAACTGGAGCAAGAGCATCAAATTAGAGAAATCACCCAGCGGGGCATTCCGTAAAGAAGTCGACCTGCCAGAAACCTTCGAGAAAGTGCTCTACAAGGTACGTTTTGGCCGTTGTCATTTAGTTTACCTTTCTTTTCATTATTTGCCCTGCCATGTCCCCCACTCCCACTCATCCTTTCGGAGAGAGGGGGTAGTCATCTGACGCCCGCGAGAGTTCCGACCAGAGAGAATTTCGGGTTGAACTCCGGGCGCTGGCGGTGCGGAAGAGTGCCGGCGGCGTCAGCTTGAGTCCGCCTCCTCGCCTCCCGCGCCCGCTCTCCCGGTGTGTCCCTTTCTTTTGGCCCTCTGCTGTTCTTCCCCTTACTGTCCTTTTCTTTTGATACCCCCCGTCTCCAGGCGCTGTCGCCGCCCGCCTGTGCCTGAAAATGCCGTTGCGGGCGTGCGTGTGCTCAGAAATACGCAGGGTACCCAGAGCTACCCCTCGTCCCTGCGTCGCCACCATACCCTGGCCCGAAGCTCGGTGGTACCCTGCTCCCTTACGTCATGCCCCGGTCTAGGCTGAGCGTTCCTTCCGTGTTTTTGATTTTGTGTGCTGGCTTTAAAAGGCAGGCTCAACCCACCGCGTGCCGCGTCGAGAAAAGAGCGACTCTCTGCCCCTAGTCCGCCATCACCTGACCTGCTCTGTTTTCTTTTCTCTGCTTCTTCTTCTTCTGCGTCTCCTTCTCTCCGTCGCTGACCTGCCGCGTCGCCAGTTCGTTGTTGACGGAACGTGGGCGACCGATCATACCGCCCCGCAGGAAGACGACGGCCACCACAACGTTAACAACGTTCTTTTCGCCAACAAGCACTCCAACACAGCTCCTCGCGGAGTGGCTGTGATGTCCGGCGTGACCCCCGAAGCTACCACTGCCGGCCTTGCAGGAAAAGTGCCCTTAGAGTCCGATATGTCCAACTCCGCGCAACGGAGGGTATCCCAGTCCGAGATCAGCGGTCCGGGCGCCTTTACTATGTCCTCTCTCGCCCCTGATTCTACGACCGCAGAGCTTGCCAAGGAAGTTCCGCTCGAGCCTACGGCGGGCGGTACCCCCGGTGGATTTCCAGAAACTCCAGGACCCGACGAGTCAGTATCGGTCAACCCTATCCCAGCCACCAATGGCATCGGGAACCCCATTAATCTCCAGCCGGGCGAGAAGGTGCCCAACGTGACTGGCATCACAAACAACACGATTGCCTCTGGGGTCACGACCGATATTGGTGGATACGAGCGGGATGCAAGCGACCCCTCTATGGCAGCCTTGGCAGCAAACCAAGGCACTATTGGCGACAAACCAGTCCAAATTAGCCCCGCTGTCGGTGGTGCGGTCCCAGTTATCCAATCTGCTGCTCCCGAGTCGACGACCTCGGCACTGGCAGCCAATGTACCTCTGGAGAAATCCCACGCGCTCACCCACGAAAATTCCCACGAACCAGCCGACGAGGTGCCTGATGTGGTGAAGAAATCGCTCAGCGAAGCGCATCAGGATGCGGAAGCGGCAGGCTTCACAGACGCTCTGGAAGAGAAGAAGGAAGTGGAACAGGAATTGCTGCGAGATGTCAAGCGCGACGACTCGGCGGGCAAGCCAGCTCCTGGGCCCGCTCCAGCCATCGCCACGGCCATCCCCGCTGCGACTGAGTCTCGTGCCAAAGCTACGGATAGTGGAAACGTGTCGCCCATGACTCGCGAACCCGCGGGAGACTCCGCCGCTCCTACATCCCAGCTGCCGCAAGCTACCACGGCGACTGAGCCAACCGGGGCAGCAGTAGCAGCAGCACCCGTTGCAGGCACAGCAGCCGCAGACACCACGGCGCCCGCAGCCGCCCAGACTCAGCCCCAGAGCACGGCTCAAGCGGCGGCGCCGCCGCCGTCGCAGGCAGAAAGCGCCGAAGCCGCGAGGGAGCGGAAGAAGAAAAACCGCCTGAGCGGGTTCTTGAACAAGTTGAAAGAAAAGCTCAAATAGTTCCCATATTAGCATAATCAGCTCTCATACTTGGTTTTGCGCAAGTTTTCGTTTTTTTTTTTTTTTTTTTCTCGTTCCGGACATATGCATTCGCATCCATGTGCGCGCGCGCCGCATCATCCGATTTAAAAAAAAAACTCCCAACAACACCGCATTGAGTACATACATATGCACGACTCCATGTTTTCCTCTCGCGCCTCGGTTTCCATTTTGGCAGTTGGGCTTTTTGCTTTGACATGAATTTGAGAGAACCGCTTGTTTTTAATTGTGTGTTTGCCTTTCTTTTTTTTTTGTCGTCGCATCAATATGCCGCCAGATTCCCCTTGTGCTCTAGTATCTTTTTTTTTTTTTTTCTTCTTACCTTTTAATTAATCCTCTTTTCCGGTGTATCACAATGGTGTGGTTTCCTTTTTTAGCTTTGCTTTCCCTTTTTCTGGGTTAAGTATTCTCTATTTTAGGTTACTTGACAGTGGGATGAGGACATATCTCATTTCCTGGAGGTGGGTGTGGGTGGATTTAATGCGTGTGGTGGCTGCTCCCGTATAGCAGGGCCTAAGGATAGCAATGAGGCTTTCAATCAGAGTATATTGTCTCGTGGATTGTATGTCCATCTCGTCGTACCTTCTCATACATACATACGTATGTCCGTGCTGGTAAATATGTGCTCTTCGTATAGATACGCCAAACCCAGTATTCCCGCCGCCTGAAAGAAAAAGGAAAAATGCAACCAAACCTCAACCAGCCCGGTCCCTACCTCAGCCCAAAGCAAACCAACCAACCGACCAACGGCTCTGCCAAAACAAACCCCCATGCAGCAAGCTCCTAGAACGGAATGCCATTGCTGATGATCCCGTTCAGCTCAACGGGCATTTGGAGCACCCTAGCACGCACGGCAGTCAGCCCAGCTTCAGCTTCCCCCTACTTTCTCTCGTGTTCTTTTTTTTTTTCGCCGTTCGTATATTACCTAGTTAACTACTAGGCAGCGAGTCACGCAGCACTCACCGTGCGCCCGTCTTGGTGGCCCAGCAGCCGCAGAATAGCGAGGCGGGATAGCAGATCACGGCGGAGACGATGCCGACGGCGAACCCTGCAGGGATATAATAATAACTAGTTAATTAACGTTTGCTTCTCTGTTATTCCGGCGTTATTATTTATTATTGTTCTTCTCGTTTAAATATTCCGGAGCAATATTTCTTTTTTTTTTTTTCCCCTTTGCGAAGAGGCTGGGGAGCAGGTGTGGCTGACGACGTACCGAGAGTGGGGCCGACGACTTTGCAGCGGCAGGGATTCTGGTCGGTGCCGCACTGGAAGCACACGATGGGGAAGGGGATGAAAAAGCCCATGATGATGATAGTTGGAATAAATAATAGTAGTTGGGTATCGGGCTGGTGTGCGATGATGATGATGATCGATGGCATATATAGCAATTGTTTGCTCCGTCCGGCTTGAGCAACTGCCTGCAAAAATCCGGGACCCTGTTCTGTCTACGATGACGTCGCCAGTCGGGCGGGCTGGCGGCTGAGTCAGCCAACCCGGCACTTTTGCGGCGCGCGCGGGGAGACCGGCATAGCCCCCTGCACGTGCCTAGAGTAACCCCGAGACACCCCCCCTGCCGTGTGGCTCAAGCTGCGCGCCACCGGCCAGCCAACAAGCGCGCGACAGGTGGCTGGAGACGTAATCACCGCCGATCCACTCGTAGAAGGGGATGTTTTGTGGCCGTGGTTGCACCGGATAAAGAGAGTCACGCACCCCAGCCACACACAGCACTGCACCGCATAGTCCAACAACTGTTAAGTTAGCCCGGACTCTGGCAGCGACAGCGTAGGATTTAAGCAGGTCGCGGGGCGCAGAGGGGAGCCTGGGCAGCCACTGATCGACAGTGAAACGCCCCCGATTCGAAATATAGGTAGGCGTCAGCCCTGCCTCTCCCCCAGAAGAATATTAAAATTTTATTGGCACTGTTACCCGCAAAAAAAAAGACAAAAAACCGCTCTCGCTGGCCGTTCCGCGTATCAGCGCCGCGGGGTCCCTGGCTGGCGGCGCCCCCCCCCCTCCCAGCCCTTTGCGCGCGCGTACGCGCACATGAGCCACTTCTGCATCCTTCGCGTTTTTTTTTGATTTTGTGTGCGCGGCGTGCCCGCGCTGTCTGGCTTCTTTCTTCTTCTTCGTCTTCTTCTTCTCTTTCTTCTTGTTTTCTTGTCTTGTCGTGCTTGGACCAGTTCTTTTTTTTTCCTCGGCGCGCCCGCTTTTTTTCTTGACGATTTCCCGCCCAACAATCCCGTCGAGAGTATTATTATTATTATTAGCACCCGCCCCAACCCGCCGTTCCGAGTCGTATCGGCACGGAATAATAGTGAATCAACTCTCCTCCGGGATTGCTCGCAAGGCAGCAACATACGAAACAACAACAACAACACCTCGCCTTTTCACCAGCCAAAATCCTCTCTATTAAACCCGCCCAGCGCACCACGCCCGCTGCCGCGCCTCAACACTCGCAGCAAACCCGCCCCAGCGTGGCCGTGCCCGTGCCGTAGCTTACCCTGGCAAACTGCGTGCAATTTCCCACCCCCCACCTCTCAACAACATTATTATTTCCCCAAGAAAGTCTCATCCCCTCCTCCCAGCAGGCACCGCGAACACACAAACGGGCTGGTCTCAAGAGATCGGCCGTGAATCGCAGCATCTCTGGGGCTCGATCCACCGAAACGGACATAATACTCCCTTTTTTTCATTCTTCATCTTCCCTTCTCTCCACAATGACGCTCTTCAGCCGGCTCTTCCCGCTGGTGATGCTGTTCGTGGTGCTGGCGGTGCTGGTCTGCGTCGGGCTGGTGGTCTACAACATCGTCATGGACGTCACGCACCACACCAAGAAGCAGATGGAGAAGAACAACGTCATGCTGTCGCGCGAGGGGGTCACCGTGGAGCTGAACCAGATCCCCGAAGAGGAATATAAGGATAAGACCCAGAGGTACTTTCTCTCTCGCTCTATTTATTTATTAGTATTTCTCACTTACCTACTCTTTCTTTTCCCTTTTTTTTTGCAGTGTGCTGGTCGATATCTGGAACCACAGCACCGTGCCGGCGCTCAAGTATCGCTGGAGACGAGAGAAGTGAACGTAGGGTCGGTTCGGGTCTGGGGAAAATACCCACCTCCCCTCCGTGCGGTCGAGGAGGAGGATCGCGGATTCGCTCACGTGTTGCTGTTGCTGACGGTCGATTGCGCTCTCTGGACGGAGAAGAGGGCAGAGCGTCGATGCGATCTGGGAGTCCCGTCGGGTCCGGCGGGGAAGAATCGGGGATTTCTTTCAATTGCCGACGGGGCGTGGGGCGTGTGTGGCATGACGTCCGTGTCTTCCTTGCAATTTCTTCTTATTTTTTTTTTTTTCTTCTCATATGATGTCCAAAAAAAAAAAAAAAGTGCTTCCGATGAATCCAGGCCATCGACTGCTCCACATGGCTGCTGTTGTCGTGTACGTCCTTTTTCGCACACCGAAAATAATGGAACAGCGATTTCGTTTGTGTTGTCTTTCCACTCTGGCTATATCACTCCTGTCCCTGCTCTCCCCCCGGTCCGCCCCAGTAACGCAAGCTAGGCTGGCCTCCACGGACCGCGGGCGCCTCACGAGCAGCATCGAAGCGGCCGGGCCAGCCAGACGCAGCGACGATATGAAGAGGCTAACCACGCCTGTTGTTATCCTTGCTAACCAGTGGAGACGAACAGGCGGCCCGCCTGATCCTTTTTTTTTTGCTCGAGACGAAGAGCCACCACCACCAGCAGTGCCCTCAACGGCAACAGTATCATCAGGGCGACTCCGCCCGGCCATCACACGGCGCGGCCCGCCCAAGCAAACAAGACAAAATAATAATAACGGCGTGTGCAGTGGGCTGGCGGCGGTGGCCGACACGCGGCGGGATGCGGGCCCAGGATGCGCCGGCGAATTCCCGGCGGGACAGTATCACCGTGGGGTGGGATTGGCGTCGTCGTCGTGGTGGTGGCACCGCCAGTCCAGTGCAGTCCAGTCCCTGAGCTAGCCAGGTCAAAGCTGACTAGGTGGTTACCGGGGCCAGCGCCAAAGCTAGGCCAGAGCACGGGTGTGCGCTCCGGCAATCAATTAAGCATTTAGCAGCGAAAAACGGGCGACAACGACGACGAGGATGATGGGCAGGACGCCGGGAAATTTTCAGGGTGCAGAACTCACTACCCCGTGCCAGGGCAGGGATGGTGGCCGGATTGATTTGCCCGCGGGAGAAACGGCTGCAGATCGTGGGGGAAGGAGGAGGAGTAGTAACTAATAGGATACTCCCTACTGCTCCTTCGACCCGCCAAGCGCGCAGGCCGGCAAGCAAGCACCGCAAGCACCGCAAGCATCGCAAGCATCAGCAAGCCCGCCGGCGCGCGCCTTGGCCGGGCGAAGGAGCGCGTGGGCCCTGCGCGGCATCTACTCACTACTCCGTACAGACTGACTGACTGACTGACTGACTGACTGACGTCCACGTCTCCGGGCCGCCCCGACCTCGCCTTTGCCTCTGCTGGCCCGTCCATCCTCTCGCCAGCCACCAGCGAGGACCCCGGCGACTCCCAGAGGATCCCTCGCGGCCTGCCTGCCTGCCTGTCTCTGCCCGTCTGCGTCTCGCCCGCGTGGCAAGAAGGAATGTGCTGCGCGGCGGCTGCCCCTCCCTCCCCCTCGCTCCGTCGTCGTCGATCGCCGGCGAGCCTGCCCGTCGCTGTCGCTGTGAAACCGCCGGGGCGATCGCCCGCCACGCGCTGGTCTTATTAGACCCTTCAGCTCCCCCTGATGTTCTTTTTTTGCGTCTGTTCTGTTTCTTCTGGCTGCAGATCCGGCCTGACTTGACCTGAGCTGACGACTGCAGCATCAAAACACACTTATATCTCCCGCCTTTCTATCCTCCTTGACCCGATGGCCACGCCCGCGCCCGCCGAGCCCATCGCCAAAGGCACGCTGGCGTCCGCGCGCCAGTCGCTGGGCGACTTGTTCCGCTGGCCGATGCGCGTCGAGGTCACCAACGCGGCCGGCGAGACACACACGGAGTGGCAGCAGCCGCCACCGCTGCAGAACCCCGTGCGGCTGCTGCGGCAGCTGTCGGCGCGCGACTGGCTGTATTTCCTGGTCGGCCTGTTCTCGTGGCTGGCCGACGCCTTCGACTTCCACGCGCTGTCCATCCAGACCGTCAAGCTGTCGCGCTACTACCGCCGCTCCAAGACCGCCATCACCACCGCCATCACGCTGACGCTGCTGCTGCGCTCCGTCGGCGCCGCCGTCTTCGGCATGGCCGGCGACCGCTGGGGCCGCAAGTGGCCCATGGTCTTCAACATGGTCGTGCTGGGCCTGCTGCAGATCGCCACCATCTACAGCGCCACCTTCGCCCAGTTCCTGGCCGTGCGCAGCCTGTTCGGCCTCTTCATGGGCGGCGTGTACGGCAACGCCATCGCCATGGCCCTTGAGAACTGCCCCGTGCAGGCCCGCGGCTTCATGTCCGGCATCCTGCAGCAGGGCTACTCCATGGGCTACATCTTCGCCGCCTGCACCAACCTGGCCGTCGGCGGCAGCGTCGACTCGTGGAAGATCGTCTTCTGGGTCGGCGCCGCCCTGTCCATCCTCGCCGGCGTCATCCGTGTCTTCCTGCCCGAGTCGCAGCAGTTCCTGGCCGCGAAGCGCGCCGGCAAGAAATCCGTCACCGCCGCCGCCTTCTGGGCCGACACCCGCCGCATGATGCGCGACGAGTGGCGCGTCGTCGTCTACTGCATCATCCTCATGACCTGGTTCAACTACTACAGCCACGCCTCGCAGGACAGCTACACCACCTTCATGCTGACCGAGAAGGGCCTCGACAACGCCGCCGCCAGCCGCGCCAGCATCCTCATGAAGACCGGCGCCAGCGTCGGCGGCGCCATCGTCGGCTACGTGTCGCAGTGGTTCGGCCGCCGCCGCGCCATCGTGGTGTCGGCGCTCATGAGCGCGCTGCTGATCCCCGCGTGGATCCTGCCGCAGGGCGAGCGCGCGCTGTCGGCCTCGGGCTTCATGCTGCAGTTCTGGGTGCAGGGCGCCTGGGGCATCGTGCCCATCCACCTCAACGAGCTGTCGCCGCCGGCCTTCCGCTCCAGCTTCCCCGGCATCACCTACCAGATCGGCAACATGATCTCGTCGCCGTCCGCCCAGATCGTCAACGCCGTTGCTGAGTCCATCTCCATCACCGGCGCCAAGGGCAAGCCCGCGCCCGCCTACGGCCCGACCATGGGCGTCGCCACCGCCATCATCGCCCTGGCCATCGTCGTCACCACCGCCGTCGGGCCCGAGAAGCGCGGCCGCCAGTTCGAGCTGGCCGCCGTGGCGGGTGCCAGCCAGACGCCGCCGCTGCAGAAGGACAGCGCGTCGCTGGCGGAGGAGAAGGAGGAGGAAAGCCGGCTCGAGGGTGCAGGGAAGGTGGAGAAGGTGTGAGAGTCGGTCATGTCCCCCCGTCTGATAGGCGGGTTATCTGTGTGTGTGTGTGTGTGTGTGTGTGTGTGTGTGTGTGTGTGTGTGTGTGTGTGTGTGTGTGTGTGTGTGTGTGTGTGTGTGTGTGTGTGTACATAGCTATCTCTGCCTAGTAGTAGTCGCAACCGGGCTACTACTAGGGTAGATAGATAGTACGATCTTTATATTTTCTTTTCAAAATCCTTCGTGCAGCAGCACCCGCAGGAAATCCAAACAATCATTGATAGAGAGTAAGTCACCGCTTCCAGACGAACATCGGTCGTCGTCGTCGTCGTTGAAAACCTAACAACCCGCCGAGCCTTCGCCGAGCCGAGCAAGCCCGCTAAGCCGCCGCCTCCCCCGGCTTGGACTAACTACCGCGGGATTTTTCCCTTGCATCCTCTTCGATCCTCTGGCGCACTCTCTTCCCCTTCCCCCAAGGCGGCACGGAGTGGATTGTCGCTGGGGGCCTTGGTGGTGTGGTGCTTAAATACACTAACTACAGGGGTTCCTACGGGGATGTGGGAAGAAATGCTGGAGCCGCTTATGGGTGGGGGATTTTTGAAGAATGCGAGAAGAAGAAAAGGAAGAAGAAGAAGAAGGCTATCTACAGTGCCCGAGAAAGATTTGAGATACCCTTGGAAGAAACTGGGAGATGGCGCTTTTGCTTTTCATACCGACATGGACATGATCAAGGGGCGCCAGGGGAAGTCATCAACAGATAATAAAAAGGGGAACAGACAGACAGGCGCTCGCGCTTCTTCTTTTGTTGGGATTCGCAGAAAGGTGTTTCTTTTTTTTCGACTCAGCTTCAGTCGGAGTCGGACCCGTCCCAGGCCTGCTCGTACTCCTCCTGCTCGGCGCGACGGCGCGCCTGCAGCTCGTCGTAGTCGTCAATGGCCAGCTGGTTGCCGCCGCCGTAGCTGGGATAGCTGTTGCCCGCGTCGGTGTAGATGACCTCGTGCGTCGACGATTTCTTGCCGCCTAAGACACGACGCGCGCGCGCGCGTTTCGTTAGCCAGCCAGTCTCATACTAGCACCACAAGACGAGAGATATATCACAACTCACCTCCAGACAGCAACGCGCCCGCCAGACCCCCGCCCAGCGCACCAACCGCCAGCCCGCCCATCCCCGCCGCCACCACCGCGCCCTTACCCATGCCTTCCTTCTTCTTATCCTTATCGCCCTTATCCCCTTTATCCCCTTTCTCTCCCTTCTCGCCCTTCTCCTTCTTATCGCCCTCCGCGCCCGCCGGCGCCGCTCCCGCTGCACCACCGGGATACCCGCCCGCCGCCATGCCGCCCGCCATACCTCCGGCCGCCATGCCCGCTGCGCCCGCTGCGTACGGCGCCATTCCATACCCACCGCCCGGCTGCTGTTGGCTGTATGGTGGCGCTGGCTGTCCGTACCCGCCACCGGGCGCGCCGCGGTCGCCCTGGACCTGCTCGACGTACCAGCGCCGCACGTTTGAGTCCCAGAAGGCCGTCCAGCCGGCGGGCATGGGCGGGGCGGGGCCCGGTGGACCGCCGCCGCCGGAAGCCATGGGCGCTTGTTGCTGCTGCGGCTGGCCGTAGCCCGGCGAGGGCCCGCCCATGGCGCGCTGCGCGTCACCGGGGGAGGGCATGGGTTGTTGTTGCTGTTGCTGTTGTTGAGGCATCTGCGGAGCGGGCGAGGACATCATGGGTGGTGGCGGGGCCGGGGACGGCGCGGGCATGGCGGGCGGCTCCCACTGCGAGCGGCCGGTGGACTGGTCGATGTAGTAGGGTCGCTGGTGCTCGGGGCTCCATTGCGAGGTCCAGCCGGGTGGCAGCGGAGGCGCGCCGCCGAGAGCGCCGCCCTGGGGCTGCGGGGGACCGTGTTGGTAGTAGGACATGGGAGGAGGGAGTGAGAGAGGGAGTGAGGGTGAAGAGTGGGAGTGTGTGGGAGCTTGATAAAGAGAGAGAGAGAGAGAGAAGGGCCGTGGGAGCGGGCAGCAGCGCAGTCGGTATTTATTATTATTATCAGCTGGGCCCCCTAACGACCACAATCACAATCCTCCGCCACGGGCTGCGTTGGGCCGCGGGGCGTCGTCGCGCGCTGAGCCACGCACGCCGGCCCCCCGACCCTGCGACGTGACGACGCCTCAAGCAAGTCGAACCGACCCTGTGCCCGCTGCTGCTGCGACTGGCGACTGCAACGTGGGCGCGCACTGCTGCTGTGGTTGTTATTATTCGCCGACTAACTATTCCCTCGCTAACACCGAGCACCCACTGCTGCTCTCCGTAGTATACGGAGTACCTGCGCAGTGCGGAATGGTCGCTGCTAAAAATGCGCTCAGCCCGCCTGAGGATCCGACATGACGACGACCAGAGAAGGCTTATCTCGCGCGGTCGTTTGGGCGGAGCTTGCTTGCTCCGCTTAGGCTTTCTTTGCACAGCGGCTCCCCTCCTGGCGCCACACCACACGTCCCCCTCCGCAGGGCTGCCCGTCAGGGGAGAGAGTGGGCCTTGGTGTTGCCAGCTTGCTCGAAGGACGCGCCGCCTCTTCTTTTCGTTTTTCGCTTTTCTCCTTTTTCTCCTTTTTCTATTTTTTTTTTTTCCTTTCTTTTTCATCTCGTGCTTATATGTGCTTGTGTTATGGTTCGACAGTGTCGATGATGCCCTGTGTCTGTCAGTGACGACCGACCCCCTGTGCGTGCTCTGGTATACGTCCTGTCGCTTGGGTGTTTGAAGCGTCGCCTTGAGACGCCCATGATACACACCTCTCGGTGCTGGTCTGGAGGCCTGCGCTTCACAGATGAGAACAAAAAATAATAACAATAATGCCTCTGTCAGACGACATTGCAACGCATGCGGATGCAGCGCCCCCCCCTGATCGCTCGCCCACCTGCCCCGCCGTGCTGGTTGTCGTCGGGCGGCCATACCGCGGTGGACATGTATCGGGCAGGTCAGTCTCAACGAACCATCTCCCTGATAATTGTTATCATTATTATTATTGTTATTAGCATGCCTGGCGGGTTTCAACTGCGATTGTTTTAGCTAGCGTTTCACCAGGACCTTGTGTGTCCCGAGCCCAAGCCGGCCAGACGCAATCGACCAAGCATCCGTTATATTTTTTTCGTTCTGGAATCCTCGACTCTCGAGACCCTTTTCGTCTACGGGTCTGGATCCAAAACAAAAATGCCGATCGTCGCCATTTGCGCTCTGAGACCATGCCGGGAGCTTGTCGAAATCACTACTCCTGTATTTGCAGGTTGCAGCTGGGGGGGGCATAACATGAATGGGATCGAATTGCGTAATGCACGCACCAGTCAGGACTCCGTGAAGAAATCACACGGACATGTGTTCTGCGTGCGTGTTACAGCACGCAAAAGACCATTTTGCCTGTGGAGTGTGTGGGATGTTTTGGTTGAAAACACCCATTTCGTCCATGGTACTCCGTCCAATGTGTGTGTAAGTCATGAATAAGAAGTTTGTTCCTGTTCGGAATGCCGACTATCCTGCCGGGCTTAGTTTTTCTTGTCGGGATTGTGTCGGCGTATCTCCATACATAGTCAAGAAAAGCAAACTTCCAGATGGAGAGAGGAGTTGTGAAAGAGAAAAAAAAAACAAAAACTCTGTTATTTTTCAAAAATGACGCAAACAAGAAAACAATACTTAAAATTTCTGTTCTGTCGGTTTTGGCTTCTGTAACGGTCAAATTTCTTGAGGAAACTGGGTAGCTTTTCTGGCATTCAATCCTGTCGGGACCAGGGAAGCCGATGCTTGGTACACCCCAAATCTCCCAGAAATCCTCTTCAGGAGGCAAAACACGCCGAAAAAGAAGCTCGAAATAATAACAATAAGCTTCTTCAGGCTCGCGAGGAAACGTACCTAATAATGTATCCCGGCGCTGAGCAAGAAGTTTTTGCCCCATCGCGTGTGATCACAACTAGTGCACATATGCTGTAGTAGCTGTAGTTTCGAGGACCCCTAGATAGCCCTCCCGGCCCGAATCATGTCGTCGGCGGCGGCAGCGGTGGGTAAACTAAGTAGCCCAGAGTTCATAAGACGATGCTCCGTACCGAGTAACTATACCGCGTTCATAAGCCACGCACAAAAACGCACTTCCCCCCACCCACCTCCCCTCCGTCCCTTTCGGCACCCGGCTCCATTAATATTATTATTATTTGGGTGACGACACGACAACAACGACGACCACGACAGCGGCGGCGGCGGGGAAGCACGAAAAAGGCCTGGGCGCAGGCGCACGCGCACGCGGCCCCGTCGTTTGCTGTTCGTCGGTTTTATGTGTGTGCCCCGATTTTTTAGGCATCAGCATTTTTCCCTGGGCCTTGTCGTGTGACGGGCGCAGCAAGTAGTTACTAGTTAGTAGTAGTAAGCAGGCAGCTTCTTCTTCTTTTTTTTTTTTCTTCTTCTCCGCAGCTGGGCGCAGCTCGCGGTACCCCGTCAGCGTCAGCTTCAGCTTCAGCGTCAGCGCTGGGGCTAGATATGTATTATTGTCCGAATCCGACCTGCTTCGCGAGCCTGTCATGTCATGCGGTTTTTTTTGGTGGAGTGACGTCTTGGGGCGGTGGTGCCGGTCCTTACCTACGGAGTACTGCGTCCTCCTTCCATGCTCCGTCGGGAGGTACGGGGCGTGGTGCTTGGGCGTTCCGTCGCAGGTGGCCATCCATGGCGAAGGATGCCGTGAAAGGATCGGGACCTCATTTCGATGGAGAAATGCGCAGTGAAACGCAGATGCCTGGCCGGGCCGTGATTTCACATCTTCCCAGCATCCCAGCCACGCCCCCCCCGGGTTTGGTTGAGTCCGGCGCGCCATTACGCCCATGCTTGGCGCCGTGGTACGAGTACGGCGCGTACCGAAAATTACGCTCTTACGCGCGCCAAGCCGCTCTGCCGGTTCTTTTTGGGCCTGTCCCCTCGTCAGCCAATCAGCGTCCGCGTGATCGGCGCTAAGAGCCGTTGCGATAGCCACTCAGAGCGCAGCCGGTGGGGCCGATGCAGCTTTTTGGCCGCGTTCCGGGCCGCTGATTGGCCGGCGGTGACCCTGTACCACCTGGCCCCCTCCCCTCCCCGGTCGGCAAGCGAACGCATGGACATGTGCTCACTACGCAAGGGAGAGCTTTGAGCTTGCACAAGCTTGGGCACCCGTTGCGCTGTCATGGCACAAGGTGACAAAAAAATTACCAACAAAATACAAAAAAACCTCAACTGTTCGCGCGTCCCGCTCTGTCTCCTTTGAGGACGGCACAGCGCGCGGACACAGCCTGCGCCCAGCATGGACAAGAAAAAAAACGCCGTCAGACGGTCCGCCGTGCCAGCCGATCATGCACTGGATGTGCAGGCTTGGACGAGATCCGCGACTTCCGCCGCATTGGCTGGCCTGGCCTGGTGTTTCGGTACCGGTACTCCTGTACTCCGTACCGTACGCCAATACCAGAACCCTCCCCGTAATCAAACACCGGGCCAATCAGCGGCGCGCGCGCCTGGCCTGCGATCGTCGATACGCGCCGTACGAGAGTTTCAGGCCTGGTAATTTTTAAATTACCACGCTTACCTTCCTCTCTCTGCTTCTTTTTCGCTTCAGAACACCCCTTCTTCCTCTTCTCTTCCCTTCTTCTTCTTCTCTCTCTTCTATTAATCTTCGCTTCTCTCCCTCCCTCCCTCTCGCTCTCGCCCTCTTCCCGCTCCCCTGCCCTCCTCCCCCCCCGCTCTCTCCTGTCGTCTCTCTTTCGCTCGCCCTCCCCCAATTCGGCCCCGTCACCTCTCCAATCTCCATTTCCGTCATCCTGGCTTGGCTGCACGTCACTGCGCTGTCCCGATCGCACACGGCGTGGCCTGCTCAAAAGGGTCCCTCCTCCCGCCGCCTCGCTGCCGCCTGGCCCTTTCCCACGCCCGCGACAGGCCACCCGCTTCCCCCCTAACCACCACGCTGCCCTCGACCTGTCGCATCTTGCCCCAACGTTTTCCCAATTCGGCGATCTGTTGACCTCATCTCCACCCACACACGCCCACACACACACTCAAAAAAAAAAAACACACAAACACCCGCAACGGCGTCGTTCACCGGGTAACGCCAGGTCGTCAACATGGCTGGTGTGCTGAATGCCTCGCTGCCGTCATGGAAGGACAATTCGCAAAAGTACCTGGGCAAGGTCACCATCATGTTTCCTTGGCGGTCGCTGCAGCTGCTCTTCCCGCATCGCATCCGCCGGAAGATTCGCTCCAAGCTGCGCAGTCGCCTGGCGCCGTCGTCCTCCATCACCTCGCTGAAAACCTCCTTCTCGCCCCTGGACACGCTGAAGGCGCTACAGTCGCATCGCTGGACCGTTTATGATGGACAGTATCTCGTGCTGGTATTTCTGGGCATCTTCTCATTAGCGATCATCGAAACTCCTGGTCCTCTTGTAAAAACATTAGTGTCTCTGGCTATAATTATTGGTCTCATTCTTCCCGTGACGTGCCAGTTTCTGCTTCCGGCCCTGCCCATTTTTGCGTGGCTGATCCCGTGGTATGGAATGCAGTAAGTGGCCTGTTTCACGCCCTAGAGGTTCCGCCGAGCACAGCGTTGTTCAGAGGACCGTGCAAGCTGTGCACATGTAAGGCTAATTATGTCGTCTTCAGATTCATCCCTAGCAGCTGGAGACCGCCTATCTGGGTCCGCGTGCTCCCCGCGCTTGAAAACATCTTCTACGGTGCAAATCTCAGCAACATCCTGTCCACGCATAAACATGTTGTTCTGGATATTCTGGCATGGCTACCGTACGGAATCATGCACTTCGGGGCACCTGCAGTATGCTCTTTGATCTGCTTCATCTTCGGCCCTCCCGGACTGACCCCGATCTTCGCCCGAAGCTTTGGATACATGAATGTCATCGGCTCTCTGATTCAATTCCTCTTCCCATGCTCCCCTCCCTGGTATGGGAATATGTATGGCTTGGCTCCCGCGCACTACGGCATGCCTGGATCTCCTGCCGGCCTCGCACGCATTGACGAGCTTCTCGGTTTCGATATGTACACGTCTGGCTTCACGGCCTCGCCCGTCCCCTTTGGTGCCTTCCCGTCCCTCCATGCTGCGAACGCGACCATTGAAGCGCTCTTTATGAGCCTCTTGTTCCCCAAGTTCCGCGCTGCATTCATTGCGTACACTCTCTGGATTTGGTGGGCCACCATGTACCTGTCCCACCACTATGCGGTCGATTTGGTTGGCGGAAGTCTGTTGGCAGCTCTCACGTTTTATTACGCCAAATCAAGGTTTATCCCACGCGTTCAACATGATAAACCTCTTAGGTGGGACTACGATTATGTCGAGTTTGGCGATTGCCTCGACTCCTACAACTACGACTTGGCTACTCTCCGTGGGGACTTCCAATCGGACAGCGACGAATGGACCGTCGGGTCTTCCTCTTCGATTTCTTCTGGCTCTCTGAGTCCAGTTGATGAATCTCAGTCGATCTGGGACGGCGATGCTCTTAGCCCCAATGCCGATCTTGAGGCTGGTCGATGACATATCTTGACTACATCCACTCAAGTCACCCATTCACGACTTACCAATTGACACGATCCATGAAGCGCTATGTTATTCTTCTTTTTCTTTTGGCTTAGCGCAAGCCTATGACTCTTTAGCGATAAAAATATTTAATTACCCTTTTTTTCTTTCTTTCTTTTGGCTACCTCTTCTTCTCGCGGCCGAACCTCACGACTGCAGCCTGGTTTCGGCGCTGTCGTTTGGATACCACTCATAGCGACCTGTTTTTTCTGGATTTTCAATCTCCTTGATAATTTACGACGAATAAGTTCTCTGGGAATCGAAAGGATACGCAACAGCTATAATTTTTAATGCAGCATCTTCGACCTCCGATAATGGCAACATGTTGGCTGTCGTGGTGTCATCTGCCCTGTTTCTCCATTTGCGACTGACAGTCTCACCTACCGCAGTATCTATTTCCATCTATTTCGTTATACATACCGTCGGTTTTCGCTGGTATACATTTTTAATGCACGAAATATTTCACCTGTCGACACTAGTTTTACTGGTTCAATGGCGTATATCCCTCGGCGCATTTCCACGAGGAAAGCGGACTACTGGAATCCCTTTTTTTATTTTTCAACATTACATTCGCTGTGCTCATGGCCAAAATTTGGCTTGGGGAGTTTGGTACATGGGATGGAATTGCATTGATAGCGTTCGTTTCGGATCATGGACATGAGCACCCATAGATATGTGTGACACGGGGATCGTCACATCTTCCATTCGCTTCAAAACCACATTCGCTTCAAAAAAAAAAGTTGTTTATTTTTTTGCTGCACTTGCCAAAGCTGCTACTGCATGTTCAAGATGAAGCACGGTATTGGTGTGTTTGAGGGCCGCAAGTATACTACAGCCCTGCAGTGCACCAATGCCGCCTTGTTTCACTTTCACTTCTCGTCTTGCTGCTGGTGAACTGTGTATTATTGCCATACTCCTTGGTCATCTGTGTTTTGCGGACCCACTACTCCTGCTCCAATACGTGGGGCTGGTGTAAGCGAATCACCGGAGAATGCGATAGCCGCCTGCCAAGAACATTATCTGCATATGGCATGACCGTTGCGAGAGGTGTGGTTTGCCAACACAGTTCCCTGGCAGTATGGATTTGTCTTCTTCTTTTTATTGTGCTATTGGCTGCTAATATCTTAACTGCCATTAATAGCTAATTGGTAATACTGGCTGTTGTCGCCTTAATTATGTGTGGATAGTGGTTTTTTCTTTTTTGTATTTTTGCTGTATTTTTTTTGTTCTTTGCCCTCTCTCCCGCTTCCCACTCTGTCTTGTATCACCTGCTGTGTGGAAATCACCTTGTGACTGTGGTGGGCAAGTGAACAATATTTGTTCGTGTTAGAGATACCTTTATGTACACAACAATATTCCATAAATTATGATTCAATGAATGAATCTCATGCTCCCTCTCAAATATCTGCGAGTTCTTGTAGGACTGGGGCAATATAGGGGTTGTAGTGTCATGGTATCTGCTACAATTGCTATTATCCGCTCACTACTCTATAGCTATCTGATTTTTAGGGAAAAGAAAAAAAGTCCACAAAAAGAGCCATCCGCTGTAAGAATAACAATATAATACACACTATCCATAAATGCTTGTACTCTGATATCAGACACACATCCTCTGCACAAAACAGCACTCACTTCAAAACGACATAAAAAGGGTATATAGGTTCCCCGTGGCTCCCAGTCCTGCCCCAGCTGCGCCATCGCAATACCCAATTATCATTCCCATCTAGCAATAATTCTAACCTGTTATCTTGCTTATGAGTTAATTTTTTTATGTTTTTGCGGTAATCCTCTAATCAATAACTCCACTCCTTTGCCCATAGCCTGGCTGCCCAGAATGCATGTACTCTAAGTATAGTCCAGATCCGCCTTCAATCATCGTATATCTTCACTCTATCCGAATACTCGCGGATCTTCGACACGAACCGCTCTTCAATACCGTCCCCCTTGCCGCCGGCCACGCGAAGAATTAGTTCGTTCAGCGACGACCGGCCTAGGATGTCGACATGGTCGCCTTGCGCATAGCCCGTGTTAGTGTCAAGATGCAGTAGAGAAGGGAGAGAGCTTGATGAAAAAAAAAAAAAAAAGAAACAAACATACCAGTATTCGGCCCGCCACGCGGCGAAAACCGCTCGGGCTCATGTGGCATCTCGTACACCTTCACCTTCACGCCAGCGGGGTTGAAGCGCTTCATCGACCACCCCTTGGCACACATGTACCCCAGGCTCATCAGGTTCACGGTGCCGTCGCCCTCGCTCATGGCCACGCCGCGGTCGATGGCGTCGCCGCTGGTGGCGGACGTGTCGATGCTGACGTGCAGCTTGGTGAGCGGGTCGTTGTCGTCGCGGTAGAAGTAGCTGCGCTCCGTGGGCTTGCCGACGCCGTAGAAGCAGTAGATCTTGAGGTTGGGCGCGAGCGGCAGCCGCGCCTCGAGCGGGTTGAGCCACTTGCGCGGGTCGGCCTCGTTGGCTTCGACTTCGTTGCGCGTGTGCGCGACTCCGTGCGAGTAGCTCCGGTGCACTTGGTCGCGGAACCACGGCTCGGACTGGTTGAACAGGTATTTCAGGCTGGCGTCGACGGTGAGGTTGTGTTTGGTCCAGGACGAGTTGGATTCCCGGAAGGAGAGAAAGTTTCCGTAGGTGAAGTTCTGCCCGGGCAGGTCGTCAGGGGCCCAAGTACCGTTGCCCCAGACCGCGTCGCCGCCTTTGGGTAGCATGCTGGATATTCCTGGCATTGCGCGGAATATTTCTGCTCGTTCATCCCTGGAGAGGAATTTCTCTAGGCCGTATACCGCAAAGGCATTGAGCTGAGCTGTGTCTCTCATCTCCCCAGATAGAACGGCTGTCAGGCCCTTCGTTGCTCCAAGCATGCAGCCACTAATATTTATCCAGGAGTCAATGTGCTTGTCAACCCATTGCGGCCCTCCACCACCGTGATGTTCGTTTTCCACCCATTTGAAAAAGAACATGGCAACTGGTGAGCCCATGCTGTGCGAAGCCAGAACCACCTTTTTGCCTGACAGCCTGACAGCTGCTTCTATATGGCTCTTCAGCCGGGTGAAATAATGATCACGCGTTTCGAGATTAATATATGAAAGCCGCCAGTCGTAGGCGGCGGTGAACGCGTTGGTGGGATCATACCCAATCGTCGCAAGGTTCTCCAGGATTTTGTTCCAGATCCAGTATCCCGTTATGAAAAAATCCGTGGCATCGAACCCTTGCGCAGCGCGAAGCTTCACACCCGGCGGGTCTAGCCCCGTCTTCTTGTCCAGCATAATATGCTGCTTCCAGCCCGACTTGTCTAGCACCAAAGCTCTCATCATGGTCCAACTTCCCCATAGCCGTTTGCGGAAATACTGCCGAGACTTTTCGTCCGTGCCCCAACTTTCCAGCCCCGTTGATATTACCCCTGGAATCATGATGACCGGGTGCTGTGCGTGGAGGCCCTGGGCCTGAAGATTCAGGCCAACGGAAAACGCATCGGAGCTGATCGCGTCGCGTTCTTGCTTCTATGCCAGGAACAGAAGTCAGAAAGAATATCGCGTCTGAACGCAAGGGGGGAAAATTTGTAGAAATTCAAACCGTACCGAGAACTCACTCGCGTCTTTGAGTATACCTGCTGGTATAACATCAATCAACGAATCGAGATTTAAATCCATCAGCCCATCCAAACTAATAACCTCATTGTGATTCGCGAAAAACAGGGCAACGCATAACCCAAACAGGCCGCCCAGCCCGAATATAAGTCCGTTTCGTCGTTTACTCCTCCTTTTAGGAGCACATTCGTGTGGTTGCTGTTGCTGCTGGCTGCTCGCGATCAGCGAGGCCTCGAGGGTTTCATTTCTTCTTGCATCACTCTTCCTATTTTCCTTCTCATTAAGCGTCGTCGTTGCACCGTCGTAGGCATCATCAGGAGTGTCATGTGGCGGGGATTCCGCAGTACCAGCGCCGGTGGCGGGAGGACTCGAGGTTGAAGAGCTGGAGCTAAAGATCTCGCCGAATCGACGTCGAAGGGTAGCCATGGCGCGACGAGAGAAGACTAGGCTATATCATTTTCTTAAAGTACACAGAACGCGATTGCCACAAGGAGTGCGAAGATCTGAGGGTGGTGGTGGTGGTGGTCGTCGTCGCCGCCGTCGTGGTGTGGAATCCGCCGTGTGGCTGCGCATGCAACCGGCCGGCTGATCGCGACAGAAAGCACAACCTCGATTGCTGGGACGGAGCAAAAGGGAAGCTCACCTGCAGGGAGAAAGAGGCGCCGGAAGCGAAAAGCCTGGTCTAGGCGAAGCTGCAGCTGTTTTTCTCTGTTGTTTTCTGCGGGATTCGCGCTGGAGGGTGATGGCATTGCATCATGTCTCAGCATGCGATCGGCACCTTGCTGAGTTTCTTTGTTGCGGCCTCTGTTGAAGCGCGCTTGACAACTTGAACAAGCATACGGAGTACCAGGACCCGGTGGATTGTCGAGAAAGAAAGTAGTGTCATTATGATCTTTGTCTTGCAATTACTACGGGCTGCTAAATAAAAATGGATGTAATATGTGCCACCCCGAAATCTGCAGGATTGCGAATACGCAAAAAAAGTCGAGTGAAGACGTGAGATGAAACCAGAAGAACAACCCCATTCAATCCTCAAGCCCATGCCGATGACTGTGAAAAAAATATTGAATGGAAATGGCCAATGTATCGGCGAAACAAACACCAGCGACCACCAATCTTAAGCCCGCTAACGCCTGCTGAGGATTCCAGATCAACTCCTAAAGGGGAAAAGAGTGGTAAATGAGCCCGGATTTCGATTATGCTGCAAGACAATGAGCTGTGTCTTGAGACCTGAGTACAACCAGGTTTGTGGATAGGAAAAGCAAGTAAAACGCGATGCTTAAGCGACCCAAGCGACGTCTAGTAAACCACGCAAAGCAGCTCGGCCTCTAAGATGAACTTGCCCTCCTTGTACTTTTCGCTGGTTTCGTACGCCTTGTCGTACTTCCAGCCCACCGTCTCTTTGCACTGTCTGCAGATGATGTCTCGGACGACGTGCCGGCCGGTGGTCATACTCCGCTCCGCCGGCTCGGCCTGGTTGACATTAACAACGAGGTTAAAGAGATAGGCCTTGCCATGTTGACCGCGGAAATTCTAGAGCAATATTGATGTCAGCAGCTATTGCCTCTAGGACGACAACAATGAGCTCATCGCCTACCCGGCTTATAATGTCATGGTAGTCAGCAAGATGGGTTTTGCAATTCTTGCATCCGAATATTTTGTTGGAACTGATGTAGGTATTGTATGCGAGTCCCATTACGATGACGCCTCTCCTACCTTCCCAGAAAATAAGACAATAGCACCACGACCTAGATCGGCCAAAGTAAGAAAAATGAAGCGTCAGTCAGAACAGGCGATGGTCTGGTATTTAGTAAGAGCAGTACAGAGTAGTGAAAGGTGTGAGGTGTCGAGATGGGCCGCAAAGCTGTAAGGCCTTCTTCCGTAACACAGGAAGGGAAATAGACGCTCGAGTGATGTAATGGGGGGGGTGATGGTTCAGTAAGGCGGGGGAGAGGGTAAGGTTAAGGTGGGCGGTGCTCCCGCCGAACAAGTTCGAACACCCGTTCCCTGAAGATCCCCAAGCCGCACGGCAACGAGAAATAGTTCCAGGGTAACCACGTTGGTAGCTCGTTCACGCAGATACTGCGGTGGAAGGTCACAGCCGCAAATCACCGCTGGTCTGAGGGGCGGATGGATGTGGCAGGGCGGTGTAGCTCCGCTTCGCGTGTCTTATGGCCAGTGGCTTAGTTTCAGGGCGAGAAGATGGCCGCACAGAAACCGGGGCTGCCCTTGGAATCTTCGAAGGCAAAGCAAGGCAGAGAAATGACGTTGCTTGAGGAGGGTGCTTATCAGACCGGCGATAAGAAATTGATGACTGTCAACTCCCGAAGTTGGGGAGGGACCGATATACGTGTCCTTTCTCTTTGAGGAGACCGTAGCAAGCAAAGGAGCACAGGCTGGTGGTTTTCCAGGCAACGACAAAAGCAATCGAGCAAGACTGAGCTGAGTGGTGGGCGAGAGCAGCAGCAAAGCGGGCTCGGGGGGCCTTTAAAGCCTGCCGGAGAATCACCAGCCGGCATTGCCACGGGACCTCCCAGAGCGAGTTAGCTCGGCCGGCCTCGGATCAATATTGTCCCGGTTACGGCCCACGAAGGTGCCCGAATCGCTGCACCGACAACTAATCCGCGATTCGTCCTTGACGTGGCCAGCCTAACTGCCTTTTTGGCTTCTATGCCTTGTTATGGGCCAGAATGTCCTCAGCAGTAGGTCAGTTCCACCCGGGGCTCGAAGTCGCAGGTCCTCCGTACTTGTCAATCACTGGAGCCTCGTATCCGTCTCGTCAGGCTTTCCAATCCATCACTGCACAGTTTACAGCTCTCATGGGCTAATATGGCAATGTTGCTGTGGGGTTTAAGAATACTTTTTTCTTAACTGGCCAGCTACATTCAACAGATATCCCCCGAATGTTAGGCCGCACAGTGCAACACCTCCTTTATCATTGCAATTTAGGCCTTCTTGGCAGAACATGGTACATTGATATTGGCAGGAACACGTATGCCTATTATCAACAAGCACCAACAAACAATTTTGGCCACAGCTCGTGGGAAGCTGTAGAATTGCACTTGTTGCGCAAACACCAGTTAAGACTGGTTGTATTCTGATAAAAAAGGTATACGAGAGCCAAAGCAACATCTTACAACGAAAACCATTCCGGAATGTGGCTGAGGAATGTAGTGGATTGCAAATCTAAGAAAGAAGTTGAGATGGTTTTGTTCATTTCTTAAGTGAAGAAATGTGGCTCATCAGACAGCTACCCTCTAGTACCTGGAAGCTGTACTAAAGATGGTATTGGCTCTTTATTTCAGGAGAAGTGTTGGTATCAAAAGCGTATAAGCATATGTCTTCTTTCCCAAACCAGGTTCTACAAGAGGCCGGCCTGGAATTATTTAGTTCAATCTATAATAATAACAACGAAGATTTGGCCTTCCCGCGTCTCTTTCAAATCCCTGCTAGGGTACTCTTGTTACCATCTCGCTGGCTCACAAACTTTTCGGAAATTGTTCCTTGTCCTTGTCTATGGATGGGGTTTTTGTGTCGCCTCATCTCACTTCTGCTGGAGGAAGTGAGCCAATTAGACAGTTGTATTCTCCGAAGTCGGGTTTAAAAAAGACTCCAGGCTGTCGGCTTGTTCTCAGGGCCCTTGTGGAAATGTTTTTTCTTCTCTTATATGCACAGTACATAGTTCGTAGACCCTCTGTGTTTCCTAATTAATTATTGTTGCCTTGCGAACCTATGACCGAAGCTGTGAGGTGCAATTAAGATCCCCTAAATAGTGATACTGCAGGCCCGATATATTTACCAAATATCGATTCCGTCCTTAGTAAGCCTTACATCACCGGAGCGCGGAATTGGGCGTTGGGCCATGGATGTCACGTTGCGGTGGCTGGCGCGTGCCTCCTGATCACCTTATCGGGCTGGCCAGTGCTGAGATTCGACACAACAACTGAAGGATCGTCAACGCTGCTAGCATGCAGACTCCGCAGTTTCACATGTACCCTTCCCCACAAACTCCGCCTTCGCGAATGCGTCTCCGGGCTTTTGTTTTGCTTCCGGATAAGGAGTTGTCGCGCCGTCATTGGACGGCTGGCACTATCGCCCTTTCAGAGCCTGCATTATCCGCATCCCGAACCTAAGGATAACCAATCAGCCACCAGCCGAACTACGAGACTTTAAATTCTTTTAAATTTTTCTCAAGACCCTTTCAATATGATAAGGCGCCAATGCTGGTTAAGGGACCCAACGTGAAAGCCTAGCACTATCCAACGTGGAGGGGAGGGATCAAACCTGGGGAGAAGGACGGCAGATAATCTTGTTTGAGCAAGCAGCAAAAGACATGCGTAATATGATAATGATGCCCAGGCGCTACTCCTTCTTGGAGGCTGAAAAACGGGAATCACTTGAGGCGGGCATGAAAGAATAGCTGGTTATCATCAAGGAAAACAGTATGCTATATGCAATAATTACGGGTTTCTAAGATTTGCCTATATTGCGCCAACCTATGGAGACCTCTTTTCCGTGCTCCGTTATCTCAATACTAAATATAAGCGTCTTGTGGGTGGACCGCTTTCCCAACCACGAGTTCACGACTCCACGAGGGTTCCGATGATCCTCCAGAAGACTTCACGCCAAGCTTGCAGTTCTTGGCCCGGCCGAAAGCCCTTTATATGAAGGCCAGCCTCCCTGTGGCGGCCTCTTTGCGATGTTCGGGAATGCTCAGCTGTCCTTGGGGGCAGGCTAATCTTATCCAAAATGAGAAATCATATGGCCGCCGGGTGGTTTTATTCCCCCAGTCAAATCAAACGCTACTTTGCAACGCGCGTGTCAAGTCTTAAGCCGCCCAAGGTAGGAATTGAGCTCCAGCGTATAGGTTCTTCTTGCTGACCGTCATAGGATGCTAAACTAGTCAACCCATGGACTATTATTCGAAAAGTGAACAGACATCAATGGCTTATGTTTTCTGTTGGTTACCTTGGATGGGTCTGGGATGCCTTCGACTTCTTCACGGTTATCATTTGCCTTACTGAAATTGCTGCCGACTTCGGCGTTGCCAACTCAGAGGTCTCATGGGTATGCCTTTTATATTTCCCCCCCTCTTCTTCGGTCACAATTGTGCTGACGGCTTGCCTGTTCAAGGGAATTACAGTCACTCTTATGCTACGATCCGTGGGTGCGCTCATCTTTGGTATCCTTTCTGATCGATATGGAAGAAAATGGCCCATGATTATCAATCTTGGGTTTTTTGTGGTTCTTGAACTTGGATCGGCGTTTTGCACGAGCTTAACTCCATTCCTGGCCGTTCGAGCACTGTATGGAATAGCCATGGGAGGTGCGTATATCGTGAAGGTCTTCCGAGAAGCTACGAGTTGCTTACACGACATGTTTAGGACTGTTCGGACCTGCGGCTGCGACTGCACTGGAGGATTTGCCATACGACGTTCGTGGGGTACTCGCAGGTCTATTTCAAATGGGTTACGACCTCGGCTTTCTTCTCGCCGTCATATTCTATCGCGCTCTGGTGCCTACCACAAAACATGGCTGGCGAAGTTTGTTCTGGTTTGGGTCGGTTCCGCCGATATTTATCATCATTTTCCGCTTGTGTTTGCCGGAAACTCACCATTTCCAAGCCATGAAAGCGGAGCGTGAAGCGCGCCTTAAATTGAAAAATTCAGAGGCCGCCGAGCAGAAAAAGACCTCCAGTCTACGTGCTTTCTTAAACGACGCTGGAAAGGCTCTCAGACAGAATTGGGTGATGTTTATCTACCTCGTTGTCCTTATGACCGCTTTCAACTCGTGTGCGCATGGAAGCCAGGATTTCTATCCTACATTCCTCAAGGATCAAGTTGGCCTCGCCCCAACCGAAATCACGGTCATTACAGTTCTTGGCCCTATCGCGGCCATTCTGTCCGGTCCTACTATTGGATACCTGAGCACTATATTTGGCCGTCGGCTCAGTATGATGGTTTGCTGTATCTTCGGCGGAGCCATCATTCCTGCGTATATCCTGCCTCGCAATCCAAACCATCTTACAGCAGGCGTGTTTTTCGAGCAATTCTTTGTTGGTGGTGTATGGGCTCCCGTCCCAATTCATTTATCAGAACTTTCGCCACCAGCTCTTCGCGGTCTTCTTGTTGGTCTGACCTATCAGCTGGGTAACCTTGCAAGTGCTGCATCGGCAACTATCCAGGCAACCATTGGCGAAACCAAATATCGGCTTCCTGACGCCCCAAATGGTGCCAAACGATTTGATTATGGGAAAGTTATGGGTATATTCTTGGGTGCCACGTTTGCATTCCTCTTTTTAATACTATTCTTGGGACCGGAAATGTCGCAGGAAGAAAGAGAGACAGAAGATGCAGCGGCAAAGGAGTTGGATAGATTGCAGAGAGAGGGCAAGTCTTTGGCTGAGATTGGACAAGACAGAGCAAAGTTGGAGCATAAGATGATGCAAAGCGAAATGGAAGAGGAACAGAAATTACCGGAGGAAAAGGCAGAGGTGCAGACTTTGGAGGCAAAGTAACTTTCTGGGTTTTAATTTCTGTGTAATCTTTTGGGGGATTTCAAGATGAACAAAGGGTACATATCTCAAAATGGATGAGTGACTCACTACTCCGTACAAAGTACAGTATTGGATGCTTAAGCACCATTCAGAAAACACACACACCATTCATCGGTAGATAGTCCAATCATTTCTCGATTTTCTTTCTCTACAAAACTACCGGAAAACCATTCAAGGAACTATTACCAAATGAGTGTTTTCCTCAATCACTTCCAGCTAATAATAATTTCAAAGGAGACTCTCAGCAGGTCACTACCAATATGCTCCTTTTGATCTAATAAAGGTATGCACAGTGCTGTAACCTAGTTACCATGAATGATAGTCTTCAATTTATAATGCTATCAAATCCCAATGCTAGGGAGCCATGCTTCAACAGCACAGCTAGTAAGCATAGTCGACAACTGTTGGTATGTGCTAGTCCAACTTCAAATACTCCTTTATTCGAGCAGGGAAAATTATCATGAGGAAAATCAATACAATGCTGAGTGTGCCGTGACAGTCAATTGAAAGTGATTCAATGAGATTCAAGATAATTCGACAAGTAAAGGATAAACAAATTCCTTTCGTCAACAAAAGTACTCGGATTGGGGGTCTTATAGCAATATTTTTGTTATCGGCTGAAAACGAAGGGAAGACGAAGTCTATTTCTTTGAATTGTTTACTTACGTGTACATTCACAAATCACCAAAGATCAATGATTTGAATATCTGACCGAATTTTTGGAGCAGTTTCACTTCAAAGCAACAGGATTGTCTCTATCAGAGGCCAGGTTGCAAAAACACCTAGTTGTTCTCTCACGTACCACCGATGGACAACACCAAAGGCAAAGAAAATGATATCTGGCAACAAGTCGCAGGAAATGAGTTTCAACCCAACCTCAGCGTTGATCAAGATTCACCGAGTGGGCCTCCCAAAAGTGTCTGCAATCGGAATGGCCCCAGTGTTCCGTCCACCATTCTTCGAAAATATCATCCACCGTCTCATCGACCTTTGAAATTCTCTCATCACGTCGTAGGCCGCAAAGCGCACATGCATGGCTGGCATTTATCCCTCCTTCTTGGGCGCTAGCAGTTTTCACTTGCCAGTCCCTAGAGGTCAGTTGAATTGACTGTTTCCCTCCTGCAACAAGGACGGAATTCAGCAGGCCGCCGCGTTTATTCCAAATATCGAGCACCTCGACTGCTTCCTTTTCTTCTCTCATATTCTCACTCTTATTAACACTGCTAAGTTTCATTCCACCAGATCTCCCAGATGCTGGTCCAATTTTGGTACTCTGGCTTAATATTGAATCTCGTTTCCAGCGTAGACTGCGTCCCAATATTATGTAGATCATAACTTTCGCACTATTTTTAATGTCCTCGACTAATGTAGAGTCTGGTAGGGATCCGGACATTTCTTTAGTCCGTAATTTAGAGGTTGAAACCTTGTTACATAGTTTCTCTAATAAAGAAGGGAATAGTCGAAGAAGGATTGAAGGGGGAGGAATATTCGTGGGTCTTACTACTTTCTGAGAGCTGATGGTTATGGGTGATGGGGCTTTCATGTCCATGGATATTTGGTTTGGCTGTGATAAGGTCATTGGGCCGACAAGTGGCATTGTCTGTTTCGGACCATTCTCACTAGCAACTCCATCAGTGAATTCTCCCCAATCATCCTCGTCTGAATGAGGCCATGCCGTGACTGGTTCAGAATCATCTTGTGGCGTTGTATCTGAGGGTATATTTTCAACATTGCAACTCAATAGTGGCAGCTTCGGAACGGGTGTTTTTGGTGGAGGTTCTGTGTCATCGATAGATAGAAGATCTAGAGACGGTGCAGTTGGCTTGGACAAATGGGTTCCAAGTTTCGGTGTGGATTTCATATGCACATTGCTTTTTGCCGTATCCGTTGCACCAGGCTGTGAGAGCCCGCCTTGCGCTGGGCGAGGCTCCGCAGACTCGAAGTCACCCCAGTCATCTTCGCTTGCTTCACTTAGGGCACTGTCGATCGATGCATCAAACAAAACCTCAGTATCCCCTGAGGTGTGCGTTTGTGGCTGCTGGATATGGCCCGGTATGGAGAAGGACGGTTCTGGCTGTATATCGAATGTGAAGTCGATCAGTGTAGATTGGCCACTCGCGGTAGAGTGCCGTGGTGCCGTGTAGCTCGTCGAAGTTGAAGATTTCGTCACCGCAGTATTATCAATGGCATTTGGGTTGCCAAATTCTGCAAAGAGATCTGCAGACATGCTGAAATATTGCTGTTCCAGTCGAGGAATGCACAATGAAGCTGAGGGGATAGCATCAACGCGTTTGAATCAGTGTTGTGCAAGGACATGCTCGAGGGTTTCACCTCCCCCAGACGTGTATCTGCGATCTAGAGCGGGGTTGCATGTCTTCAGCTCTCCGTCCAAACAGAGTCCAGCTGAACAGGCAACTCACATCCATTTTGTTTGCGATTTAAGGGCTGTGAGGGGCCAAGAAACTGATTGCTAGTGGCCGCGCTAGTTAACAACAATGCGTCACCGGCACATCAGGGATCGCACACTCAGCTTGTATTCTAAAGAGCTCTTATTCCCGGTATTAAAGAGCAAAGATAATTGCTTCAAATATTGGCAAATGCTACGCTGACACCGCCTGTGATGCCATGAAAACTGTGGGGGAATCGCGGTCAGCATACTCTCGTGAAAGCTACCCAACACCCAAGGCCACCAGAACTGATATGAACATTGTGTCTTAGCCAGCGATGGGACGCTCTCTTCAAATACAACAAGCTCAATTCACTAGAAGAATTGAAACAAGAGCTAAGGTCCAAGATCCACGGGAATCCTTGTGAAGATGGCCTGCGATCAATCTGTTGGAAAGTGAGTCCATCACCAGACACCTGTTACTACCGTCGGGTATACCTCAACTGTTAACAGCGTGGACCAAGGCCTTCCTTCTTCACAAGAGCCTAGATCAGACTTCATGGCCAACTCAACTATCAGATACAAGAGCTGCATATACTTCATTGCGAGATCACTTTCTAAAGTATATCGAGCACCCAGACGATCTTCCCTCGACAGTGGATCCACTAGCTGAAGATGACAATGTATGTCATTGTTTGGTTGAAGAGAGATGCCGCTAACAATTCTGTAGTCGCCATGGCAGTCGCTTCGGCAAGATGAGAGTATTCGAACGGAAATATACCAAGACGTAGAGAGATGCCATCAGGAGAACTACTTCTTTCGGGAGCCAACAACAAAACAAAGATTGCTAGATATTTTGTTCATTTTTGTCAAATTAAATCCAGATCTTGGCTATCGTCAAGGCATGCACGAGCTGCTTGCTCCAATATTATGGGTGATCTGGCATGATGCGATTGAAAAGAGCTCCTTGCCCAAAAGTGACAGCAAGAATGACGATGCTATCTTACTTCAAACTCTAGATTCAGACTATATTGAGCACGACGCCTTTGCAATTTTCTGCGCCATCATGCAAACTGCAAAACTATTCTATGAACATGATGGCATGGGGTCCGCTTCCGGCACACGGGCTATATCATCCATCATATCTCGAAGCCAGCATATACAACAAGATATGCTAGGTGCCGTCGATCCAGAACTGGCATCTTACCTTGAGTCTATTGATATTTTACCGCAAATATACCTCACGTAGGCGTTGTATCCAGATGAGATGACCTTGATACTTACTGGACTTAGGCGCTGGCTGCGATTGTTTTTCGGGCGAGAATTTTCATTCGAAGATATGCTTTCCGTTTGGGATCTATTGTGTTCCGAAGCATTTAGACCCACATTCATTGAGCTGGTATGTGTGGCAATGTTACTACGAATCAGATGGCATTGTAAGTCGGAGAGCTGTTGTGGAAGTGGAGACGTCAGAGCTGATATCGTGACAGTATTGTCGAGTGATTATTCGTCCGCACTCGGCCTTCTTTTGAAATATCCTTCCCCAGACCCACACAGCCCAGAAAGCTTTGTGAAAGATGCGCTGTTCCTGGAGGAAAACATGACACTAGATGGCGGAGATCTCCTAATCCTGAAATACTCAGGCAAATCTCCAGAGAACAAGAGAAGGAACTCACTGCCCCGGATATTTCGCGCGACTTCTCAGAAAAGGAATTCTCCTTACAGGGACGCCAGTTCCCGTTCTAGTGACAAAAGTCCCTCAAGCAAATCGCCACTCAGCCTAGGCCATTTGGATTCATTATTTCAGGATATGTCTGATGGCATTTACCGACGAACGGAGGGTTGGAGTGTTACCAAAGCGGTACGAGGAGCAATGACTGAGGCTCGACGAAATATACACGTCATTCAATCTAGCCCTAGTACGCCTAGGTTATCAACTGAAGAACCACCTACGCCGTCGACCAGAGATTCTATGACTGCGCGAGAGCTGAGTTCGAAACTGGTAGCACTTGAGGGTCGAAATAGGAGACTAGCCGGCATACTTGGGGATGCAATAAGTGACCTGCATGCTCATACGAAATCCCAAGGCCCCCCTGCACCCGACCCGTCAAAAGACATAGAGAGGATCTTTGAGAAGCTCGAATCCGTACAAAAGTTGCTTCAAGACTCTTCGCAGCCTATGCCTGAGAAGCTGCTACTCACGAACCGTTTGAAGAGAAGCAGTCTCAGCGCGCCTAAATCACTACCGCCGAAAGATAGTCGGGCGCCGCAGGAAAGCCGCAAAAACGCCACTGAGACTTCGGCCTCATCCGCCGCATCAACCGCAAACGACCCCGCAGATCTAGTTAAACCGACGCTAACTCGGCCTATCCTGCGTGCTCCGCTTGCCGAATCATCCTTCTCGTGGATGCTTGGGGAGGGTGAACGCCGTTCGGCGTTCGCCCCATGCGCGTCAGTGCCGCCTGAGCACCTGCGAAAACATGAACCGCGCACGCGGCCAGCCATGCTTTTCGGGGATCAGCGCAGCGACGACAAGTATAAGCGAACCGAGGAAGTGGAGAAGGACGTGCTGGTATTAGATCGGCTACAGGGAAGCTCAAAGGAATGATGCTGTGATCAATGTCCTAGTGGGCTTTGCGTGTCGTGCCGGTGAAGATACTTTTCATCGCGAAGCTGTCCGTTGTCAACAGTGTCTTGCGAACCATCGACTATCGACTGGTAACATCGATAAATTTATCTCTCCTTTAATTACGGATTAGAAGAATTAATATTCCCTTTAATGCTTCTTCTTTGCCCAGCGGTAGCCAAGGCCTTGATGAAGGAGCGTTTTTTCACGTAGCCGTTTTCTAGTAAGGCAACCAAGATGATCACTCAGACGGCGTCCTCTTCTTTCCACAAGATATGAACCGCATTAGGCCTCGTCTCTCTCCTTAGCCTCCTAGTCTGGGAATGCTGACGCCCCCTGGTATCGCTGCTGGAGCAACCATTATTAGTTAGTTAACTACGTCAGGGCCAGCCAAATCTCCTGGGATAATCAACCAGCGACGATATTTGCCACACGTAGCGGCGGTGGCAATGGTGTCCAAGACACTGTCTATAAGTTCATCAGCGTGACCGCTCGACCTAGCGACCCAGTTCGCCGCACGATGCTATATTATTATTGTTGTTGTTTTCATCGCGGCTTGGTGGGGTGGATGCGCGCCGGCTAAGAACGCCAATTAGTTAATGGCTGCGCCCCGCGTTTAGCTGGGCGAGTCCCGCGAACATCATTGCCAGCCAGCCGGAGACCGCGTGGTGAAAGCACAACAGCTACTCCGTACCCATTGAGTATGGCCCTCGGGAATGGAACCACAGCCGCCAGTACCAGGCGCAGCGCGCTCCTCTGCTGAGCGATTTCGCGGACCGCGCGCCATCGGCGGTAGGTTTGGCGGTACCAGATCTGGCCTTGGCCAACGAGCGTCATTTTGATCCAGCCTGCGCATCGCTCGTCAATCCTTTTTTTCGCAAGAGACTCCGGCTCACTGACCTCTGCGTTTGAGTCTCGTTGTTACTCAACAGCCCGAGAGCCACTGCTGCTTGGCTATTTCTCGCTGCAGTGCCGGTCATCCGCCACCTTTTTACCATTTGGCCCATTCCAAGGCTCGTGACGCTGTACGGTGGCCAGCCTCCGCGCCCCAGCCTCGAGACAGCAATCTAGTGACGCCCACCACAAATCAGAGCTGTCATTCGAGTGGTGAAACTTTATCAGCTCGCCGCAGTTCCAGAACCGTAGCTGGTCGCCCGGCACTTCCGTCGCTACAAGGCTGAATGACCGAAAAATCTCCTAGCACGAACGACAGCCCGCAGCCCTAAATTGCCTTTCATCTCACACCTCTGGCACACCTGATACTATGCTCTCCTGACACAGTATCCTTCCTATCCCTCCTAGCTTGTTCATATTTCCCTTTGTGTGAACAGCTGAACCTTTTCTCGCTCTCCATCCCTCAGCAATGAGGGCGGACAGGGACCCCGGTCCTACTCATCATGACAATAGTAAGTATTCATTTTCATTCTCTTTTGCGTCCTCTCAGAAACATCCAAGGAGACTCGAACCGTTTCAGCCGTCGTAACTGTAATACCTGCCGAAGCTTTGACCAGCGAGACAACGAGACGGGAGGAGTATGGAAGATCCGAGTTTCAGTTCTCACCCCAAGAACATGCTCTTATACATAACGTGCACACCAAACTGCCTGAACCGCACGAACTGCAGAACCCTGGACCAGCACACCGCTTGTGTAGTGGGGTGCTTGGTGATGATTGGATGCAGATTGTAACTGACAAAATGTGAGCTAGTCGCGCAAAGCTATACCTCAAACGAAAACACACCGTACTCCTCTCCTGAAATGTCGATACGAAGGCCCGGGGGCGGCCGGTCATTACGCCTCGATGGTGGTTCGCTCAGCCAAGGGAGGGAACTGTCCATCGATACCGGGTCGCCAGAATATGAATACTTGCCAAGGTGAGATCAACAAGACATGAGCATCAGCAGTGCCTCAAAGATAGTTAACATGGGATGTTAGATCACCATTGCTCGAGACCGACCATGCTCCCGCACCGTCAGGGCTACCGCGGATACGCCAGACAGCGAAAAGTAGAACCCCTTCTATGCCGCTCACTTCTACCTCGTCCGCTGAATCTGCATTAACCTCGCCGAATCTATCACACGCATCTTCCACGATATCAACCGTCCCAATTACCACTGCTTCTCCCGAACTTGAGGACCTTCACAGGTTTCCTTCTGAATCACTCCATTCGTTCTCATTTGCGCGCCAATCGGAGGAATTGCTGCATACTCGCTATAATGTACTGCGGAGAACGATTGATTTTATGAGAGATCGCTTTGGATGGGCAGCAAGTAACGCAGGGATCGCTAATGCCCAGGCAAAATTAAGCGGGGACTCGGAAATCCAAAATATGGTTGATCTCGTTGCAAGAGCAAATCTTCGTGAAGGCGTTCAAGGCCATAGCCGACTATCTGGGCTGATGAGCGGTCCGGCCACAGGCCCTGCTGATATAAACGGGGAAAATATATTTGATAAGGCATTTGCAGCTCCTTCTCTCCATCCGATTCACGACCAGGATGAGACTGAACAAGAAGAATTGGCACGAGCAGCAGAGCGAAGCGAGTTCGTAGCTGCTTCGGAAGATCAAAGACTATCCCGATCCCGAGGGTTGAAATCAGCTCCATCCTCAAGACGCGTGAGCCTTAAACGGACATATACTGATATCGGCCTGGCTTCACTTCAGAGCAAGCTTGTGGACACGTTATCTGCGCAACCATACTCGGCGACGGAGTTCGTATCCCCCGGAAGTACCACCTCATTTACGATAGGCACGAATACCCCTGCCGTCCACTCCCATAGTAGCAAATGGTCCCCCGCTGCTCAAGCCGTGTTCAGGACGGAAGCCGGCCCACGGTGGACAATCCTAGCTGCAAACGACCTAGCATGTCTAGTATTTGGTGTAACCCGAAGGGAATTTCACAAACTCAGTATCTTAAGCCTTGTTCAGGAAGAGAGGCGTGAGTGGCTAGAGTCGAAACTCAGACCGTCGAGTATGTATCCAAACACTGAGTCGTTGGGAGTCAAAACCTCAAAAGCAGAGGTGCATGGCTCAAGACTGTCAAGTTTTGGTAACGGAGTGACTGCCCAGCTGCTGAGCAAAACGCCCGCGCGTCTAAACAGATCGAGGTGTCGTAATGATAGCCATTCTAGCCACGGATCCACCCAGCGCGCCCAGAGCCCAAATCACCATCCTACCAAGTCCCGTGGCGTGCTCATCTGTGGAGATGTTGTGCCCATTCAAAAGCGTAACGGCCTCACTGGCTCAGCCAGCTTGTGGGTGATGGAGAAGAAGGGTGGTTTGATATGGGTGGTGGAGGAGATTCCAGAGCACGTGGTGCGGCTCTGTTGCAGCGAGAAGGGTCGAGTCACCGCTGTCGAGGGCGAGGTAAACAACATCTGGGGCGGCAAGGTCATCGGCCTGGAGACGCCCGTACTCGACCTTATTCCTCATTTACCCCTAATCTCATCTCACTCCGACGCCCTGAACTTTAAAAGGATCAATGAACTAAAGTACTTCACTGCCTTGACATCTATTGGCACATCTATTCCAACAACTGTCACTGCTATGCCTAGCGAGAGCTCCCTTCGAGTATCTAGTTTTCCACACATTGCAGGGATGCTCGTTTTGTCCCCAAAGACCCTGAACATCATTAGTGCGAACCCTGTCTTTGCCTCTTCTCTCTTTGGTTACAGCTGCCTTGAAGGAGTACATATCACGGATTTAGTTCCCGATTTTGACCACTTCCTTGACACTATAACTGAATGCGATAACATTCCCCTCGTTGATGGCATGATTATTCCAGAACATAGCTTTCGACGAGCACGAGTGTTGTCAATTCTTCGAGATGGAAAGGTCGATGCAGCATCGTTGTTCTTGAGACCAGCTGGCTTGCCTGCCCGGCATCGAGATGGTGTAGATGTCATGGTTGATGTCCAGATGCGTGTTGTGCGAAGCCAGTCTCGGGCTCATTCAAATGCCGGCACAACACATCACGATCTGGAAGTTTCCTCCGAGAAAGACGTCCCCCGGACAGTTACTGAGCTCGTCTACGCCCTGTGGATAACATATTCACGTCAATTTCATTCTATCAATGGAGTTGATCTACCGCCTGTAAACCCATTGTTGCAGCCCCCAGAACCACCTCCTTCTCAAGCCGCCCCTGGGCAAATTACTCCTGCACCAACACCTATACTTGAACCTTCATCGAGATTAGGCAAACCTCAGGCAACACTTTTGGCCCAACAGTTAAGCGAGGCAGCCTCTCAACCTCTCACCGATAAACCTTCACAACCCGTTCCCGAGATGAAACTGTCTTCGTTGAAAGTCGAAAAGCCCAAGAAGTTGAATATATCGGATTTTGTGATCCTCGATGACCTAGGCTCTGGTGCCTATGGGCAGGTCAAGCTAACTCGATGTAAATGGAATCCAGCGAAAAAGATGGTCTTGAAATATGTCACGAAAAAACGAATTCTAGTGGATACCTGGACTAGAGACCGGCGCTTGGGCACTGTTCCTTTGGAAATCCATGTCTTGGATTTCTTGCGTCGTGAAGGGATGCGCCATCCGAACATTGTGGAAATGGAAGGCTTCTTTGAGGACGACGTCAATTACTACATCGAAATGACTCCCCATGGTTTCCCGGGCATGGACCTATTCGACTACGTCGAGCTTCGGGCACATATGGATGAAGCTGAATGCCGTAGTATTTTCTCTCAGGTCGTCAGTGCAATCCACCACCTTCACATCAATGCTCTTGTGGTACATCGCGATATTAAGGATGAAAATGTTGTTTTGGACGGTGAAAGGCAAGTCAAGCTAATCGATTTTGGAAGTGCAGCTTATATCAAGAATGGTCCGTTTGATGTGTTTGTTGGGACAATAGGTAAGTTACTAAATTACTGTTGCCAATATATATAGTCGCGCCGTATTATCATTCACTGACGTTGCGGTTCTAGACTACGCCGCGCCCGAAGTTCTCCAAGGTAGATCGTACCGTGGGAAAGAACAAGATGTATGGGCGTTGGGCATTCTTTTGTACACGATGATATACAAAGAAAATCCATTTTACAACGTCAACGAAATCATGGACCACCCTTTGCGAATTCCCTTCTTACCTTTTACGGAAAGCTGCCTTGAACTGATCCGAGGAATGCTTAATCGCAACGTCAGCGAGAGGCTGACAATCACACAGGTCATCGACCATCCCTGGATGAGAGCAACAACCAATGCTCCCGCGCCCAGCTAAAATATGGGCCTAAACGTTATACTCGACATCCCTTTTTCTTTGCTGGTCTTTTTTTTTTTTTTTTCGATTTTTCTTTCCGTGATACCACTGGCATTTTTCGGCTTCTATAGATGTGTTCGATATTTCTGCAACACTTGTTTTCCGTTACGTTTTGCGATGCTGTGACGACCTTTTTTTCTACGTATTTGCCTGTTACCAACTATTCGGCATGGAAACAAGAGGTAGACTGCTGAGCAGCGCCATTGGTTTACAAAATAGAAGACGCCGAAAAAAGATACCCAAAGACGCCGAATTTTGTGTTAGACGCTGAGTTTTGTGAATGCGAAGTTGACCACATGTTGATGCCGAGCTGAAAAAGGTGGAAGTGCTAAGACGATCTCTAACGAAGATTAGGAAGATGCATGACATCTTCTGCTGTTACTAGCTTACGATGTATACAATGATTGCATTTGCATTTTGTGGGGTTTGGGGGATTTGAAAATGGATCTTGACTTATTCAGAGATAAAAAAAGCTGGCATATATATGTACATGATAGCCAGAGGGGGATAAGGGGGCTTATGATAGATTGGATTGTCGCCACTTTAAGAAATACATGATAAATTGATGGTGGATTCCATTTGATTGCATGGAATGAGATTCGTTTTAGCTATGCGCAAAGCGATTATTTGGTAACAAGTAACTACCTTTGAAGTTCCAGTAGAAAACTCTTGTGCTTAACCAGGAGGATTAACTAGTCAATGGCGCCTCTCCTATATAAGAGGCGTCTAGTAGTCTCGTACCAGCCAAAAACGACTTTCACTTGTTCGACTTGCTATAGGCGCCCAGCAGGGGCATTGTAGTACTGGGAATTTCCCTTACAATTGAATTCAACCCTCGGCTTTCTCAGAGTATTTTGTCAACCGAGGAGGAAAAGGTATACTGGCAACTAAGTCGAATGCTATACTCCGTAGGCACATAAAATGCCCCTGAACAAAGCTACTCGGCTCCCAACGCATCTACCATGGTATCGCGCTGGAGACTTGCTAAAATACCTCACGAGCTCAGTGGCCATGGAGTTCGGTTCTAGCGTAAAAAAGTATCTCGGGTTGCCACCACAGCAAGCAACAACCCATTCGCATGGTAGGTTATACGAGTAGCATTCACGCCAGTCCAAAAAGAGCCCACAGAGCGAAGAGTGCATCGGTCAGTCAGGGGAAGCTTCACGGAAGAACTTTGACGAGCATACGGAGTACATTGTCTCCTTTGCTTGGCCGGAAAAGAAGACGTCTAGACATGGCATGTGTGGCGTCTCCAAGGTGCCACGCAAAAAGGCTAAATAAAGAACAGTCCGGGCTTTGTCTGGGCGGGCTTGACAGGAATTCCACGAGGGAAATGTTGCACGTTGCAGCGAGTGGTGGCGGTTGGGTAGCAATCATTCGGCGGGCAGAGCATCGCCGGCATCGACAGGCTGCATGCAAGTCAGCACTGTTGCCATGCAGTGAGCCACCATCCACGGAGTGCGTCTGAGCTTCTTTTCTTCGTCTCTGAGCAGCCGGCGGTGGTGCGACTTGGAGAGCCGGAAACTAGAGACAAACTTCCGCCATTCGCCTGGGCGGTGGAGTGTCTTATCGCGGAAACTTTGGGCCGATAACGAAAGAGGGGCGCGGTACGCACCCGGAACTTGCCCCCAATCCTCTCTACACCGTCATCCGGCTGCGGCGGCGTTCTGCCCTGAGGTATCCCGGAGGTACCGTGTCCAGGCCCCATGCAGGCGTCTGCCCCCATCCGGCGGCTGAAAAGAAGCCCAGTTTGCTGTGTCCGGCTGTGCGTTCTCGCTCGCACACAGTCGCTGACTTTTGTTCTCCTCACGACCACTTTGCCGCCGAGAGGAAGTGCACATGACAGCTAGAGCTGGTGCTTTGACGGCTCCTTCGCCTGGGTCATCCGGCACCCTGACAGTCCATCTGACCTCTGCGTGAGGATGACCGAGACTGCCCCCCTTGGCCAATGACGACCTCACTCATCGTGTCATTTCAATTCTAGAGATCTGTGATCCGCTTTTCTTGCCTTTCTTCGCGTCTGCACTTGACTGATCTGCTCTGTCTTGTGGTGCTTTTCTTCTGGAGTTGAAGACCGATCCAGGTAGGTAGTTGTCCTTCAACGCCCAGCTACAAAGCAAGCCTGGCTGCTAACAGTCTCTGGTTTTCAGCTACGTCTCCTTGTATCATTCTTCAATTCTACATGGAACTGGACATGCCTACTTGATCTGTCTACATACAACCTCTTATTGCGAAACCAACTGCCGCCATCACGCTGGTTCTGGAAATTGAGGCGTGTATCACGTCGCCGGCCGACTACTCACCTGGCCGGACCATCATATCTTTGTGTACATCGAAAAACCTATCTGTACTGCAAAAAGCAGCTGTCAAGTGCAGCTACAAAGCTTAAACTATGGCTTCAGTTCCGCCCGATGAAATTATCCCGCCGTCAGCCACAACGCCGGATGCGATGTCTGGTGCTATCAGAGTTGACGGCTCGCCTAAGATAAAGCGTCACAAAAGGCTGCTCAACCGCCTTCATCGAATGTCGTCAACCTCCTCCCTCGAACGACTGGGAAGACACCGCTCGTCTTCAAACAATAGTCGCCGGATCGGAAAAGGATCTATGTCTTGCGTTTCACTGTCATCAACGCTCTCGAATGGACAGTGCTGGGAGAGTTCCAGTTCTTCACAGCTCTATGGAAGATCTTCCCGAGGTGCAACTGACTCTAGAAATGTCGACGATGAAGAAACTAATCCAGCACGGATTATCGAGACGGAGCTTCTGCCTTTAAATGGAGTGCAACAGACTTCCATCCCTCTTCCAACTGAATTTCGACCACCCTCTCGTGGATCTCCGTTAAAGTCTTCGCTTGCGCTCGCCGCTGACATAGAACAAGCCCATGGTGAAGAGAACATTAGCGAAATTCCACCTGAGAAGCAAAATATAGATCATTGGACTCCCCTTCCCCCGGAGATCCAACTTCAAATTCTCAGCTGGCTCACGCCAAAGGAGCTGGCCCAAAGTGCGCGTGTATCGAAACAATGGTGCTCACTATGTTTTGACGGTCAGCTATGGACGAATTTTGATGTTTCGACATATTACCGTGATATCCCACAGGACGCACTAGTTCAGCTAATCCTGAATACAGGGAGCTTTATCAAACATCTGAACCTCCGCGGTTGTGTTCAAATGCGGGAGGCCTGGCTTCATAGTGGAGAACAAATTACAAACGCCTGCAGAAATCTAGCCAGTTTTAACGTTAGAGACACTGAGATTGATAAGACAACATTGACTTTTTTCCTAGTCCGGAATCCCGGGCTCTTTAAAATTAACCTGAGCGGGCTCATGGCAGCTACAAATTCCGAAATGGGGGTGATCGCTAAAAGTTGCCCATTGTTGGAATACCTTGATATTTCATGGTGTCCACGGATCACTAGCAACTCTGGCCTGAGAGAAGTTGTGAAAGCCTGTGGTCAGTTAAAAGAGCTGCGTATTGGTGAGCTCCAAATAGCCAAGAATGATGGGCTTATGCAGGCACTATTTGATACAAATCATCTCGAGACCCTCAGCATAGCCAATTGTCCGTATCTTACGGATTCGACACTAAAAATTCTTGTCCATGGCTCCGATCCGGAGATAGATATCTTGACTGACCGTGCCATTGTTCCTGCCCGCAAATTTAAGCACCTTGATTTCTCCGGCTGCACTCGTATTAGCGATGCTGGAATTGGATTTCTCACGGGTTATGTCCCTGGTCTAGAAAGCCTGCAGCTATCATTTTGCACCGGTCTCGAGTGCACTTCCATCGCGAATCTTATTCTCAGCACTCCACGTCTTATCCGACTGGAGCTTGAAGAGCTGGAAGCCCTCCAGAATAATGCCCTGTCTACATTATCGATTGCCCCATGTGCTCCCACGCTTCAACACCTGAATGTCAGCTACTGTGAAAACATTGGAGACCCCAGCATACTGCAGATCGTGAGGAACTGCCCCAATCTAAAATCTCTGGACCTGGACAACACGCGAGTATCTGATTTGGCGCTGATGGAGCTTTGTTCACAAATGCGGAAACGGGGATCTGGTGTTCAGTTGCCTAAATGTGGATTGAGACTGGCTGTTTTCGACTGCGGGAATGTTACTTGGGCTGGTGTTAGGGAGGTCCTTTCCACCAATACCTACGTTCCACGCTTTGCAGAAGCCGAGGCTATAACTTCTGGCTCCGAATCAGATGCAGAATCTGATGTATCATCGCCGTCATCGTCCACTTCATCACTAACGGTTCTCCAATCGCCGGCCCCAGTGCAGTCGCCGAGCAAACCTGACATCTATCCGAACGAAATAATCCAACTGAAATGCTTTTATGGCTGGCAACCAACAGTTGACAAGCATACGAAACGTGTTCTAGCAGGCCACCTTGGCGCTGCCATGCGTCTTGAGCGTAAATGGGCGGATTGCATGATTGCTCATGAAGAGGCTGAGCTTGGCGGCCCAGGTTCCAGACGACGACGACGCAGAGCGCGAAACGCTGAGCTGTTGTATAATATGGAAGACGACGATGAAGTCGGATATGGTTACGGACCGGCAGGGCTAGTTTCTCTCGGAAATCGCAGAAGAGCAAGGAGCGGTGGATGTGTTGTTATGTAAAGTGGTGGATTACCCGAATCGGGCTTGATTTTTTTCATTATTTTTCTTCTTGATTTTTTATTTCCGGGTTGATTGACATGATAGGAGTTTACGAGGTGCTACTTCGATACTTATGATGCTGCATAGGTGCGATATTTGCGAACAGACATCAACAGTACATACAAACGAACATAACATGGGATGGCAGTTGGGGGTTTTAACTATGGAAAAGGGGTCGTCATGGAGTTTCCGATTCAGTACCATTTCTCTGTGGCTTTTTGTTATGAGGTTTTCTTTCCTTTCTTTCTTTCTTTTTCTTTTTACCATAGAAGGAGGGGGTGTTTTCAAGGTGAAAGGTTTGAAATTCTGACATTCTTCTCTGTATTCTGTTATGGTATGCTCGAAGCGTTCTTCCTCGCTGGTTGATCGTTATCTTATGCATTAAAGACATTCAAATAGTGAAAGATGCGTAGAAAGGAATGGAGTCATTGTGAATTGTAAACAACATTTTGTGCTTCTTATGATATCGTGATGACCCCTATTCCCATCAAATATGCAAAAACCAATAATAGAAACGTGCTGAAAATGAAGCATGCTCTGAATTGCCAGATAAGCTCAATATGGCGCATTTTTGCTAATTTTGCAAGAAAATATATAGCCGTTTTCTTCGAAATTCTGATATATGGAAATTCCCTGGATATCATTCGAAAAAACCACCGTCGCTATCACTCCCGGAATCATCAGCTCTATTTGTATCACTTCTCGGGGCTTGCCCCTTTTTGCCATCACTTCGCTTCTTCTGTGTTGATTTGACTATATGCCTTCGTTCCGCATGGACATTTTCATCTGGCTTCGATTCAAACTCCGTCGTAGATTTCTTCTTACTCCGCATGAGCAAGTCTACAGTGTGTGTCTTCGAAGTAGTTCCGTCATTTTTCTTCTCGCCGGACAAACCGACACCCAGCTTTCCGTCTCTCAGGAGCTCCAGGGTGCCGTCCGACATACTCTGTTTTACGGCATACCACAGCGGGGGCTTTTCGCCAGAGTTTGTGTGGATGATGTTGGATTCCTCCGGTTCGGGAGGCTCCGCTTTTCTACGCTTGTTGGGGTATAAGGAGATATATTTCTCTGTGAGCGGGGAATACATGGTGTAATTAAGATCGATCCTCGTCGACTCGATATTTGTAATGATGTCATGAAGCAGTTTTTGCTTTGTATTAGCGTCTTGCTTGCCGTCGTTCTCCACCTTTTGCTTTTGGGTCTCAAGCCGCCGGAGTTCTTTCGTGGCACGTTTGCGCTCTGGATGGCAAATTATATCAGTGCCTGATGCCTCCAGTAAGAAAAATTCAGCCTATGGGATGTACCTAGAAACCGTACAAAGTGATACTTTTGGATCATCTTCGACTTTTGCTTCTTGAGTTCCGCCTTTTCTAGATCCCTTTGACATCCTGCGAGCTCTCTTTCTTTAAAAATCCGGGCATCTGCCGGCAGATCATCACTCTTTCTAGCGAGTAGACGTTTTATATCTCGTATCTTCGACTTCAGCTCGCTGATACTTGGCCCGACGTCATTGTTGTGGGAGCGTTGCGAAGCGGGGTGCTGGCGTTTTATACGCTTGGGGTCGGCCCCGGAGAAAGAGTCGCGACGTCGTTTTTGGGGGGAGAATTGTGATTCATTCTGGAGAGACATAGAGCACGGCTGTTGCCCCTGGTATTCTAACCAGCTTCTGTTGCAGGCTGAGTTCCGGGTGGTTCTGAGCCGTGAGGGCTAGGGCTGGCAGAGTAGGGCACACGATGGAGGGCGTGACGGCGATGTCACAGAGCACACAGCCAGGACGGCAAAGCAGCTCAGGTGATGGAGCTCTCCTGTTGTTTCTGTTGTTGCTCTGGCTGTTCCTCTTTCTTTTCTCCCCTCTCGTGGTGGTGAGAATCTTCCGAATTGTTGTTTCTTGACCACTGTTTTCGGAACAACTGCCGGCCCGACATGGAGCAACAGAGCTCCAGCTTAGCTCCGCCCACCCCACTGTTCACTTTCCCTTCATATTTTGATGATGATGAAGCAGCTCTGCACGGCCTCTCGCCAGACCAGATAGCTCTGGTGGACTCGGATCTCCGGTCTTTCGCCAACATGGAGACGGCAATTCGTTGGGCTCCGAGCTCAACGGCAGACGACCAGCAGTTCCTCGTCGTCGATATCAAGGGGCATGCCTTCAAGCATTGCAAGGTGGCCTCGCGTCCTGACAAGTTCACGTTGACCTACGACGTGCTTGCAAGCTACTCCAATGCAACGGAGTTTCGCTCTTTCGACTGGTCTCCCGCAGAGGAGAATCTCGTCGCGGTTGGGCACGCGTCGGGAGAAGTCGTCGTCGCTCGCCTGGACAACGGCGCTCAGGCTCCGCTTATGCTGCCCGCGAAGACCCAGCGAGCCTGTCATGGGCTTGCTTGGAACACCCGCGGGATACTTGCAGCGGGCCTGGACAAGTTTCGGGGAGACCATTGTCTTAACATTTGGGATCCCAATCAGCGTCCAGTCAGGGCAGCGCGCGGGGGGACGGACCGTCAGGTTCCTGACCCATTGAGAAAGCTTGCAAACGGGGAGCCGGTCGTGAGCGTGAAGTTTTTTAGAGAGCAGCAAAATCTGTTGCTTGCTGGAATGAAGGGACAGTCCCTGAGGCTGTATGACATCCGAGGTATGCCCCCCTTATCACGTTCTGTTGTTTGCCTAAGAATCACTCTTTCCTGACGCGTTTTTCTTCCTTTATATAGATGGCCCGGGGAATCCGGCGATGCAATTTTCCACTCGGTGTATCCATCACCTCGCGATCGACTGGCGGGACGAGAACTACTTCGCCTCCTGCACCCCACATGAAAACGCCTCAATCTGCATTTGGGATCGTCGTTCGGGTTCTCGACACTTGACCACAGCTGGTGGTTCATCAGGAGCCACTGAATCCGGTCAGGCATTGGAATTGAAGCCTGATATTGAGGCTGGAGCTGCCATCTGGAGCTTGCAGTACTCGCAAACGCAGCGGGGTCGTCTAGGCATGTTGACGGATACTGGGGAATTCAGAGCCTATCACCTGGCTAAAGAGTACATCTCGGAAGAAGATCGAGCTACCCTAGAGAAGACCGTTGGCAAAGACTATCAAGAGCCGATCTATACGAAAACTGTACGGGACTTTCAGATCGGGCACCCTCCAAAGACTCGCAGCGAAGATGCGACACAGCGAGTTGCCGCTTTCGATTTCTTAAACTTAGGCTCTTATGACTTGGAAGCGATCACTATTTTAAACGACAAGAGCATCGCAGTTCACAGAATTCCCCCAATTCGTTGCCCAGTCGGTCTCTCAATTCAAGGAGCTATAGCCCGTGAGACGTTTGAACCCGAACAGGAGATTGAAATTTTAGCTCCAGTGACTCAGTTGACAGCTGCAGAGGCAGTTGATGATATCCTCGATCGAGCTGACGACCGAGAGTTAGAGAAAAAAGAGAAAGCTGGCTCAGATTCGAGCTATACACCACCGTTGTCGAGCAGAGAACTGCATGAAAGAGACTTGCTGCGCTCGGATTTCCCTGAAGTACAGGACTTACTTATGTTGATGAGGATTCCAAAATTACGTTGCCAGGAAGGGTACTGCCTTAACCCAGCCAAAAATATAGACATTGTTTCCGATGATCCAGTGTTGCAGGACCTCTGGGCTTGGATTAGCAGTAAGCATACCGCAATTAATCTCTTACGATTCCTTCGACTAACAGTGTGGTCTTTACTTAGGTTCAAAATCAAGAGCCTCGAATGAATCGATGATAGTCCGCGGAGTAGATATGAATTATTTGGGTGTCCAGAGTATCTGGAGCGGAAATCTCGGTAGGCCTACTGTAAACTCGTATCGTATTGGCCGTAACTAACAGTCTTCTAGGTCTGAGTCTTGAGAATAGGCTTGCCAGTTCAGAGCTTGATGATGATGTCGATGTGAACAAGCTTATTGAAGAGTTGGTTGAGAAGTTGGATCTCCCGGAAATGGAGATGTGCGAAACAGATTTTGCAGCACGGCGCAAACTCTGCTTGCGCATCTGCAATGCCATAGAAACCACGGAGAGCCTGGAGCAAATCGTCGACGAGTGCATCGAAAACGGCCACCTCACAAAAGCTGCCGCCCTTGCCGCTTTCCAAGATAAGAAAGAATTGGCATTTCAGGTTCTTCGAAGGAATCCACAGACCCAAGCGCATAAACTTTTAGCCATGGCATTTGCTGGAGCTACCAGAGGAGGAGAGATGAATCCAGGGTGGGAGGATACTTGCACAGAGATTGCGAAAGAAATTACCGATTGTTTTGCTCGGGCCATCCTTGCTTTGGTCAGTACTGGGTATTGGGACTCGATTCTACAGGAGACGACTCTTCCTCTAAAATTTCGCGTGGAAGTTGCATTGCGTTGGCTTCCCGACGAAAAACTCTCCACATACATTCGTGAAACGACCATGGAGGCTGTACAGCAGGGAGATATTGAAGGCATCGTGCTCACGGGTCTTGACCATGCTGCAATGGACTTGTTCCAGTCATACATCACGAAATTCAACGACATCCAGACTGCAGTTCTAGTTATGAGTTACACTGTTCCGCGCTTTGTTTCCGACCCTTTTAACGAGCATCGATTCCAGGCTTGGCGGCAGACTTATCGTCGTCAGATCATTGCCTGGGATATACCAATTTTCCGCTCCAGATTCGATATTGCGTCACGCAATTTGGCAACCACCTGGGATGGCCGGAAGCTGATGAAACCTCCGCCGCAGCAAGTGAGTCTGATATGCAATTACTGTACTCGACCAATTGTGCAGCGAGCCACGAAACCTGAGCAGCCAAGCTCGGAGATTGTCCACCATACACCCACCAACCCTCTCGGCTCAGGAATCACCGGAATAAGCTGCCCCAAATGCGGACGGCATTTGCCACGGTGTGCCGTGTGCGGGATATGGCTTGGGCTGCCTGACCCCCGCGAGAGACCCGGCACTACGGGCGAGCCCAAGAACGATCTGGAAACCCGACTGAAGAGATCTTTTGTTTTTTGCATCAAATGCAATCACGGCACCCACGGGCATCATGCGAAAGCGTGGTTTGACAATCACAACACGTGTCCGGCTGACGATTGTAACTGCGTCTGCGAGGGGTAGGTTTGAGTCAAGGGCTCAAGGCGTCAATTGGCATGTTTTCCTGGACACGCCAGACACACTTGATATGCAAGATGGAGACACCTTAAAGGTATATCAGGAGCAAATTGGTGGTTAACTTCATTTTATTGATGGAACTTCCTACCCCAGTGAACACCTTAATATTTAGGCGACGGATAACGATAATGAGGTTTGCGGATTGATTTTTTTTTACCTTGAGATATTGGCAGGCATACTCCAGACTGCTGGGAGAAATTGAGTTGTGAGTTATTCGCGACAGATTGTCAACTTCAACGGGTCGTCTTGATATTCTTGGCGTTCTCAGCGTTATGAATGTACATTACAATGAATGAATGATAGATACCCCCTTGGTCAACAGGACGAGGAAGGATTAGGAGTTAACAGGGAATTGCGCTACGGAGTACTAGGAAGGAGCTTTGTTTTCGAAAGGTTTTGTTCTTGAACTCAGGTTTAGTTATTGGTTGGTGACGAGGCGGATTCTTATCCTGTGTACAACAAATAAATTAAGCAATATCGAAAAAAAAAAACCCCAGCCTGCACCAGTAGTGCTCTTTGTGAGGAAAAACCCTGGACGTGGTTTATTTTTGTTTTCTTTTGCCTTTACCCCCCAGTACAGATACTGTACTGGGGGTAAGGTTAGCGCGACACGGAACGGGCCTCCGCGACGGAAAGCTTATACAGTTGTGTATAGCCCACCTTGAAGAATTTTTTCCACGGAGCTTTTTTGCCGCCCGCGAATTACGCGCTGGGGGACGATGGCGGTGGGCGAGGCTCGAACTCGCGCCTCTTGGGTTGCCTCGACGAGCGAGGGCCCGGGCATTCCCACGCCTGCCAGGTCGGCCGTGAGCCATCGCCATCGACGGATTGCCAGCCTATTCCGATGTTGTCCGTTGGCTGGGTCTTAACCTCTCTGATTCAAGGAGTTGGACGTGCATTGGGCAAAAAAACCCCTTGTTTTTTCAGAGGAAAAATCCTGGCTGATTGTTTTTTTTTTGTAAATCAGATCAAGCCTAGGCAAATTCGATTCAAACGGGCCGACCCAAATCCCGTGATACTGTCCTGCCCTTCTATGCCGATCTTTTATTTTCGCACGTGCATTGCCTTACGACTATTGGTCGACTGCTTTCGCACCAGTGCTGATCAGTGATGCGACGGGGTAGACTCGAACCCACGCCCCTTGGATTGCCTTCTAAAGGAGGTTCCGGGTTTGCCCGTGCCTGCCAGCTCGGCTACGGGCCATCTGCATCGACGATTGTCAGACTATGGGGACTTATAGCCTCTGATTTAGAGAGGGAAGTTGTTCGTCGGACAAAATAAAAAAACCTCGTCCTGGCCGGTTTTTATTTTCCACATGTACTGTTAACTAATCGGGTGAACCCAGAACCCGCGAAATACGTAAACGAATGATGACACGGTGAGTCTCGAACTGCCTCCTCGGTCGAGGTTCCGGGCGTAGCCATGCCTGCCAGTCAGCCAGGGGTCGCCGCGCATCGCGATTCTACAGGACTACGGAGTACTAGGTAATTATACGTAGCAGCCTGGGCAGTTCGTGTTGCCTCCGTGCGATCAGCTCAATAGCACCCGCCACGGTCTGAGTCACAGCTGGCTAGAACTAACTACATAGTTAAACTGACTACTCCTCCCTACTCCGTATACAATTGGCAACCTGCACATCTCAGCCCCGCGCCGGCGCCAGCTTCCCTACGGAGTACCACATCCCACATCGTCACAAACCAAGACCCAGCAGAACACCCCCTCTCGCAATATATCGAGCGATCTCGAACCCTGTCCAACTTCATCCGCCGCTCGTCTGCTTCCCCCGCGCACACCCGGATCGGCAGGCAGACACAAGCTCTTGCGTCTCATCCCCCACCGATCACCCTCCAGGCCTGCCCCCGGCTTCGTCGATGGCGAGGACGCACCCCCGAGGCGGAGGAGGGCGGGGAGGAGGAGGAGCTGGGGGCCGGAGAGAACCTTCGCGGGCAGTAGCCGTGTCCAAGGCCCTGAGCTTCATCCTGCGGCACGCCGCGGAGCGCGAGGGCGTGAGCATCGACAGCCAGGGCTACGCGAACGTCGGCGAGCTGGTGTGTGTGTACCGCAGCCCTCTTCCTTTGTCTGATATGATACAAGCGAGCTAACGCCTTTGATCGACGGCGCCTAGCTGCGGTGGAAGAAGCTGAAGGCTTTGGACGTGAGCTTCGCCGAAGTCGTCGCCGCCGTCTCCTCGTCCGATAAGCAGCGCTTCGGCCTGCTCTACGCGCCGCCTGCTGGTGGTGCTGGTGCTGCAGCTGCCCCACAGGCCGATCCCGCTGCTCGTGCGCCACAATCACAAACCCCGCCTGAGACGAGCGCTCGACTGCCTACGACAGAGGATCAGCAGCAGCAACAGCAGCAACAGCCCGTGGTTAGCGACGACGCCACGGCGCAAGCAATCGCCGCCAGCGCGCACGACCCGGACCCGCACCACTATCTGATCCGCGCGCGCCAGGGCCACAGCATCAAGACAGTCGACGCCTCGTCGCTGCTCAGGCCGCTCTCCGCGGCGGCAAACGACGATGACCGGTTGCTACTGCCGCCGACCGTGGTCCACGGCACGTACCACGCAGCGTGGCCGCAGATCCTGCACGCCGGCGGGCTGAAGTGCATGGGCCGGAACCACGTCCACTTCGCGACGGGCCCGCCGCTGTCGGCCGTGCTGCCGAATGGCACGGCGGGCGAGGTGGTGGTGCCGGCGAGGCTCAAGAGTGGTGGTCGTCGCGGGGGTAATACTGGCGATGAAGGGGCCGACCACCTAGAGGTGATTTCAGGGATGAGGTTCGATTCGCAGATCTTGATCTACATCGACGTGAAGAAAGCCTTGGCCGCCGGGTGTCCGTTCTGGATCAGCGAGAACGGCGTGGTCCTAAGCGAAGGCATGGACAGCGGCAGCAGTGGCCAGCAGCAGCAGCAGCAGTCGCAGAAGCTCGTGGGAACCGAGTTCTTCGACGTGGTGGTTGAGCTGCGCAACGGACTGGGAGTGATCTGGGAGAACGGAGCGCTGGCACCGCATGTCCCGGATTGGATGCGCGCGGCGCCAGGCCCCGCGCCGGCGGGTCACGGCAGAGCCAGAGGCAAAGGGAGAGGCAGAGGTAGAGGCGGAGGAGGAGGCGAGAGACAAGCGCGCCATGGGGCGAGGGTGGCTGGCCCCCGAACCAGCGCCGAACGGGCTACGGATGCGGCGGTGGTGGAGGTGGCGGAGGGGGAGGACAGAATTTAGGTTGTGTTTGCTGGATTGAGGATGAAACAAAAGGCCAGCTCTTATCAGATGTAACTTAACTGGCCAGACTGGAAATGCACCGGCTGCCGAGAGGCCTTTTCATTTCCCTTGCTGTTCTCACGACTAACTAGTTACTTTTTTACTGTCTGGTTTCACACTCCCAGACGACGACGTTCTGGACGGTCTTGGCCACGCCGATACACGCACTAAACATCGCCGACATCAAACCCAACGCCATCCATCACCGCTGAGTCTTGCATCAGCCAAGTCATCTTCTATCGATGCTTCCCTCACTTTTGCGTTTCCTAGCCCGGTTCAGACGATGGAAGCCCCTAAGCTTTTCCAATCCCAACTTTCCCCGGATCCCACTAACTCAAAAAATCGAAGAAGAGACGATCCCAGGATACGTCGCGGCGCGGTACTATCCCGTGCGCATTGGCGAGGTCTTCAATGAGAGATATCAAGTTGTCGGCAAACTGGGCTATGGAGCAACTTCGACGGTGTGGCTTGCGCGGGACATGAAGTAAGATCCGATCTCCATAACCCTCATAATTATCTTGAAGGCCTGAACTAGAACCAACCAAAATCCTCAGCCGCTGCAAGTATGTCACCCTCAAGGTATTCATCACATCGACATCCATGGGCCAGCAATTGGATGGCGAGCTCACCATGTACAAACGCCTGGAGCGAGGCTCGAAAATCGCATCCTGGTCGCAACGCCGTGCGGATGCTTCTTGACTCTTTTGAAGTTCATGGACCCACGGACAAACACAGATGCCTGGTACATCCTCCCCTGTGGGAGAGCGTCTTGACGTTTCTTCGCCGCAACCCAATTCACAGGCTACCGGTCCCGGTCATGGCCGCTGTCCTGCAGTATCTCTTTCTAGCCTTGGACTATCTGCATTCCGAATGCAAGATCATCCACGGCGACATCAAATCCGATAACATCATGCTCGGCATCGCTGATGATTCGGTCTTCACCCGTTTTGAGGCAAGCGAGCTTCAAACGCCCTGTGCGCGGAAAGAGCTAGATGGTGATGACGATGGTCGCATCATCTACGAGTCCCGCCAGCTCGCAATGCCAAAGGACTTTGCTCCCCCCGTGCTATGCGACTTTGGCTCAGCCATGCCGGGAGATGTTGATGAGCATCTGGAAGACATCCAACCAAACTTCTGATCCTCGAGGTTCCATGGTCGTACAGCGTGGATATATGGAACGCAGGCTGTGTGGCGTGGGATATGTTCGAAGGCGAGTTCCTGTTTACTGGCCATGATCCAGAGCTCCAGACCTACCGGAGTAGAGCACACCTCGCCGAGATGATCGGCCTTCTTGGGCCTCCGCCGCCTAATCTCCTTACTCAGGGAAGGCTCACGAGCAAATTCTTTTCAGACAAAGGTAGGCAATCTGCTTTCTTTTCCTCCAGATTGACGTCCCTTTTCACCCTTCTCATCTCTTCTGTATTCTGTCTTAACTTGTTTAGGTGAGTTTTGTGCCGGAATTCCGTTGCAAGATCCGGTTCCACTCGAAAAGAGAGAAACTACTCTCAAGGAGCAACAGGATGACAGGGAGAAGTTTCTGTGTCCGATGCGGAAAATGCTGCAGTGGGAGCCGGGCAAGCGAAGCTCTGCAAAGGAACTTGTGCAAGATGAATGGATCCGCGCGCATTCAGTGAGGAAGTAGAAGGTGAAAAAATCCCGTGTACCAGTATCTGAATTTGAATTTAAGAACCAGCCACATAGGCCATCAAAACAAGAAGAACGATAGAAGAGCAGCATCCTGATACATTCGGTAACAAACTTATCCCCTGCAAGCCAAGTTCTATCCCCGAGGTCCCTCTTCAGCAGCCCGGTCCACGATCAAGATACAGAATAGCCGCCGTGGAAGAGGTAGACCAGACAAGCCATACACGGAATACCGGTTTTCCATCAACAACAAACAGCATTGTAGTTTCAACGTAGGCTACCGGAACCACTGCATATTTCTGGCTTAACATGTTTGGTCATATGAGATTTGAGTGGCTTTCACTACATTAGCTCACCCTCAAAGCCACGCGAAACACGACATCAAACCACTCCACGGCGGTTCTTGTTTTAGTTAACTAACCTTACCGTCCAGTATCATCAGACCATTTTCCTCTTTTTCAACTCTCCTTAGCCGTACTTTGACTCGAGTCGGGCAACTGGGCAGTTTCGCTAACCAACCAACCAACCGAGCCAACGAAACCAACATCCATCACACCACGCCCAGCAGCTTGTTATCACTACCTAGTTGGTTAGCCTGCGCCCTTCGCCTTATGCTCTCTCGCTCTTTGTCGTCTGGCTCAGTCCGCCCATCATCATCATCATCGCCTCGATCGTCATCAGCCCACCGAAGGTTTTCCGGGGTAATATAGTTACACTAAACCAAAACCAAAAAGCATACTCCGTAGACTTTCCCAGACTCCACCTTTCTCCATTCCCACCCTTTTCCTTTTTGTTTTCTTTCGGGCTTGGGCTTCGAGGCACTCCTAACTACTAACTACTAGTTACATACGGCGTTTTCGCCGTGGTGTTGGGGCAAAAAAAAAAACCCTCCCCCCGCACGGCCCCCGCGGCTAGGACGGGAACCGTTTGCCGTTTTTTTTTTTTTTTTTTTTTTTTGGGTTAACTAGTTAGTTAATTAAAGATAAGGACCCGGTGGACAGGAAAACGAAAAAAAGGAAGTTGTCCGGAGTACGGAGAAGTTAGTTAGGGCAAAGAAAGAGAATAATAATGGAACGAATTATTAGAGGTGGACTCTGAGTGTGCCAGGGGTTTGGGCAAGGAAGGCCGTAGGAGATCGAGAGAGAGAGAGAGAGCCATGCAGGGTCCGGGGGGGGCGTTTTTTCTTCTTCTCAATCATATCTGGGTCTCTATTATTTTTCTGCATGTCCCAAGGACAAAATCACCCCAAAAAACCAGCCCTGCATCTCCCAAGCCAATGATCAACAGAAAGAACAAAAAATATATATATCTTGTCCATACCAATATAATCTGAGCGCTGCAAGACGCAATGCAAGGCCTGCACTCACGCCCGCGCACACACACAGACATTAGTAAGTAGTACACGCATGCTCCGTACACGGACCTTTCGTAACGTCAAACCTCGGGCTAACTTCTCCATTGTCATAAGCAGCAGCATGCGCGCGGAGGTTTCATGGCCGCGAAGCGACCTTGCATTTAGGGTTCTCCACTACTGCGTAGTCTCAAGCCATACAGATGTATGGGATTGCACAGTCTATTATTATTATAGTATTTCTCTCTTGTTTCATCTAGTCCAAATGGTGGGAGTTATAGTAGTAGTAGTGATAGTATATACAATGAAAAACGAAAAAAATAGGGCTAAAAAACTAGTCAACAGCACTGCCCTAAAGCCGCCTCCGTTCCCCTTTCTTGTCATTTGACTCGTGAAAAAAAGAAAGTTCGCAAAAAAAAATTAGGCTCAAGACAAGGCGCCGCCAGTAGTAAGCAACAAGCCCGTGAGAATGGAACCAAAGGAGCAAAAAAAAAAAAAAGATGAGGGGGAAAAGCAAAAACTAGCAAAAAGGGCTTTCCCGAGGAAGCAACATTTGTTATTCTCGTGTTGTGCATATACATACGTATGCCCCTCCGACCGGAGCGGCCGGTCCCATACCAAGAACGACTAGTCAGCCCGGGGTTAGTTAGGGGTGCGTGTGGCCTCGTTAGTTAGTCACATCGCATGCGAACAAAATGCGTTACATTAACACACTGGACAGCCTGGTCTGAGCGCACACACACGAGGAAAACACGGAAAGCCACACAACACACACAGACATGTCGGCTAAGCTGGATAGAGAGGTGGTAGTAGTAGTAGGAGTAGTAGCGGTAGGATTATATTTAAATTCCTGCATGACATGCGAAGTTGGCGCCGACGAAACAATATGATAAAATGAAAGGTAAGACTGACTGCTGGGTCGCGGTGACGTCGATTGCGAACCCACAAAGCTAGTCAGATAAGTGTTCATGTTGTTGTAATGGAGTATTATTTGGGGCCTTCCGCTCAGACGTGGGCGCGAGTTTCCTGGGGCGTGGGGCTCTGATTGTAGGAGATTTCAAAGTTGTCCGTGCGCAGGATGCCATTGTGGTGGACGCTGCTGTTGTTTTTACTGTTGGTGTTGTTGGCAGTGACGCCGGCGCTGCCGGCGGGTCTCTCGAGCGGCATCGAGCTGGAGTTGCTGTCCTTATCCCACTCGGTGGACTTGCCACGGCGCATGCCCTCCTTGAGCGCGTACGAGTGGCTGCCGTCGTGCTCCTCGTCGCGGATCTTGCTGTTTTTCGCGCGGCTGCCAAAGCTGTGGTCGCCGTAGCTGCCGTAGATGGCGGTTTGCAGGAAGCGTTTGAACAGGGGTCGCAGCGGCGGTGCGCACGCGACGATGATTCCAAGGTGGCATTCGACCACGGTCCACATCCAGACGTCATACGCAAGCCCTGTGTTGCAACGCAAGAATGTTTAGCAACAGCAGTCCAGAACCATCAAGCCGGATAAAGAAAAAAACAAAAGGATCCCTTACAGGTAATGTCGTATGTTTTGAAAAAGACGTAATGGTAGTAGTACGCCCGGATGATGCTGGAGATGCACACGCTACACACGTCACGAGTCAGTAACATATCCTCCCCGCAGAGGTACGTAAAAATCCCACGGAAAGAGGGATGTGAAGATCGCGCCCAACGACTTACATGAACCCCACTCCAAACACCGCGGCCAGGGACAGCTTTTCTCTGGTGGGCATCTTCAGCTGCTTGAACAAGAACATGGGCAGGATCGTCGTCATCAGGTCGGTGCACAGGTTGAAGAAGACGGCATACATCGGCAGGATGCTCTCATCCCAGCACGTGTAGCCCTTGGGTGGGTGGAGGAGGTCGAACTGGAGCCAGTATGCGTCGAGGGGCTGGCACATGAGGCACAGCAGGACGACGCCCGAGACTCCATACAGGACGAGGATGGCGATGGCCACGCGGACGACATGCAGGAAGATTTTGTTTGCTGTGCCTTTGATAACTCGCAAGTATAGTACGAGAATAGAGATTTTCGTTAAAATGTTACTAAGGAGGAAGCTGGTTGACAAAAAAAAAAGATGTATCAGCACGGTGCTATCCGCTTGTGAGCAGGACAGGGATATGCATACAAAAGTTGTGAAATCCAATTCAGCTATTCGAACGGCGCATAAAGTTAGCCTTCGTATTCTCTCAAAAAAGAAAAAAAAAAAAAAGAAAAAAGAGTTGCCGAGGTGGGAGAGAGGAGTAGCATTATTTACCCTTTGAATCGGGACGAAATTCTTCAGGGGCGTGTCCCAAATATGACGATACCCTAGGTGTAAAGGGCTGACTAAAGGCGCGCAATACGGTCAGCACGTGAAAGAATGGGCAGAGAGCCGCGGGAAATAGCTGGACATACTCAGGCAGAGAGTAGTAATGAGGCCAATGGCCGGCAACTAGAAGGCACACACCACCGTTAGACCAGAACATAGTTGCATGCTGAAAGGCGATATATCGGGGGTCACGCACCACGGCGGCCAGGACAATGTAGTCGTCCACGCCGGGCTCGCGCTGCACGCGGAAGCGCACCCACACGCGCAGGGAGACGAAAATGAGCATGAGGACGCCCAGCACCAGGGCCACGATCATCACACCTTCGCCCCTGGTGGGCGGGTTGACGTAGTTGGGCCGTGGCCAGGACGCCATGACGGCGGGCGGAGGATGGAAGCCACCGGCCATGACGGGGGCAAGTCAAGTCAGGCCGGAAGCGAAGCCGCGCTCAAGATGCCGTTGCTGCTGTTGTTGGTGAAGCTGGGAGAGTGCGGATGTATCTAGAGCGAGACCAAGACCCGCCGGGAGCCAATGGGCGGCGGTTCCATCTGCCTTGGGCGCAAAGACACAGCAGAGACGGAGAGAGATCTCAGACAAAAGAAGATGGGTATGGGGTGAGAAACGAGGACACCAGCAGGGGGGGGGTTGGGAGAGAGGGCGCGCGGGCCCTATATAAGAACGGGTGCAGTGCATGACGGGACCACCCAACACGAGCGCGGGCAAGCGAGCGGACACTCTCTGGGCTCCAGACGTCCAAACCTTCGGGAGTCGCGCTTGGTGGGGTCGGGCGGTTCTCCAGGGCGCAGGACGAGCCCGTTTGGGACGGAGGGCGAGCGGAACCAGGGCGAGCTGGCAGGCTCACTAGCTAACTCAGTTCTCTTCACTAGCCTTTTGCTTTCAAACCGTGGGCGGTGGAAAGCGTGTGGCGCTGGCGCTGGCGGGCGGCGGGGGTTGCTCTCTCTCTCTCTGGGTCTGGGTCAACCAGCGAGCGCTTGGGCGGCAGCCCAGCAAAGCCAGACAGCCAGCCAGCTAGCCAGCCAGCAGCAACACAAAAAGCCCGCCCAGCGCGCGATGCAGGTCCCGGCTTGCAGGGAGTGATTTGGCTTTGGCGCGGCCCACCGGCAATACGAGCGATCTTGTGCCTGGGCAGCGCAGGGCCCGTGGATCGTCCCCAGGATGCCAGCAGTCACCGCAGCGACGCAGCTAGTCAGTCGCATCACGTCGTGGGCTAGTTAGCCGGAGAGCTAGTTAGTTGGTGGGCTAACTAACTAACTAGTTAGCTAGAAGAGGAGTCAACTCGCCCGCCGACCAGCCGTGTGCTCATCTGGCGCCTACAGGCATGATCCCTCGCGGGCCTCCCTCGCGGGCCTCCCGGGCGCAGGCTCTGGGCTCCTGGCCCTGACACCCACAATCAGACAAGAGAACGCAGCTCCAGCGTTCTGGAAGGCGCGGGACAAGCACCGTCCAGCGCTCTTGGGCTTGGCTGGCGGCGTCGTCGCTGTCGTCAACGTCGTCGTCGTCGTCTCCCACGCATGCCGTTCGCTAGGTCGCTACTTAGTGAGGCGGCTGCGTCGGCAAAAGCTGTCGCCCGCCAGCCACGACGCCAAACACTCCCCCAAGCGAGCCCCCCCCCCCCCCCCCCCCCCCCCCCCCCCCCCCCCCCCCCCCCCCCCCCCCCCCCCCCCAGC